AACAGACACTCCACGCTTACATCCATAAGTGGCTGCAGCGTGACATTATGGTATAGTTTCGCAAGCTCTCCTGTCAAGCCAGGGGCAAAGACATGGACAACCCAGGAACTCCCTTTGGGTACAGCAACCAACCGTTTCTGGTCGAACACAGTGTGAATATCCGATCGTAGCAAAATGGCGTTTCGAGCATCGTCGGTTGGATCGGTCATAGTGGCGGGACGAGAAGTGTATTGAAACATCATGTTTGAACTGAACCACGGCTCCTCACTCCGAGGAATGAGATGCGCAGCTTCCGTGCCCTCAGTGTGGCTGGTTACTCTGCAAGAAACATCGCGGGACAAGAGGATCTCTGTCAGGCCGCTCTGTCGTGGTAAGATGTCGGACCTAGGGATGCGGAAGATGTCCGATTTCCAACAAGGTGGTAGGTTATCGTGGGGGAATTGAAAGTGGGCAAAGGATGGGATGATAGGGTATTTAGGATCTGAGAATAGTTTATGTTAATATGTGGAATAAAGCGGTCCAGCGAAACATCAATCCTCGAGATATACCGTCATCAGGGTCCTCTTTGATCCGGAAATAGTAATTCTTCAGCGTTAGGAGGGAGTCTGCCTCCGCTGCAATTCGTCGTCCTTTTCTCGTCTCTGTCAAAAATCCTTCCCAGGTGCAATTTGCGATTATCGCACAAGCAATCCTTGCCGTCTCGTGATGAATGCTCCCTTCAGAGCTATCCAGTGCTGGCAATACGAGAAGAATATTGTTTGTGTCTGGATATCCTGGATGGCGAAAATGCACATTGTATGAGTCATTGTTCTTAGGAAGAGAGGCACCAAGATCCGAGTGCGTTGGTGGTGGGTAGGGTTTGCGAGCTTGAAAGTTGGAGGAGATCGAAGCGGATGGAAGAGTGGTATTTGGCATTTGGGCTGTAGTGATTTGGTTTATTGGAGGAGATTGAGCGGGTGCAAGTAGGTGGAAAAGACCGAACTCTGGACTTTTGTATAGTGTACCCTTTGTGGAAGCGATGGTGTTGTCGATGTGTGGATGGCTGCTTGTTGCTGTGGATGTTTACTGTCGTCGCGTCAATAAAACCCCGCAGGTGTTCCAAACGCGAGAGTGCGCCATAGCACGTGACTTACCCACTTCCACTCTGCCATTACAATGTTAAGGAATACGCAATCGGTATAAAACGTAAATATACCAATGACGACGTCGAAATTACCTGCCAGCTCTCTGCTGAGTATAATATGGGTGGACTGAACATAGTCCGGCGGCTCGACTTTCACGATGGTACGAGTTGGGTAGCACGACTGCAACTCCCCAAACCGTGCCCAGATTCACTTCAGCGTCTTATGAACGAGATTCATACAATTCAAGTCATTCGCGAACAAACAAGGATCCCAGTTCCAGAAATATTTGCGTACGGAGCCAGCTGCAATAATGCTATCGGTGTCGCTTTCATGATTATGGAATTCATTCCGGCGGACACAGCTATGGATTCTTTTGGCGGGTGGTCTGTACATAGGGGCAAAACCCCTCCGCAGTTCAGGAAGACATTTTATTCCGCAATGACTGAAATTCAGGTAAGCAGGGAGGATTTGTGTAACATCAAGCTAATTTTCCGAAGATTGGAAGTGTTGTCAAACTCTCCGACAGCGGAATCCTCCATCCAGCTGGGGGGAAAAGCAAAATGATAGGGACGATCGAGACAAGGGGCAGAACTGCTCACCATTGGCATGGAGGGGCCTTTGAGAGGGGAGAACAGTCAAATCGCATGAATCGAATGAAGGGGGTAGGCGGGGTGGCCGTCGCGAGGAAAAGTCCGGTGGATCGTCGACGCTCCTCACGCGGGCAGACATAGGTCACAGGGGCGAAAGTGGGCTTGGTCGGCCGACGGAAATGAAGGGGGGGACAAGGAAGGCGGACGGGAAATGAATTGGTGAATGGGAAAAGATGGAGGAGAGCGGGTTGGCGAGAGGGGGACAGAGGTATTTATGTTTGAAAGTTTTGGGAGGGTTGAAAGCGGAAACGTGCGCTAATACCGAACTGGCATGCTAATCCAAAAGAGGCAGTCACAGGTCCCTCAGATTACAGGGGGCAACCTGTTCACGTGACTGGGACACCACATTCAAAAGAGTTTTTCCACCTCCCAACTTCTTCTTCTTTTTCTTCTACTACAAACGACCCGTGGCCAACTTGACGCCCTTCGGGGCTGTCGTTGAGTCAGTTCGACCGTTACCATGGAGCCATCGAATCCTATGATGTCAATCATCCGGTCGACGGGTCTAAGATAAATGATTTCTGGCGGCAGTGTAGAAACCTTGAGTTCCTTGCGAACTCGGTGGACGACTGTCGTTGGACGGGCACCATATTCCATATTCTTTTTCCGATTGGCCGTTGGCTTATGAGGATGAGAAAAACCATGGCTGCATACATTCTCGAAGCACTTTCGGGCACGATCTCATTGTCCCAGCATCCAACAGATTTGGAGTATGCTGGTCAACTTTGAGGCGGAGCTGCTGCGAGGGCCTTTAGCTCAAATCATCTATCCGTGTGTATGTGAACTTTAATCAATTGCTTTAATGACAAATGGCTCAGCCCGATGGTCACCAGGCACCAGCTCATCCTTCACAACCGCCTGTAGGTAGTTGTACCAGAAGAAACCTGCATGTTAAGGGCTATACAACCCCTACTATCCGCTGGTTGTGGGACGATGGCTTAAATCATGGTCCATCTGTGTCAACGTCGTTCAGGTGAAGGATTGTCAACAACAAGAACTAAAGTTATATCAATAAACGGAACGCCAAGGTCAACGTAGCTACCTCATATATTAGCCAAGTTCTACAAGCTCGTGCGACATCGTGATTCTCCTGCAAAGGCCATGCATCGGAATCCTTAGCTTACGTATCAAACAGGCTTAGCGAGAGCAACAAATGATTTCAACGAAGCGAACACGTACGATTGAACGGGCTGTGAAACGGGATAGCATTCCATGATGCTTCAAATCTCGGTTCGTGATGTGTACAAATATCGCAAGGGAAGCTCCCAAGTCGAAAGATGCTTCATCCAAACCATTTGATTGAATACCGAAACCATCCTCTAAACCTGCTCCAGTTTGCGAAATGGACCTCCAACTCCTTGATGACAGCATTGTGAAGACCACTGGTCTTGGGGCATCAGATTTAAAGATCCACATCACCAACGCTAACCGCGATCACTTGTATCATCCTAATGATCCCATTTCGGGATATATCGCTTTTCCTACGCACGATGCGAATGCCGACTTCTTCGCCTCCCACCTTACCATCACTCTATCTTGCAATGTCGTGACGGCAATTGACAAGGTCTACCACGGGCCCATCCGAGTCCGCGACTTCCGAGCAAAGGTGAGCACCGCCTCCGCATGGCACTTCGAGAAGATGTATGCCCAGGACATTAAACTGATCTCTCCTACAACCAACACAGATCAAGGCGAGACGCCCATCGTCCGTGGCCGGGACCACAGTTGGCCGTTCACCTTCGTCATCCCTGCGACCGCGCTCTCTCAGGAAGAAAGCCCACTTCCAGCATATACAGCCACCAATGACACCGCCGCACCAGCAGCATATGGTAATAGCGATACAAGCGCTGCTGCCCTCAGTCACGGTGCAACACCACTCCCTCCTAGCATCCGAGTCGCCCTCTGCGTACATCATGGAGCCGTCGTGGAGTATGTGCTTGAGGCGTCACTCGGGTTGCAACCTGCTTCGGCGAATGAGAACAAACTGATTCCCTTGGAGGCGCGGGAGGAATTCAAATACGCGCCCGCGTCGATGGCCAATCCGCCGATCGATGTCATTGACTTCGTGACCGCCAAAACTCTGGTATCAAGCTCTGCGCTTGCACCCAACGGTGGGAGCAGTCGGTCATCGCTGTTCAGGCGCATAGCAGGGAAAAGCTCCGAGGGTCCGCAGGTTGAGGTGAGGCTGAGGGCAAGAATCGATCCGCACGTCAGTTCGGGCAGGCTGCTCGAAGGCTCGGTTCAGTTGGAAGTCTATGCTGCCGACGGCGTGGATGTCAACTTTCCGCTCGCGAAGATTAGGCTGAAGTCGTTGTCGATGGAGCGAACGGCGAAGTTCCATGGCGACAAAAACGCTGCATCCAAGAAGGACGGGCCGGATGAGGTGGAAACCTCGCTGGACTTTGAATTGCGACCTTCGACAGGCTTGAGCGGGAAGATCAAGGCAGTGACACAGTCCCGGAAGGGAGGGGTTGCTGATGGGGACGATATGCCCATTGCGGTGTATCCGTTCCGGTTTGAGGCGCCTCTTTCCTCTCCCGGATTGATTCCATCCTTTGACACGGGGTACTTTTCATGCTCGTACAAGATTTCCATGGCGACGGAAGCTGAGTTTTGCGGCGAGAAGGTTGTGCTACAGAAGAAGTTAGCCAACGTATATATCAATGCTAGTACGGCCGACTATTAGATAGTGTCTCATTGGTGCGGTCTGATTTTTTGTCCTGTTCTCTTTAGTAATTTGCGTTATTCCCTAATCTGGTTTTCAAATATCCAATTCATATCTATAAAGTCATTGGGTGATTGTTTGGTTCACATTTCTATGATAATTCAGTTTGCAGTTCCCAGCCGGTCGGGATGGCAACAGTCAATTTAGTCCTTTCAATTGGTCTTCTCCCTAATTTCCCCTTCCCATACGGAATAGGCTGAAGCGAACAAGCTTAAGCCGTCCTGTGTGACAATCTGAAGCGCGTCTCGGTCCCGTTGTCTTCCAAACGTAGCCATTCTAACGGCTTCGTAATCCTCGGCCGGGTACGTACATTGAGTACGACGTCGAGCAAAATTCGCAAACTAATCATCAGGTATATGGGACAATATGTGCAGATCAAATCCACGTTATTTTCTTGTTTCGACATACATTACAACCTCTATTTTGATCTATGTCCGCAGGTGCTTCTGAGGATAACGGCAATGCGTTCACAGTTGCTCTTAATCGCAGCTATTCTCCACCCCTTCGTGGACGCGAACGTGCGGTTCAGTCAAGAGCTGACCGGGAAATCCGTTCCGTGTATGGAGAAGCTAAGAGTGAAATGGGGGGATGATGGCCACTCGCCGACGATTGAGGAACTGTTGACATATACTTTGGACTTGTATGCCGGAGGCAATGATCAATCGGTGAGCTCCTGGCCCGGAGCTGTTCGGCCTGTGTTCGGCATTGGCTAACTGCTGGCAAAGCACTACCGATCTATAGCCGGCCTTGTCAGCAACGGGAGGTTCTCTTCAAATGGGGAGGTAGCCATGGAGGTCGAGGTTATCATTCCCAGGAATGTTGGCGTGGCAAGTTTTAGCGCGCCTTTGTAAGAGAACATCCAGGCCAAGAGACATATCTCCGACTAACAATAAATGAATCGTTTAGCTTCCTCTGTATGAATGCCACGCGGCCTGGTTCTGGGTATACATTGAGGTTTTCTGACAGGTTTCTGGTCGGAGGAGCGACTGGACAACTGGATATTCCAGTTGGAGAATATGAGATGGAAGGCTACGGTACCAGAGGACCGGAACCGTTCAATTCCTGGGACTGGGACAAGACAAGTTTGGCAGCAGGTACAGTTACAAACACGGTAACCAAGATAGAGACGAAGAGCGCATCATCGCTGCAAGGCGAATCCACGACGAGTCCAAGCTCAGGCCCACCACCATCCTCAAGCCAGACCGTCGACAATACAGCACCACCTCTCTCCGGCGCTCCGTTCCTTCCTCCAGCAGATGTTGTAGATGGTGCAACTCCACCACAAGAGAGTGAAGAGCCTCGCCCGACCCACACCCGCACTGAATCGTCCGGATCCCCCCCAGCCGTGACTCGAGAAATCTATTATTCCGCCGACTCCAGCCCGCCCCCTCTCTCAACCACCCAAATCGCTGGGATAGCCGGTGGCGTTGGAGGCGGCGGCCTTCTGGTATTCGGCGCGACGCTACTCCTTCTGCTCCGACGGAAGCGTCCCGAGACCCCAGACGAAGTGCCACCGGTTACCTCGCCGGTGATGATGACGGAGTATAAACCGGGAACGGAGAACCCAGCGGGTATACATCGGTCGTCTCGGAACCTGGGCCCGAGCATGATGAAACCGGTGCCGGTGGCGCCAGGCGATGTACCGGAGTTGGAGAACCAGCCGACGAGGCCTTTGCATGTGGTAGAGTTGCCGTGAACATGGCTGGTGTGGCGGAATGTGAGGGCAAAGGAGGTTTAAGGGTTCTAGGGAAAGGAGGTTGGTTAGCCGTGCATGTGGGAGTGTGGAAATGGGTTGCTTTGCTTGAAATGCTTCTTATGTTTCGTCGAGTTGTTTGGGCCTTCAGTGAGGTTGGTGTAGATTCATGTACCCTGAAGGGTTGTAACAATCATGTGTTAGGTACTTCTGTGATGCCTTGTTTAAGTAGAGCGATAAGCTGGTTCTCAATCAATATAACACAAATATCAGCGTAAGCACAGGAGATCACTGAGAGGACTTGGCCAAAGGTTGGAGACAACCACGGCGTTCATGTTACACTGTAGCAGTCCGTATTCCAATTGTCCACTTGCAATATATAAAAGTACAAGGCTCTAAAAACATCAACTTCAGTAGCGAAAAAGCGGTGCAATACAGATGTCTCCTCTCAATATGTGTGAAGCTCTCAACCAACTTGAACAGTCATATCTATTATTTTGACATTGCTCCAACCCTGCTCGCTATGTCTGCGCTGAGCAGATGACCGTGGGAAGATCTATTACCTATCCTATTGGATATACAGGGGCTTTCGCAATTTACATCATGTATAACATCACTACCAGCTCGTGAGTCCGCCACTATTTACCATGCAATGAATTTAAGCCAGCCACAGTACAGAGCCATCTCCTAACATGAATCCATCCACACCATCACATCATACTCTCGGATCCCCGCTCCCCCCAAGCTGCTCAACCAACATGCTCCTCAACGGCCTACTCCCCGTCCGCCCCCTCGCCGCACCACTCCCCTCACCCGCCGTCCCCGACCCCTCCCCCGTTGCCGAAGCCTCCGCTTCCATCCTTCTCCTCAGCCCCTCATACTCCCTCCTCTCCGCTGCGCGAGTCCCCGGAAGCACGGACCAGATCCACGAGGTCCAACTACCCCTGGAAGTTGATGCGGCCGGGATGCGATCCGAGGGCGCCATGGCGGACGGTGGGCGCGACGAGGCGGGGAGCAACCACCATGGGATTCGGGAAGCGGTGTTGACGCCCGGTAAGGCGTCTGCGCGCCAGAGGTTTCCGACGGACCAGCCGATGAGGGCAGGGAGGAGGGAGGAGGGGAAGTTAGGGGCGAGGAGCTGGAGGGAAGTGAGGTAGGTGATGGATTTGGAGGTTAATTTCGGTTCGGGTTCGGGGTGGGGAGGGGAGGGGGAGAGGGAGGTGGAGAGGTTGTATTTGTAGGTGTGGGGGATAGCGGAGTGGTATTGGGAAAGGAGGGCGAAGAGGATGGCGGTGGGCCCGGCGGGGAGGAGATTGAGGGTGTTGAAGGAGAAGGGGCGGAGGATGAGGAGGAGGAGTAAGGGTGGTAAGAGGGTGGTGTATGGGAGAGTTAGGAGGAGAAAAGACTGTAGCTATTAGCAAACATCCATGAAGTTCAGTACAGGTAGCATATACCGCGAACTTTCTACTCCCCCATAGCCGTTCCACCACTCGAATCTGATAAATGGATATGACAGCAAACAGCACTTCGGTACTATTTAAATATGCGCCTTGCCAGGTAAGGAACCGCCATATTTGCCCATATTCCCAGATGTGTGGGATCACTTGGAGGGGGACGAGGTATTTGACGTCGAAGATGCTGACGGCGACGGCGGAGGCGATGATTGACCCGATTAACAATTTTGTAACCGGAGTCCCTGTAAAACCGGATATATACATTCTGAAGTGAGAGGAGTCGTTACTTAGACATGCCCATGAGCCGACCGATCACTGGATTTCACAGCACATTTGTACCTTGATGTCAGGAGGGGACTGGAGCTCTGGACTACGTTACTCATTAGATATTAAAGCCACAATTTCCCGAAGTTTAGGCGGATTTCCTCCTCCCCGTCCATCTTCGAAGCTTGAAACTTTCTCAATACGGACGCGCCATTCTTGATACATTCCATTGATGAGTCCCAATGGCTTCACTCGCCAATTCTTTGGGGCGATGTGCCTTGGGTGCATGCAGGAGACAAATCCGGTCACCGCCATGCACGCGATCACATATTGCTCATGACTTGAGACAGCCATGGAGGAGACAGTTCACTCAATCACGGGGACTCCGACAGTCGGATGATGTAAAAGACGGTGTGAAAGACGAGGTGAAAAAAGACGTCGATATTCAAGAGAGATCGTCCACAAATGCCGAGGAAACTCCAGCAAAAGAGTCTACATCAGCAAGAGCATCAGACAGCGAGCCAGCTCAACCATCGCAGACCCCCAACCGCACCACCGACCAATCCGCCCGCCCCCCTTCTCCCTCCGATGCCCCCGACTCCATCTGCCTCCTCGAGCCCGAAATCCAAGAACTCTGGCCCTTCATCCCGCGGGACGAAAAATCCCCGCTCCTCCACGATGCCGAGCTCCAATACGCCCAACTCTCCGAGGCCGAGAAGCACGCGCTCCGCAACCAGGCGCACGATCTCCGCCAGCGGCATCAGCAGTACGGTGTGCGCCCGGGATCGCTCTCCGACGCCGCGTTGCAGGCGCTGGGCGCAGGCGATCGGCGACGGCCGAAATTGGGGTTCTGGAATATGGATGCAGTGCGGCCCGACCAGGAGGGGTTGGATGAGCCGTTTGGGAACGACGATGTGGCGCCGGCGGCGCATGCGGAGTTGGAGCAGCAGCGGGAGATCCGGGAGTATGCGCGGTGGGTGGCGTGGGAGTTGCCGCTTCTTAGCAGTAGGTGAACGCAGGACGATGTGGGAAACGAGGCTGATTGGAATAGAATACGCGAGGCCATTTGAGCCGCCGAAGAAGACGCATCCGCTGCGTTTCCGGTACACGACATATCTAGGCGAAGACCATCCCGCCGCGAGGAAAGTCGTCGTGGAGCTCGACCCGAACGACCTCCCGAACCTCAGCGAACAGCAGCGCGACAAGCTGATCAAGATCGCCGGCTCGCGGTACCACCCGGGCACGGGAATCATCAAGATGAGCAGCGAGGCGTTTGGGACGCAGGCGCAGAACAAGCGGTTCCTGGGCGACACGATCAACGGTCTCATTGCCGAAGCACGCGACGGCAAGGATACGTTCGAGGACGTGCCGTTCGACTTCCGGTACTATACCCCGAAGCCGTTCCATGAGTTCCCGAAGGAGTGGATCATGACGCCGGAGCGGAAGCAGGAGCTGGAACAGCGGCGCATTGCGCAGCTGGAGGGGTTTGGAGAGTCGCGGGGTGACGCGGTGCCGTTGCTTGACGGTACCAGCGCTGCGGAGAAAGTAGAGGAGCCAGTGATGATCCGCTCACGATTGAGAGCAAGGGAAGCACCAATGGAGCGGCCGAGTTTCATGCCGCGGCCATAGATACGCCGAATCCCATGTCATTTATAGTCGTTACCGTCGTCATGTATTAAAAGTCTGTACAATACACTTTGTAGAAAGCGAATGGCAACCAACCCCGTCCCCAAACACCAATCGCTATGCCCATCATAAAATAATCCCGTGAAGACAATGGACGGATCCATATCCGTAATCCCGCATCCCTCCCCAATAAAAGCCAGCACGGAGCCACCCCGCAAACATCCTATCCACCCCGATTGATCCCCACTGTACTCCGTGAAGCCGTCGACGTTGCATAATCCGGCGGCAGCGAACCCCCCCTCGCATGCAACGCCCTCGGCCTCTCCACCAACTCCACCTCCTCCCTCCTCTCCACAGTCCCGGGCCTTCCCCCCTCCTCCGCTCCCCCCTCACTCGAAGTATACGGCGGCGGCGCCTCCCCCAACTCATTCAACCCCTCTGCCTGGCTCCTCGGCGTCACCTCCCCAATCCGCCAACCCCCCCGATACCACCGTCTCCGACTCGTCCAGCCCTCGAGGTCGCGGGCGAGGGCGTGCTGACCGCGGGCGAGGAGGCGCTGCTTGCGGCGTTTCTTGCGCCGGTGGACGATCCAGATGGCGAGGCCGACGAAGGCGATGAGGAGGGCGAGGAAGACGAAATAGTAGTTGAGGAGGCTGGATTCACGCTGTTCGTTTGGGTCGAAGGGCGGGGCGCCGGGGCGGTGAGGGGTGGTGGCGGGTTTGGTGGTGGAGGTGGGGGTAGTGGTGAGGTTGGTGAGGGGGGGGTTGAGGGTGAAGGTGGAGGGGAGGGGGACGGGGTTGAGGAGGGTGGAGGAGGAGAGGGGCAGAGAGATGGAGGTTGAGAGGGTGGATGGGGATGAGGAGGAGGAGGAGGAGGACAAAGGAGATGTCGGTGAATCGGCCATGGTCGTCTTCTATTAGAAGCTGATGATAGCCGGCTTCAGGAGGATTTCGAAGGGAAGTAGAGGAGCAATGGTGTCTCAATCGCTGTTCTCCACAAACATGATGTCGCTCAGGTTAATAACCAGGTCGCCAGTTGAGTTGGGGTGTTATCATCAGCTTCATTCAATCGGCCTGAACCCAGATGTATGGATGAAATGGCGATAATGGAAGAAGCAACCGGGGATGGTCATAACGAGTTATAGTCGACATCGGTGTGTAACCTCAGCCAGAAAGGAATATGACAGAATTGAACAACGAGCTGTCTTCCAAGTTCAATCTGATATTCCAGTCTGATGCAGACAACGGAATTGAGGGGAAGTCAGGTAACTCTAGTTGAGTGGGTAAGCGTGGAGTTGTGGGATATTAACTCTATTGAGATGGCGCCTTTAAGGGTCCGGAATGGCGTGGATCATGATTCATGGATGCTGGAGAGGCGCGCTTTCTTGCATGACCTAAGAGCTAAGTGTTAACTACTACGGACGTAAGGTATTGAATTACTGGAACGGGTGGAACCAGCCGAGTTTCATGGAGTGTCTCTGTGTGTCAGCCATACAGTTAAGCCATACACAGTTAAGTGTGGATTGGAGCGCTGCAACTCATAACGTGAAGTTTGGTTGATACTCCATATACACTGGTGAGCGGAAGATTCCCTTACTTATATATCAACTCCCTTCCTCGCTCGTCGATACGACACTCCTTATTCTACCTCCAACCGTATCCACCACATTCCGCTAGACGAACCATGGTCAAAGCCGTCAAAGGTATGCTTGTTGTTCGCTCTGGCACAATATACAGAACCTCGACTCCCTCACACCCCCCCAACATCTTCTCCTCAGATCTCTCATTAACGAACATCCTAGGCGCCCTCGTCGAGTGCGACGCAAGCATCAAAGCCATCATCGTCAAGATCGACAAGCAGCGGCGCAATGAGATTATCATCGAAGACCTCGATGACGAGACGGTCCTCGTCAAGACCGACAAGCTGGAGGAGCTCAAACGTTTCCTCAAGGAAGTATGAGAGCCTTGTACTTCTGTTTAGCGAAGGTTGCTTACATGTAGTAGGAGTTGAAAGACACGGTCAGGGAAGCAGAAGAGTCGGGAAGCGAGTGATGGGATTGATTCTGCTATGACGGGCGTCCTCACGCTCGAGGGACATTCCTGAAAATCCGCATCCCCTTGAGAGCAGAGGGCTACATTTCAGTTCGACGTGTACCAGTCCCCGAAACCATTGCACCCTTCCTTTCCAGGCCCGTCCTCGCCTCGATAACTTCTGCCTACACCATCCCCATCCATCTTATCCTCAAGACCTCACATCCCATCCTTCTGCGCCGCCCCCTCGACCGCCGGAACCCACGACGGACGCTGCGGCGCAAACAGCTCCGACACAGGCTTCCCCTTCTCCAGCACGCCCGGCGTGTCCAGAACCCCCGCCTTCACAATGTGTGCAGGGCCAAACGACCCGCCTGTCCGGAAGAGCGTGCTGCCACAGTCGCCACAGAAGTGGCTGATGATGGACTTGCCGCCTAAGAGGAGGTTAGTTGGTGGGGTCGGATGGCGGGATTGGATGGTGGGATCGGATGGTGAAGGGGGAAAGGGAAGGGTGTGGCTTACTATCGGCGGTCTTCGTGAATTGCTTAGGGTCGCCGGTCACGGCGAAGTCGTCGCTGACGATGACATGGTTGATGCTGTGAGTGCCGCCGGAGATCTTCTTGCAGTCACCGCAGTGGCAGAGGGCCTGGGAGGGGATCAGACGAGACGTATGCAGTGGGAAGGGTGGGGAGTACTTGAGCGACTGGCTCTCCGGAGTAGGAGATCTTCACCTTTCCACAGAGGCACGAACCGGTAGCCATGGTGGAGGGAGTTGGTAGCGGGACAGTATTAGGGCTGATTGTGTGAAAGTTGAAGATATCGGAAGTGGCTGGGACAATTGCTAGTAGAAAAGGGCCTTGAGGATTATTTGTTTCTTTAAATCGACCTGATGATCGTGATATAGGTAGCGGTCTAGAAAATCTCCCCGCAGTATCCGACGTAGGGCATGATGCTAGCTTACGTCCTTCCTCGGCATATTAAGCGGCAGGTTAAGCGACGCTTCTGAGGATTCAAGTTACTAGCGAGATCTGCATCTTGCATACCAAACGGCGTTTCAAATGCCTCGTCAACGGAAATTCAAGGGAGCGTCATCACACACTTTCCAACCATCGAATAGGGATGTTTAGAGTGGTCAATCCGATCCAATTATCTTATGATAGTCTATGTGATAGTTATATTTATCGAGTCCAATAGTGCTGACAGCTGCCGCCGTAAGCAAACTACAACCCCGCAGAGTCTGGACCATCGCTAAGAAAAGTAATTTGCATGGATCTGTTCTTGTTGGCATCTCAGATCTCTATCTAAGGATGGTTCCGTGCTGAGCTTACGCGAACCACAAGGCTTAATGGCAAGGTACAATGAATTCCTCAGCACCCGTCCAGTAACATTAACAAGCGCGATGGTAGAGTTCGGTCTAGATTGCAGAGGGCGGATATCCGTATGTCAGCGGGCCGAAATCTAGACCCATATCGTCTGATACGACCTAATATCGGGAATACCTTAGGTATCAGAATCCGAGAGAACCATGCTGGCCAATATGAATACAAGCCAGAGGATCTAGGTCTGAGTCGGAGAAATCGGGGTACAACTTGAGCCAGCATTCAACCGCATGCTCCCATACGTAGTACGACAGCTAGGAACCTCTACTCTAGGTCATGCTTGATATAGCTCGTATACACCGTCATCCCAAGAAACCACACTCTCGAACTCCCTCGAACGCCGCAATATACATCGCCGAGACGCCTTCATCATCCCTTAACCTCATCCCTCTGCCACTCCTCACGCCGGTTTTCCTCGATTCCCTTCCCCACCCTTCGCCGTCCCCAATCCCTCCCCCTTCTCCTTCAACGCCGGGAACGTAAACGCCTTCGTCCTCCCCCCCTTCAACTTCTTCCACACCCCGAAGTCCGCGTCCCGCGACCACGTCAGTGCGCCCACCCACGGCTGCACGTTCCACGCGAGCTCCAGCGTCGCGTTCGCCTGCGCGGCAATCCGCCCGGAGGGGTCAGTGATCTGGTACTTCGGGCGTTGGTTGGCGAGCTTGAAGATGCCGGGGGGTTTGGTGGAGGGGGATTTGGGGGGGGATTTGGAGCGGCGGGATTTCGTAGAGGCGTGGGGGTCCCAGTGGTTGTGGTGCGGGGGTTGGATGGGGCCGGCGAGGATGGCATCCCAAAGGATGGCTTCGGTGCGAGGTTCGGAGGGGGAGGTAGGGGGGTAGGTGGCTTTGATGTAGAGGAAGACTTGTTTGGTGTTCCAGTTGAAGAGGGAGGAGAGATCTGGGAGGGGTATGTCAGACTGGTTCAGGCCCTTGTGGTTTCTCAACGCATACCAGTGTCCAGGTCGAATTTGATATGAGCGTATTCTTCCTTCTTCGAACTGTAGTAATGCGGTCGTCCTTTGACTCTGAAGAATATTGTAAGCCTCTTGCGATCTCATACGATATAAGGAGGCCCAGATTCTTACACTTGTACATTTCTCAACTTCAACGAGGCGGACGGCGTCTGTGGAGACGTGAAGGAGGAGAATGCAATCAGGATCGCAATGCACGATGCCACGGTGGTAAAGAAGCCGAAGACATTCTGCAACCGCACCAGGGCCGAATGCATCTTGCCGGGAGGTTAATGAGGGGCTGAATGGGCTACCGGTACTTCGTAAGACTGGGTGATGTCTCCAAAACACAGATCTTAAACCAAAGCTGCCATGGTCGGAATGATGATGTGGTTTGTAAATAATGTATGAGCTCGCTGTCAAGCTTGGATAATGGATATCAAGAGATCTGGCTGGATTCCAGAAGCTAGAGACACTAAATCGACCAGGGTTCTCCACACTTGCCTCGACGCAGTAAAATGTCACAATTAGGAACAACCAGCAGCAGAAGGATTCGAACGAAATAGATATCAGGCAGTGGTTTTAGTTCAATAGACAGAACTAATTTCTTAAGAAATATCATAGAATTGGCTTACAGGTGGAAATTTGATACATACCCATGGGATGCGTTTTGATAACTACCAATGGAGCCAATACATTGATTCAATACGTATATAATACAGAACTAAATTTATTAGTAAGACACACCGTTACCCTTCGAAGCTCAAGCATGTGGAAAAGTTGGCACCCAGACCCATGTCTTAGTAAGCAGTGGCCCCCTACAGTAGAACGCTCCTTTCAAACCTGAACGATACGAATACCTTAGGAGCCCCTTGCCCCGATGTGAGCGACCAAGGCCTCTAACTGGACCGAAACCTCTCTCTACGGCCAGGAGTCTGAGCAAGATATCATGATCTTCCCAAGTACAAATACAGCACGCTCCAGATGATTTATGATAGTAGTGAATCACTAGTTTCATTCAGGGGTAAGGCATCGTATGCGCAATTAGACGTGGCGCTGATTGCATTAAATCATTATCCGTCCTCATGGGTATCACTAGCTCGTAACCAACGGCTCCAACCTCGCCGCAAGCAGACTCCACGTCGAATCGTCCCCCGCGCGTCCAATGCCATGGAGACCCGCGACCGCGAACCGGATCCTCCTGCCGAACTCCTCCTGTAGCGTTCTCACCGTGCCATCAACATCTTTCTCATTGTCGCCGTTCGGGAATTCATCGAAGAGATCCTCATCGGCGTCCGAATCACTGTCGCCGGGAATATACCGACCCGTCCCCCGTTGTGCAGACACCGTCCCTTCTCTCCCCAGATGGGTGGCGCGAAGCCCCGGTATCCGGATCCCCACAACCAGAATCGCCTCCATCGCCTCGAAAATCGGCCGCAGTTTCTCTGACGCCAAACACCGTGACTCGACGGTGTCCGCGAACTTATCGTACAGCTCACACAGCACATCGAAGCGGGCGCAGGTGCTGATATCGTTCCGCAAGCCCGCGATCGCCGGTTCCAGGACGGTGACCGTCACATATGACGCGAAGATGCCGAGAAAGACGAGGAAGCGGTGGCGGAGGGCGGAGAGGCGGGTGCAGAAGGCGCAGGAGGGCCCGTGAGGACAGGACCTGGTGCGGAAGGAGATCTGTTGCTGCTCGATGCTCGTCTTCGCGAATGACATGAGGAGCAGGAGGGAGAAGATGCGTTGGAACGCTTCGATGGCTTGGTGTTGGACTACGTTCTGCACGTACCAAGGGAGCTGGGTGGATGTTAGTCGGTTGAGCGGTTCAAAGTCTACCGGCCATACCTTGTACTGCAGCTCAAATCGGCTTATCTCAACCAGATTGCGGTGCTCGGCCTCTTTCGGGAAATATATCTTTATCCTCCAGCCATCGACTGGAGGGACCTGTCCCAGATAGTTCTGCGCAAGTGCCGTGATGGCCGAATCCGTAAGCATTCCGGCCGGCGCCTGCCGTATCGCAAGGATCACTGCGTCGGAGAACTCGGCGAACGCGGACTTATCAGTCGCGAGGAACACCGCATGGAGCCCGTCGACATAGCGCATGAACGAGCGGCCATGGACCACAGCTTCGTAAAGCCGTGTCTGCGAACCGGTGGTCGCTTCGCTCGTCCATTTTTGAAGCGCGTCCTCGACTCGCAGTTCCAAAGGGATGAAGTCGGCACCCCCATGGAAGGGAATCAACGTGATGGATTCGTGTCGTGGCAATCTTCCATCGTCTCTCGTGTACCCGAGCCGCTTGAGGAACTGGACTGCCAACCCGGCGTTGGTAATCGCCTTGAGGAGGCTAATCTGATGAAAAAATTTCGGTGCCTCGGGCCGAATCGACGTTGGGGTATGGTAGTTTCGTATGTTGTCGCCCCCCCGAAATTGGGAAGTGGGAGTCGTATTAAAGCTTGTGCCAATCATATCAGTGCGCAGGAAGGATACGCGATTCTCATCGTCCCATTCCCCGTGGAAGACCCAGCGTTGTACGGGTCGAAGGTACACTTCCAGGCATCGATGTAGTGTCGTCGCCAGGCGCTGGAACACCTCCGGGGGTTCTGTAATCTGGCATTGGCATGTCATGTCATACAATCCGTCCAGCCGAGAGAATTGCCCTGGTCTCACTATGGATGCCCCGGCGATCCGTGAGAAGAGCACGGGAACACGCGCAGCTTCCCGGGCGGAATCGAGGACTGAAAGGGCGCTGATAAGCCGTTCAGATGTAGTTCGTAACAATCCTTGCTCAATCTGCGTAATGCTAGCATCAAACGACCGAATGACAGCGCGAGTCTCGTCCTGGAACGCTTCTAGCCAAGGTATGCTTCCGCCTCCCTCATGCCAGGTGCGTACGACGTTGATGCTGGCCCCCAAGTCCGCAAACGCTCGCGACAGGCTCTTGCACGTTTCGACCGTAGCCGACTCGAAGAAAATCGGCGGTCCAGACAGTTGAACAGACACGTTCTTCTTCGTCTCTATGCGGACAAAATAGAGAGATGTCGGAAGCCCGTGGAGCATCGAGAGGGACTCGCGGATGAAGAAAATCTCAGGGACCACTTGCGGGGGTAGCAAAACTCGTTGAGTCTGCGGTGCGAAGGTCTCGTCTTTCGGAAATGGCGAGAAGAGGGATAGATGGGCGGTCTCATCGACAGGGACGACATATGAGGCCAGATCTATGATGTCGTCCTCGGGGAGTTCTTGCGCCGTTCTCGGCTTCTGCTCCGGTTCGCTCATCGTCTCCTCCTCCTCATCATCAGAAGACTGCGCAGCATAGTCGATATCCTCCCAGATTTCTTTCTGTCTCGACTTTGCAATGATATTCTTCCAATCAATCCTCAGGGGCAGTGTCAGCGCCCGTTCATGCAACGTCTCTTTGACCTGTCCCTTGCGGACCGGATCCTGCGAGAGTTCGAGCAGTAGAGCAAGATACTCCGGTGTCCATTTTGAATTCCATGCCGTAAGGTCCCCAAGACATTGCCCCAGAGCATCGGCGAGGTCGTCTCGACCCAGTACTTGAAACTTCTCGACCAACCCGTCGACGGCGTTTTTCGTCTCGAACTGGCTCGGTCGAACGAAGCTATGCGATCGTAAATTCCTCACCGCATGATCCCTTGCTCTTTTGAATTTCGGATGATCTTTCTATTCATATGATTTCAGTGAGGATTATTCGTTGGGATAGGTGGGGCTACAAACCTTCTCGGAGAGGCCGGTGATGCTGCCGGCCAGGGCTCCGACAAGAGAGCCAACAGTGGAGGAATGCGCCATCAGAATCGATTTCCATTTAGTGGAGGATGGAGTTAGTTTCTATTTCTTGACTGCTGCGATATCACATGCTGTCTACCAGTGTACCAGGCGTGCCAGGCTACCGGATGTTTGGATGAGGAAACAATAGTACGAACGGCTCAGTACATAAGTTCGAACCCCGGCCAAGTCGCCACCCCCCCCCCCCCCCACCACCTAGGGAGCCAGTATCACCATTGAACCACCATCATTTGAACCGTGATATCTCCGCCACCATCTAATATTACGATGTCATCTTTAGAGGATCTAGTCAAACAGGCTATTCATGCCTTAGAGACCGGTCAATGCAAATCACAGAACGAAGCTGCGGCCCTATTCAAGGTCACCCGACGAACGCTTCAAAACCGCCTCAAAGGTGTCCCTCCACGATCTCAAGCCCAAATATCGAATCAACGTCTTACACCGGTGCAAGAGACCTTTTTAGTTGATTGGATACTTGAGAAGGACGCCCAAGGATTTCCTCCTACCCACGCACGACTTCGCGAAATGGCATCGCGAGTTTTATCCCTTCAAGGGGATTCCACGCGCCTTGGGAAGAACTGGGTACCACGATTTCTACATCGAAATCCACGCGTTGCAACGTGTATTGGACATAGTCTAGATGTCGTACGACGTCAAGCTGCAACATAGGATCGAATCAATGGCTTTTACGCGTATTTCCATCAAGTTCAAATACAGTACGATGTCCACCCTTCCGATACATGGAATATGGATGAAGTCGGTGTTGGAATGGGGATATGTGCTAATTCTACTGTCATCGCAGACTCGCAGAAGTCGACAGCTTATATCACGAGTCCTGAGAACCGGGAATGGTCTTCTATCATAGAAGCAGTCTCTGCAACCGGTCGCTCTCTCAAAGCGACCGTTATCCAGAAAGGCGCGTCTCTACAAGCTGCTTGGTTCCCCGAACAACCTCCAGACTTTCATTATGCGGTATCGCCGAACGGATGGACTTCAGATAAACACGCGTTGGTGTGGCTTCGTACGGTTTTCCTTCCTGAAACCGCTACAGAGCGACGGTACAGGATTCTACTGATGGACGGGCACGGAAGCCACGCAACCGTCGATTTCCTGTACGAATGCAGGATAAATGACGTGATTGTGGTCTTCCTATCTGCGCATACCTCCCATATCCTTCAACCCCTCGATCTCGCCTGTTTTTCACCTCTAAAACGCTTCTACAAGGCCCTCCTCCGCCACAGCGCGTATATCGACGAGGCGCTACCGATTAAACGACGAAGATTCATTGTCCTCTATGCTGAGGCGCGTCGGGCACGCCTAATTGACCGTACAATCAGATCAGGATGGAAGGCCGCGGGTCTTATACCGTGGGACCCGTCAAAAGGCCTCAATAACCGGTTCGTGATACCGCCCACGACTACCGAAACCGCATCCTCAATTCCACCACCAAACACGCCTCCAGGCAGCCCAATACTAGTCCCATCAGTCCTCCAGACGACGCCCTACAAGCCCAAACAAATACAAAGTGCATTGCGCGTTCTTAGCAAGAACACACGCGTGGCGAAGGCGACCAAGGCATACATGGGGAAAGCAGCTAAGGCAATCGGAGTGCTACAGGCGCGTCAGGCTGCGTCAGATCTGAAAATTGCGAGTCTCCAGGCCCGCCTAGATGCCGCTGCAGCCCCCAAACGCAAGAAGAAGGTTCAGATAGATCTTAATGTCAAATTCGCACAGATTCAAGAGATCAAACTGGCGCAAGAGGCTGTACGACTTCTTGACATGAATACGCCACCAAATCAGGCTATTCCAATAGCTCAAACTACCCAAGAGCCTCCCAATGACATTGTACAATAGTCCTATTGTTTAAATTCTAAATACAATTGCGTAGTGGTGGAGATACCACGGTTTAAGTGATGGTGATTGAGATGGTGATACTGGCTCCTTAGGTGGGTGGCTCCCTGGCAGGGGTTCGAACTTATTCCGTACAGTTAGAACACTAAGAACAGAAGTCACCAACCGCGGGGGGCCAATGGGAGGGAGTCGGATCCCTGCATTCGCCCCCGTTCCTGGCAGCGACCGCCGCGACAACTGGAATTTACTGGACTGATCGGGTCAGCATTGTCAATTTGGACCCGAAATCTGGGCGTAAAATGAAAGGGAGGGACTACTCTAACTCCTCTAAGGGAGACCGTTCCATCGAATTGATTAGTCCGTAAGAGCTACCGGTAATAAACCTGCCTGCAGCATGTGCGAGGGACCGATTGACCGATCGGCCACCATGTTCAGCGACCAAACGAACGCCGACCCTCCTTTTCCGCCTAGTATCGTACTGCACAATTAGCCCCAACTGTCCGCCATGGTTCCTGAACTTCATGATCGTGAATGACTTATTATGAGATTCTCGCGAGTGTGATCTGATTCTTCTTGCTGTTTCTCGCCGTGGAGGGTCCCCGACTGTGCCACCGAAATCTCACAGCATCATTACCAACCCATCATGGTCGTGCCGCGCCCGATCCGGCTCCTGACGTTAATATCCGCTTTCCTCTTCCTCTGGCTGGTGTACCAGATCTTCAAAAGCGATCTTCCACATGGTTCCCCCCCCAAGGAAGAGAAGATAACGAACTGGGTGAAAGACCCCAATCTGGACCGTAAGTCTCCCCTCTCCGGTTCAACACTCCCAACCCCGAGGTCCAACAGCTAACGATCTCTCTTCCACCAGCAACTGACGAGCCACCGGAACCGCTACGAAGAGTCATAGGCAACAACTATGCGCCGAATAACCCCGACTCCTCCCGCGTCAACGCGACCCTGATGGCGCTGGTGCGGAACAACGAGATCGACGCGATGCTGCAGAGCATGAGGGATCTGGAACGGACGTGGAACTCCAAGTTCAACTACCCCTGGCTATTTCTCAATGACGAGCCGTTCACAGACGAGTTCAAGGAGAAGACGAGTGCGGCAACGAGGGCGGAGGTGCGATATGGTATGTGCCCACACATCAATTCGGTTGCAGAAAATCTAACCCGACCCAGAACTCGTCCCCAAAGAGCACTGGGACATGCCCAGCTGGATCAACCGTGACCTCTACGACGAATCCGTCGAGGTGCTCAAAGCGCAAGGCGTGCAATACATGGACCGCTTCTCCTACCATCAAATGTGTCGTTGGAACAGTGGCTTCTTCTACAAGCACCCAGCGCTCCTCAGCACGAAGTACTACTGGCGCGTGGAGCCCAATGTGCGCTTCTTCTGCGACGTCGACTACGATGTCTTCGGCTGGATGCAGGACCACAACAAGACATACGGCTACACGATCAACCTGTACGACAGCCCGGAGAGCGTGGCGGGGCTGTGGCCAGCGACGGAGAAGTTCCTGGCGGTCCACAAGGAGCATCTGCATCCGAACAATGCCATCCAGTGGCTGACGGACAAGGAGGGGCGGCCGGAGAACTTCGAGAAGGCGCATGGATATTCGACGTGTCATTTTTGGTCGAACTTTGAGATCGGCGATATGGATTTCTGGCGGAGCGAGGCGTATGAGAAGTATTTCAACCATCTAGATCGCGCGGGCGGGTTCTGGTATGAGCGGTGGGGGGACGCGCCGGTGCATTCGATCGCGCTGGGGCTGTTTGAAGATAAGAGCAAGATTCATTGGTGAGTGGTCATCTCTGTCAATACAGAATCTATACTGACGGACATTCTAGGTTCCGGGATATCGGATATCAACATGTCCCGTTCCTCCACTGCCCCAACTCATCCAAGTGCCGAGGGTGCGAGACGGGCAAGTTCACGGACGGCGAGTCGTTCCTCCAGAAGGAAGATTGCCGGGCGGTATATTTCAAACATGTGGGCATGCATTGAGCGGTTCGGTTTCTCGAACGCAGCGCTTGATTTAGTGAAGATGGAACGGAGGTTTCGGCAGGAGATGGGTTATTGATTGACGGGTGGGTTTATTACATACACGACTTCAGTTGGGATACCATTCATGGTCTGGCGAAATGGCGCGGGTGCAACTCCATGTACAGATTGGTGGCATTTGGAATGGCGAGGGGTGCTTTCATCCATGTAACCCTAGGTTGATCAATCAGTAAAAGTCATTTCAGCGGATCCCTTGGGATAGGGACGAGCGACATCATCTTCATCACAATCAAGACTCAAGACAGCAGAACCACCAAATGCGATTGATAATGAGACGCAAAACTTCAAATTCTGTACAGTTACTACAAGCTGGACACCCGTCTTCTCACCAGCCACCAATTCCTCGCCTTTCTATAACCTCTCATCCATGACCTTCATATGTTTGAAAAGGAATATCTATTCGCTGCGATGCATCCATGAGTAGGGCCGAACTCTTCTACTCCGGGTACAAGCCCTCCTTCAGCACGACGCCCAGCTCCTCCCGCAGCGGCTCCAACTCCTTCAGATACTCCTCGTACTGGCCCTTGTTCTCGACCTTCGACTTGACGCCTAGAGAACGAGACGATGCGTCAGCAGGGGTACTCAACCAGGGAACAACCAAATATCTGATATAACATTGACTCACCTTCGAAAATTCTCACGGCCGTCGGGAAGTCATTCAGCCTGCGAGCCGCCTGCAACGCAGCGGTGATGACGGAGGGGGAGGGGACGAGGTCGTAGGCGAAGGCGTTGTTCAGGTTGCGCTGGCGGTCACTGTCAATGGACCGTTGTCGACAGAAAAGAGAACCACCCATTGCCGCTCAATAGATGGCACGCAGAGAAGGAACCCAACTCACCTGAAGCTCAAACACATCCTGCACACCCTCGAACTCCTTCTCGTACCTATCCACCTCTCACATCAGCATCCATTCAATCCAATTCATCCAATTCGACCCTCCTCGGTCCTCCTGTCCCGCCCGGAACAAAAAACCGAGGCCATCCATTGCCGCCGCCCACCAACACCCAAGATCCCACCTACCTCGCAGTAAACTCCTCAAACGTCTCCTCCTTATGCTCGCTTGCCTTCCGCGCGCTCACGCTGAACGCTGCCACGCCCGCCTTCCTCGGCGCCACGCTCCCGGCGCTCCAGGCGGATCGCACGAGCGTCGATCGGCATGCGGTGGTGCGAGCGGACGCGCGCAGCAGGGCGAGGGGAGTCATGTCGGGGGTCGAGATGGGTTTCGTGGGTTGGGGGGGGTGATGAGTTGGGAAAGTGAGATGGGGTGAAGGGGAGCTGTGTCGTGGTATGGAAGAGCTTTGCTAAGAGGTGAGGTTGTTGGGTGGAATTCGGGATCAGGTTACGTTGGCGTGACTTGCCGGGTTGGGTTTGGGGGAAAGGGGATTATGTAAGGTTAGAGAGGGGCTCTGATTGGTCTGAGCTTGGGTTCTTGATACGGCGGGTAAATTACAGGAAGATCCATGATGTCTTCGATGCAAAGCTGAAATTGCTTCAGAGCTTTGGATGTATCCAATCAATCAATTACCATCCAGCTGCGTCTCGAATTAACATTACTCGGTATTTGGTTTTGGTTTCTCGTGGAGGAATAAGGAAGTAATATAATACATGCCAACGGGCTGACCAAGCGAGGTCCCCCGTTCATGGTGTGATGCGCGTACCAAGACCAATGACAAAGGTGCGGAAAGCTACAGGTGTAGAATGGTGAAAATGTCATGTCCCAGGGAATCCGAAGCGCGTCGGCAATGTCCAGGTGTCCAATGTCCATCGAAGTGGAGCCTCCTCTGCCTCTCTGACGCTCCGGTCCCTCCCCTCTCCATCTCCATACCAACTGCCACCGCTCCGATGCACGCGGTTCGGCCACTCGAGGAATTCGTCCCACCCTCATCCACCAACCTCCGAACCCTTCGGACGACCTCCTACTCCGAAGAATCCCAACTGCCGCACCGTCGGCCCGCGAAATCCATGCCGCCTCGTCGTCCCGCTCGACGACCCTACGCCTTCCTCGACCGCGTCGCGTACCCGTTCGACTTCGCCGACCCGGTCGCAACTGCGTTCCTGTTAGCCCCAGTGCTCGACACCGACGACCCGTGACTCAGCCGCCGCCTCGCCTCACCGACGGTGGGCACTTGCTCGTCCTTCATCTCCACCAGCGCACGCACACTGCGCGACCGCGGGCGCCCCTTGCCGCCCGTCGACTTGTAGGTCGCGAGGTAGAACGAGATGAAGAGGAGGAGGTACGAGCTGAGGATGGCCATGCCGGAGATAGCGGCGAATTCCTCGCCGGCGCAGTTGCCGGCGTTGGGGAGCCAGGGCCAGTAGGTCGAGGTGAAATAGGTGTACGAGGCGAAGTAGACGAAGCCTGGAAGACGGTCAGTATGGTGTGGGGGGAGGGTGGGAGTTTGTCCTACCGAGATCGATAACGAATTGGGAGATCTGCATGATGGTGATGTACTTCTTCCACCAGATTCGGATGCCTCGCGCGCTTTGGAAGTAGTACCAGTACATGACCACGTGGACCATGAGATTCAGAGTAATTACGGGCCATGAGACGGGGGTGTGGCCGAGCAGTTGGGAGAAGCAGAGAGCAGCGGTGGCACCATGGTGGTAGGTGTGAAGGAAGGCTATACATAGGTTAGAACCGTTTGAGACAACATGTCGACGACGTACTAAGAGGCTTCTTCTTCAGGAAGAGGAAAACGGTATCGATAAGTTCGAGGTACTTGGTCAGATAGTTCAACTGTCTCGCGTCAGTCCGGTCCAACCCTCCCAGCCGCATCCATGCCACCTACGTAATATAGAATCACCAGCTTATCCGTCCACCCCCCCTCATGGGAGCAAATCGCATGAAACAGGCTATTCCTCGCCAATTCGGGAATCAACTGCTCCGTAAACAATGCCAACAAAATCCCACTGATGGCCGTGAGGTAGAAGTTATGGATCTTAAACAGCCCGTTGAGCTGGAACGGCGCGCGGCTCTTCATCAGCTCGCGGCCCCCGAAGATGATGATGTAGTACGTGATGAGCACGCCCGCCGTGGCCGGCACCGTCGACATCAGTGTGGCGCCTTCCACGAACCGGAAGTCCTGCGGCTTGTATCCCACTACGGTCTCGAAGGCGAGCTCGAAGAGCGGCCAGAGTTTGAGGCCGAACGGGCGCTCGAGCGTGGGGACGCCGACGTCGAGCCATGAGGGTTGCTGCATGGCGGCGGCGGGTGGATGGGGTGGGAATCAGATCCGATGCACGCGGTGGGGGACGGGTGGGAGTCTCGCAGGAGGAACGGGGCGAATAGGCGTCGAGGAGAAAGTGAAGGGGGTTGCAGGAGGGCGGATCGGCGAGATTGGCGGCACCCGATTATGCGTGTTGTCGTCGTGATGGATGAGATTCCCGATAGATGATGGTAGAAGATGGCGGTCCCAGATGCGGCGAGTCGGGGCGCGCGGCAGCGAAAATGGGGGGAGGAAGAAAAGGGCAAAGGAGTGACTTGAAATAGGAAGTAGTAATGTAGCCTAAGTAAAGAAGCGGTTCCAGAAAGAAACCGACGATGGAGAAAGAAGAAGAAGAGAACGCGGGTCAACAATGGCAGGTCAAGACTCAAGTGCTCACTGCTGGGGCTGCACTTAAAAATTAGGAAGGTAGTGAGGGAGGACGGAGCGATGATGGTCTATGGAACGGGAGGGTCACGGGTGGTTCGCTGTTGGGACTAAAAAATTAATAAGGAGACATTTTTGCTCAGTGATCCGTCAAGGTGCCTTGTCTTGTTCTTCCTATTTATATATTCCTATATCCCTCTTCTTATCATTATCATTGTACCGAATAACAATGTGCAAAGTCTCAACTCATAGCCGTCAAGGGGTTGTCGTATCCTCCCCCTTTCCGCCGACATCCATTGCTCTCAGCTTGTTTGTTCAATTTCATGGACCATCCACGTAATTATTAGTTAGCTCAACCACCTACCTAACTAGTCCAATGTAGGATCCGTCCGTAATTACTAACTTAATCTAGAGTGGCGTACCAGACCAACCAACCACTGCCCCGAGTCCAATTTGCTGCCCCTACCTGCTCCAGCCAATAGCATGTCTGGGAAATCAACATCCCATCATGGTTAATCCCAAGCACGTGAAAGTGCCAAGTATATGGCAAATTATTGCTCTGGAAGTCTGGATGCCTTGATAATATACCTATCACCAACTCCGTGCTACGTTGCTACATATGACTTGAATGTGGTTGAGATGTTGGGTAATATACAGTGGTCAATGGCTGCGGGAAGGGTTTCATGAGATACAGTATATCAGCACACAATATCACTACTCTCGTCCACATCCAGAAACCGCTCAGATCTATCATTGAAGTGATTGAACCATGTCCTTCTGCTCCTCCAGGGAATCTGCAACTGTCTGGCTGGCTGACTACCGTGCCCACCCAGTTGGCGGGGACTTTTATAAAAAGGGCGAAGATAGAAGCGAAACAACCGAAAGAAACAAGGAGGCTTGAAAGAAGTTAAGATACATCTCGGATTTCCGAACAACCACCACAAAACAGAATCCCCGGGACAGTCTATCGCACTATTCAAGAACAGTGAATTTCCATAACCAGCATCCGTCCATCCGTCCATCCGTCCGTTCCCCATCCACAAGTCCTCTCCGTGTCGCGCTGTCCGTCCTCCCTTTTCCGTGGATCATTAGGGAAGAAGGGGGAGATACTCGAACATCATTATCTTCGCTGCACGTTGGTAAGGGGGGTTCCACTCTGTCACCTTTCCTTCTTACCCCATCGACCCAGACCCCAAAACGCGAAAGCGAAAGCGAAAACCCAAAAAGGGGGCGGAACAGGACAGCACAGCACAGCACAGGACCGTCCCCCGAAACCACGCATCGAACCAGCAGCAAGAATGTTCAATTTTCGCCCGGATTGAAAGAAAAAAAACATCATGTCTTCCCACTCGTCATAGCAAAGCCACATGTGCGCGCTCCCGTCGGAAACACAACAACGTACGTATTCATCTTTTGTTAAAAACAACATTACACCCCGTCAAGTTCCACATCCCATCCCGTCCCCCACGCGGGACTCTGCCGCTCGAATGGCCACGAACTTGCACCCCCGCCGTCCCACCCGCCGAGGAGTTCGGACGACGATTGCCGCGCGGTCGACGCGGTGTGCGGTCCTGTAGTTGCGGTGGACCCTGCGCCTCATCCGACGTGGTGGTGGATGCCTCGGAACGCGAGACCTGGAGCAAAACGCCAAAAATTTCAGAAAAACAACAGTCCACGCCTGGCCCAAAGAAGGAAAAAGAAGCGAAAGAAGGGAGGAAGGGGGAAAAGAAGAAGCAAGTCTATGTATAGGTTGGGTTGAATGCCACAAGTGTGTAGGGAGAGAGGGAGTGAGGGAGGGTTTCAATCCCGACGATGACTTCGCACGCAAGTCAACGCACCGAGCCCTCCTTCGCCCGCCGCTCCCGCCCATTCACCCCATCATCCTGCAACCGCAGCGCCTCCAAGCGCTTCTGACTATCCTGGCTCAACGGATCGGCGTCGTCGGCTCCTCGCGACGAACCCTTGCCCCCTTGTGACGTCGTGGACGGCAGCAGCCGGGCCTCCACCCGCCCGTTCTGCCGCGCCTTGGCGAGGTCGGCCAGCGCGTCCCATTTCGATTGGCGGGCTTTCTCCGTCTCGTCGGCGTGGAGTTGTTGCTCGGCGTATTCGTGCGAGCAGTCGTCGAAGAGTTGGGGGTTGACTTCCATGAACAGCTTCATGGCGTTGTAGACCATGCCGTGGATGGTTCTGGGACGGGGTGAGCGAGGGACGACAGGGGTGGGGGACAGATACTGACCTGTTCCAGTGGCCCTTGGAGTTCTCGTAGAGAGGGGCGAACATGATGGGAAGGATAACTTCGATGTTGTCGCTGACGAGGTTGCAGAAATACTCGTTGTTCCAGAAGTAAAGAGCCCGCTCGGCAACCTAACCACGGATCAGTTGGAGTTCGGAATTCGGATATATGCATACACACCTGGAAGTGAGGACTGGCCACGGACTTGGCCAACTGTGTGAACAGCGGCTCTTGCACCTTGACAAATTCCGCTGGATCCATAACCTCAAAGATGTCTTCGACTTCATTGAGATACATCACCTCTTTCGTGCTATTGGTCTTCGGCCAGTACCGCAGCAGCCCCAAAACCACCTATCAATGTGATGAGTATGGGTCCTGTTATAATTGGGGAGCATATATACCTCGTCAGTGAGCACGGCATCCTTCTCCAAGAACTGCACGATGCAGTAAGCCAGCTGTGGATGATACATGCTCAAGCTCTTGACTTTGTGCATCGGCAGTAAGACTCTCGTCAAGAACAGTTTGTGCTCTTCCTTCAGCGGGAGAGCAAAGCCGTTGATGATCGACCCCAAAATCTCGAGCAACTCCGCGATCCCGTTGAACCGCTCAGTTTCGTAGATGAACTGGAAGAAGACGTTGTTGATGGACCGCCGTATATACGATCGGAGGTTGAGGAATTTGCCGTATATTCTGTGTAATGTCGTCTTGAGGAAATCTCGTTCTCTAGGATCTTCCGAGTCGAACAGTTCGAGGAGCTAGATGACATGTTAGCACCGTATGTACTTCAACAATCCAGTCGCACATACCTGTAAAACGAAGCTGTGATCAATGTACTGCTTCGCAATGTTCGTGTTGAAATCCTGGCTCTCGATAAATCGGAGGAAGAACTCATAAACCACTTGAATATGCGGCCACGCAACCTCAAGCACCGGCTCATCTTCCTCCGGATCGAACGCATCCCCTTGTGGATTGACTGGCGGTGGAATCGGTCGAAATAGGTTCTTTGAGAACATCTCCACGACTCGAGGATACATCGGCTCCGTGATCACTTGTCTGTTATTGGCAACATAGTCCAGGAGCTCATGAAGAGCCAATCGCTTGATCTCTTTCGACTTCATGTCCGCGCTCGGGTCGTTGAAGTCGAATATGATGTTGCACTGGTCGATCTTCTGCATGAACAGCTCCTGTCGTCGGTTGGGGGGGACTTCATGGAACCCCGGGAGCTTTTCTAGCTCTCTCTGTCGTTGGTCGGACACATCGAAACGAGAGGAGTGCTGTCGTTTAGGAGTCCGGATCCCTTCCGGGACATCCTTTGGTGTGGTCTGTAGACGGTCGAACAGCAACGACTTCTGGCCCGCCTTGGGTGGAGCAAGATCAGTCGGCATCGTTTCCGCTGATCCAGGGGGAGGGATATGCTGCGAATGACCGTTAGCAGCCGTGTCCACCAAGGCCAGATATTATCAACATACCGGAGCACTTGGGCTAATGATCACGCTTGGGGTTATTGGTACATTCGGACGGTGCGGCGTCCCAGGACCTGATCCACCTCCGGGCGACCCCCCTACACCCGCCGCACTCTGCTGCGGTGCACTGAATGATTGTCCGGGATTAAGCGAATTCGGCAACCCTTGTGTTGGGGGAGCTGGTGTAGAATGACTGGTCGCTCCCGGTGGAGCGTCGCCGCCCGGGAGAGGCTTATTACGCGAATCAATCAATTGGGTGGTGGATGAGGTCGGCGTTGCGTGGGCGGAGTTCGCGGGGGAGTTGGACGACCCGCCCTGAGAAGGGGAAGCCGTTCCGGACGAATCCTTCTTCTTGGACGACCGGTTTGAGTCTTTGGCTCTAGAAAGCTGCTCATGCTGTCAGGGCTGTTCAGTATGCGCGCTCCAAAAACCTAGCTATACGACGGGACATAGATCCGGGCCAATACTCATGTCCAAGCTTGTGGGTGCGGGTAGCGGAACTACTTACAACTCGCTGCCGAAACCCCTTCATGACTGCGACTGGGCGCGGGGAGCTTCAACTCCCGGACAAAGGGGAAGCTTGGGAGGTCTCGTGGACAAGCTATGAATACTGCGTCAAGGACGGACCGACGAGGAGCGGATGAATTTGGATAGCTGTCTCGTATCACGCGAACATGGGGCTCGTAGTCGAAACGGGGTTCTCCTTATGATGTGGAGAGAGGCGGGATCAATCTCAGGCTAAAACGATCATTGATTTCGGGATCTGTAGGGCATCGAGGCCAATGTCAAATCGCCATGCGCCCGCTGAGATCGAAAGGAGGGTCGGTAATCGAAGCTGTGCAGTCGAGAATAGAGGACGAGGAGGGGAGAAGATGCAGGACCACGCGAAACAGGCTGTCAACGTTTGGCGCCAATAGGAATGAGAGGGTCACCCCGGTCTGCTGAGATGCAGGTTCTCGCGTATTGGTGGAAAGGTGTTGCAGGAGATCTGTTGTAGGATCGACTGGATTGGTGGTGGGAGGAAGCTGAAGCTAATATTGGGAGGCAACACACATTACAGTCAAAGGAGAAGAGGAGCAAGAGAGGCTTCACTGAGTGATGCCATACGTTATACGTAGAGTTGTCACCTAGAGATTGGGGTCACCAGAGGTGTAAGGCTGTAAGGCGATGAGGCGTAAATTCGGTCATGTTATCAAATAATCAATCATCAATGATTCAATGTTGTGACGATGTGCACAGACCATATCCGCAGCCCACATCCACATCTCATTAGAAACTAGCCACATGGAGTTGGGGATGTACAAAGTCACGTAGAAACTAATACATACATAAGAATAAAAGAAACAGACCTGCAGGTTGTGCTAGGAATATACCAGTAATTCCCAGAAACAACAGGAGCTAATGGCAGCCGTCAATTGGTCGAAGATCGTTATAGCAAGTTAGAAGTTGAACGTCAGTCCCACCCCAGAGTTGCAGACCAGGGGCAAGAGTGGACTATAACAAGAACTCTAGACCTCCTCTTCAGCTCCTTTATATCAAGTTCTGCTATTCCAGAATAATAATCCTTTATAATGTCAGCATCGTTGGACTCAGGGTCAGTCAAAGGAGTTTCGAAAGACGGCGAAGCACCCCTTTTCCAGGTCACCGAAAAACCTGTAATCTGCATCGAGCATCCATGTGTGGTGAAAGATGTGGACAAGGCTATTAGATCGTTAGGTGGAGAGCCTGCTCTGGAGAAGGTGGGCTTTGAGCAATGCAGACTAGGGAATACATGGAGCTAACTAGTCATCTAGTTCCTTCATGAAGAAAGCACTCGAAAAATCATCGGGGCCAGTCTTCGACCAGACGACCCTCTGGCAAAGCCTCATTTGTCCCGTGCAGTGCCTACCAAGGACATGTTACTCCGGATCACTGTGCCCAAGAGAACGGGGCGTAAGCGCAGACGAGGGAGCTCGGAGCCATATGCGTTCCAGGATGCCGATACAAAATCCGTTGTCCATTCTCAATCCGCTAATAATCCGGTCAAAGACATGCTGCGAAGCATGCAAGATAATCCAGAGTCTACTGAAATCAAATGCATGGGGGCAATCCGAGAAACCCATCGATTTCGCCGTATGTGCTATCTACACAAGGCTGAAAGTTTCGTTGCTGATATGTACCAGACCTCCCTGACTTCCAATATGCGTCCAATACCGACAGTGTGATGCGGAAGATTAAAGACAGCCTCCTTACCTTCTCATATGCCAAAGTCAAAAGCTTCAATCCTGACATCGAAGTCGGCTCTCTTCCTGAGACAGACGTAGTGGGACCCCCGCCTGCATTCAGCCAGATGATGAACAACTTCAACTACGGATACGAGCAGAACCCCGAGTTGCACTCGTTCATGGATCCGTCGGGACGAAGAGTCACAATCAACCTGCAGGCATTCCGAGGATATATCACCCATGTTGTACCGTTGAATGCTGAGCATGTCCCGCTTTCATCTCCCAATCCGCTACCCCCGGAGGATACGCTTCATCCTTTCCTAAGGCAGTCCATTGATGACCTTCGTTCCGCACTCGAAGAGCGACCCATCATTTCGAGGAGAGTCGCGTTGAATATGATCGACCAAGACGCAGGATACTTCCAACGATATGCCTGGGCGTATCTCGGATATGTCTTCAAAGCGGGGCCGTGGAAAGATTCTCTAATCAAGTTCGGACTGGACCCAAGAAAGGATCCGAAGTACCGGATATACCAAAGCATTGGATTCACCTTCAATTCCAAGGACATCAACCCAGAAGGCACCGGCGTAAGCTGGCCATGGCAAGGCGCACGACCTGGACCAGCCGCTCAGAAACCCAACGAAGATGACCGAACCACGCATCAATTCGACGGCAAGACCGTGTCCCTCACCGGTAAGCGGTGGCAACTCTGCGACATCACCGACCCCCTACTCCGCAAAATTCTCGACACCGCCCCCATCCTTGAAACCCCCGATCTCAACGCCGGAGGCTTCTACCAGAACGGCACCATCGCCGTCGTCCGCGCGATCATGCGCGATAAGATCGACACGATCCTGGTGGGCAAGCCGCCGGACGACAAGATCTACACCCCCTTCCTCGACTGGCCGGCCCGCATCGACGATAGCACCTTGGTGCAAACCCAGCTTCCCGTGAGCGTCACCGAGAAGCAGGCGTACCTTGCGGCACGCATCCGTGGGTTGGCGACGACGATTAGCAAGGTGCCAGCTACGGTTCGAGAACAGGGGGCGGTGGCACATGCGCACCGCAATGTTGATCCGGAGACTTTGCAGTCGAGGGACATGAATGAGGAGGTTTATGAGGAGATGATGAGCGATGAGGAGGAGGGAGACATCGAGCAGCAGAGACGGGGTTCTGGGGAAGAATCTGATTCTGAGTAACAAAGCAACAGGAGCGAGTTAAGAATATTGGACGGAATACCACACGTATCTACAACTCATACTAATGAAGCACTTAATGCATGCAAGCAACTCAGTGTGTTGATTTGGGTCATCAGGGTGGAAGGCATTGTATATGACTATCCTTCCGTAGCAACGAAGCTAGGTGCCAGCAATTCTTAATTTGCTGGATCTTCCAGTTCCCTTCTGTTTGGGTTGGAGGGGAGATGTATGACTTAGTAAGAGGCTTAGCGTGCTATCAAATGCTTTTTCAACCAACCACAACTGCTGGTAGCATTAGCGTTTAAGTATTAAACTATCAGTGCATTGTATCAGCCAATCATGTTTGCAAAGCCATAAATTCACCCTCTAGCCTCTAAAAGCAAGTGATAAATCATTTAGTTGAACTGAAATGGTAGAAGCCATGAGGCATTATATGGTTCCAATGTGCCGTTTATGGTTCGTGCCACTACCATATCAAGACCAACCTCCATCCTTCAGTCTCAACTCTCAAGGTCGAACATTCGCTCGACTGAAGTTCTTTTGATATACACATCTGAATAATATTTTCCGCGTGTTATTACTCTCTTGACCAATATCCAACGCATCTATTAATCATCACACTTGGATCAGACGATGTCATCTTCTCTAGGATTGAAGCTGGAACCACCAACCGAAGCCGAACCCTCAAAGTACACGTACCAGTCGTTGTCGGGACCCGACAAGATCCGAGTTCTACACCTCCACAGAGCAGACTCAGAGGAGGTCGAATGCACCCTTCAAGAAATCACTCACAGGGATGGCGGATATCAAGCGCTCTCCTACGTCTGGGGCAGCGACGTGAAACCCTATCGCGCTATCGTGAGAGACTCAGCTAGAATGGTTCAGGGATACATCCCGTTGACAGAAAGTTTGAACCACGCGCTTCACGACCTGTGGGATGCGGAAGAGGTCAAGAGCAAGGTTTTTGGATTGATCAGATCTGCATTGCCCAGGATGGCATCGAAAAGAATGGGCAGGTCGCCATGATGGGAGAGATTTTATGCGAATGCAGAGAGGGCGATCACGTATGTTGGACCGACCGGAGACCAAGAGGAAGAAAAGAAAGGGGTTCAACTCCTCAGACGATTGGACGAGCATTTTTCTCCAAATTACGAGGCCTTCGTTACAGCTGAGGGTTTGAGGGAAATTTATATCAGTCGATCTACACTTTCCGTCTCCCAGGTTCCTGACGATTTGTTAAGTGACCTCAAAGCAAAAGGACGTGATGATGAGCAAACTGTGTTTGGGCGATGGAGATGGCTCGTGACGCTTACCTATGGGGACTGGACTCGCCGGCTTTGGCTCGCTCAGGAGCGGCTCCTTAACGCCAACTTGGTCATGCTACGTGGCCCTCGATTGATTTCCTGGGATGCCGCCACGGCCATGTCAATACTATTTTATATTGGAATCCTTCCGGTGTGGACTGCGGCCCGCTCATGTCTAGAGAGATTCGGACCAGGGATCGATCCCAATCGCATCAGTGACTCCATCTTCCACCCGTGGCAGAACAGAAAAAAATCAAGAGAGACCCAAGGAGCTGCCTGTTCGAATACTCACCTGTCCACGACCGATCCTACGGTTCGGCTCCGGGATTTGATTGACAATATGTGGACGTACCATGGACTTCAAAGTCGAGACCCTCGTGACCGCATCTTCGCTCTCCTGGCCGTTTCCAGCGACAGGGAACAATTAGGGATCCATCCGAATTATGAGAACGAGACCAGTCAGGTCTTCCGTACCGCGTCGACTCGGGTCCTGATTGTGGCGGAGAACTTAGATGTTCTAGTATTTGTCTGCGTATGGGATAACGAGTCTGACTCCAAGAAAGCTTCTTGGGCTATGAATACACCCCGTCTTCTGCATGAGGGGAGCGTATGTATCCCATTTTCAATGCCAGGGACCGTCGCTCATCCCTTCCGGGGATTGAGGACACCTCCACGTTTCCATTCTGAAGGCCGTGTCCTCATCCTTCGAGGTCACGAAATCGACAAAATCTCTACGTGTTCACCGCTAACGTACGGTCATCAGTCCATTGAGGCGGGTATCGTAGATCGAGACTACGTTGAAACTTTCAACGGTCTTCTTTCAAGCTGGTCTAAAGTTTTGCTCTTCGGGGAGATCACCTTCCAAGTTGGTCTAAAATTCTGCCGTGCACTTACTCTTCGCTTGGACTTGTCACCAGTTCCATGCAGAGCGTCGACGTGCGAAAAAGAGTTGGTTTTCCGATTCTGGTGCCTTTTTCGTCGTATTTTCAACTCAATCAGCCCCTTTCTGGAGACAATCGAAGCCGATACATACCGCAAGGTCATAGTTGAACTTGCGGCGAGATTTTTGGATCCTAGGGAGCTCACTGCTTTAGACCCAGATGCACCTGTCAGCGAAGAAGATATGGAAGTCGGAAGTTGGTTTGGGGACTTATCGGGATGGGTTGGGCGGTCATACGGTGTCACTGAATCCGGCAGACTCTTTAGTGGAATGAACAGAGTGCAAGAGAGAGACGTTATCTGCACTCTTCAGGGCTCCGACGACAGACTCTGGACTCTTCGACCTGTTGGAGATGGGTACCGACTCGTTGGCGACATTTGGGTGGATGGGTTGATGGAAGGAGAAGCATATGAGGGGCTAAACCCGGACGAGGTTGATTATGGTATGGAGATTGTTTGACTTAATAATGCTGCATCAGGGAGGAACCTTCAGGGACATGAAGGCTGAAGTTCCTACTACGTTATACCCAGGATAGTTGCCGGATATGCAGGGGTCGCAAACTGGGTTACGGATGAAAAGGGATATTATACCGTCCATGGAATAGGCTCGCCCTACATACAGATTCGATTCTGTACGAACTAGCAAGATAACTCCGTACGATAATTATCAAATTCAATGATTAGATGAGTAGCCAACGCTTCACTCCCAAATACCCCTGGAGCCTAATATGGCCATAGACATTCAGGTATTCAGAGCACAAGGCAGTTTATCCCCATCATTCTTGAGCAATATTACCATACGGGCATTTAGTCATGATTGCCTTCATAACGATGATTTAAGTTCAGGTAATCGATTTGTCGCTAACTATGGTGTGCAGACTGTAGCCCTTGCCCTCAAAATTCGGAACCGGCGATCCGGATTCTCCTGCGTCTAGTTAATAATAGAGCCCTGTGAAGCCTGTGACCAGTGCCTTTGGGCTTGTTTTTCCAGAAGAATCCCCGGACTTTCATGTTGCTGGTATTAATACGTACGTACATAGTACTTGGCCGAGCCTTGGATGGGTGGGATGCATCATGCAACTCATGCAAGGGGCGAAACACACCGATTGGCGATGGCTGGTGGTCTGTTCGCCGAATCATCTCCCCTCGCCGTCCGATGCTCCAGTTTCAGGTGCAAAAGAAAATGCAATCTGGACACCTGACAAGTTGGATATTGCACTAATTATTTACCCCAGCGTGCCACGAGTCGTCCAGACCACGATACTGCTGTTGTTCACCCCTTTAACCTTTCCGTGACTTGAGGAAGGTGAACTTCGCCGCTGTACTGTCGTATTCAAGTCACTCAGTGTGACCCTGACTTTTGTTTTAAGAGCTTCAGCTCCCACCTTCGCTTTACCCTCCATCCACCTTCATTGCTTTGCGAATCAACGTACCACTCGTTTACAAATTCAAGAACTTTCAAATCACCATCATGAAGGGTAAGAGACACGGTATACAGAACCACTATGGCAATGCGACTGACAGGATATCACTCCAGCACTCATTCTGGTCGGCGGATTCGGGACACGGTTGCGACCGTTGGTATGTCTCTTAATCGACAGATCGCTAGATACAATCGAACTGACCATGACTTCAAGACACTCACTCTCCCGAAGCCATTGGTCGAATTCGGTAACAGGCCGATGATCCTCCACCAAGTCGAGAGCCTCGCAGCAGCAGGCGTAACGGATATTGTCCTTGCTGTCAACTACCGTCCAGAGGTCATGACCGCTGCTCTCAAGAAAGTGAGTCTCCGCTTCACCGCCCTTCCAATCCTCTCATTACTCCACGGAGCGTCCCCTGACATTTTATCGCAACAGTACGAGAAAGAATACAACGTCCGTATCGAATTCTCCGTCGAGTCCGAACCCCTCGGCACCGCCGGCCCCATTAAGCTCGCCGAGAAGATTCTCGGCAAAGATGACGCCCCCTTTTTCGTCCTCAACTCCGACGTAATCTGCGAATACCCGTTCCGAGAGCTCGCCGAGTACCACAAGCAGCACGGCGCCGAAGGAACCATCGTCGTTACCAAGGTCGAGGAGCCCTCGAAGTACGGCGTCGTCGTCCACAAGGAGAACACCTCCAAGATCGACCGCTTCGTCGAGAAGCCCGTCGAATACGTCGGCAACCGCATCAACGCCGGCCTCTACATCCTCAACCCCTCCGTCCTCAAACGCATCGAGCTGCGCCCCACCTCCATCGAGCAGGAGACCTTCCCATCCATGGTGCGCGATGGGCAACTGCACTCCTTCGACCTCGAAGGCTTCTGGATGGACGTCGGACAGCCGAAAGACTTCCTCGCCGGCACCTGCCTCTACCTCTCCTCGCTCTCCAAGAAAGGCTCCAAGCTACTCACCCCTGTGTCCGAGTCCTACGTGCACGGCGGCAACGTGATGGTCGACCCGACTGCGAAGATCGGGAAGAACTGCCGCATTGGCCCGAACGTAACGATCGGGCCGAACGTGGTCGTGGGCGACGGCGTGCGGCTGCAGCGGTGCGTGCTACTGGCCGGGAGCAAGGTGAAGGACCACGCGTGGATCAAGAGCACGATCGTGGGATGGAACAGCTCGGTAGGGCGGTGGGCGCGATTGGAGAACGTGTCGGTGCTCGGGGACGACGTGAGCATCGGGGATGAGATCTACGTGAATGGAGGGTCGATTTTGCCGCATAAGTCAATCAAGCAGAATGTGGATGTGCCGGCGATCATCATGTAATCGCGGACCGCACTGCTTTCTCCTGCTTCATGTCCCGGGCACGGGTTGACTCTCCCCTCTCGTGGGCAGCACGTCTTTTCTAATTCTTTTCTGTTCGCTTCGTGTTCCGAGGACTCGTTCGACTGTTTCATGACGTTTTCGGCATTTCGGTACGGGGTTTCATGGGGTTTATTTCTTCGGTGTGGTCGCACTTGCATCTGCGGGTTCTGGGGCAAAGCACTATACATTTCCGTTACGGCATATGTGTTCTGGAGTCGGGTCACATGAGCTAGGTTCATTGATGGCTTCGATTCGATTATTGCGAGGGAGAGCATGCATCGCGGATGTTATGGCGCAAGCAAAAGACGTGTACGTATCACCTACAAGGTCTAGGTGCAATACAACACAGCATTTCCAACTCCCTCCTAATGTTTCTCACACATGGTGGTATTCGGGTTTTATTCGCCTCTCGTTCAATTCATCCCTCGACGTCTTTGGACCTCGCATGCCACATCACTCACACCACCACGCACCCCTCTACTATGGTATCATTTTGCCTGATGGTCCACTGATGTCTAATACCGCCTTGATATGAGCTGAGACGGCGGCAATTGTCATACATATCTTCGCCTCCCAAAATCGCCTATCGACAGTCTACTATTAATAACCCAACCGCCTAAGAAGGGTGATGTCAACCATGGACCGCTCCCGCTAAATCGCAATAATCCGAATACCACTCTCGCGAGTCGCCAAATCCCAAAATCTCGTGATGTGAACAGAAATCCATATCACAACCCTCGCCCATGCAGTCGGGGACTTGGGATATCATCGGTTCAAACTTCAAAGCCGCCACAGCCATAGTATACATTATCGAATCTCGCTTAAAGTTGTTAAAACTCGATCTCTCATCCTTCATCTCAGGACTCAGGCTCATGCAGATCAGTATCTGGTCATTCTGCTGTGAGAAACGAGAGGACCGTACCCAAATTACGACAACTATTGAGGGTTTCTCCCATGATGATGATGAGTAAGCCAATGTCAGCGCCAAAGATCCACGCCAAGAAATCCAAAACAGTGGGTAAAATCGGAGCCACACTTAGTCAGGAGTAGCTCCTGTCCGTGCTGGTGCACCCCGCCGTCCCGCCTGTTGTCTACAAAACAGTCTACTGTCTACAACCAGCGCCCAGAATCTCCTTTCCGGGGCAACCAGACGTTTCGAACAAGCTCAGGCACTTGAATCAACGCTCTGGCCTATTCTGACCTAGCTAGAAGCCTGTTTCACGTCCCGATTCCCCCTCGTCTGTCGCTAAGTCCTGGCTGAAAAATCCTCTGGAAGCTTGCCGAATGCTCCGTTGGTCCTGGTGGCTTGGTGCAGCTATCTTGCCTTGATCGCAACGGCAAGGACAGATCTTAAATTAATAAAAAAAATTGCCGGGATCGGGGAACTCGGAGCCGAAATGTCGACATTAACTATCCTGTCGGACCAAGATGTCCGCAAGTTGCTGCATGATTTAACCCGCGAGGATGTGATGCACATGCAGATGGCGTTGGCGGATGCATTACATTACTACTCGACTTCCACGGAAGAGTTGGAAAACGGGTGCAGCGCGACGTTACAGCCGCACCGGACGGTGGTGGAACGGAAGGATGGCACAACGACGCTGTTCATGCCGGCGTCGAGCAACGAGGGGATGGGCATGAAGGTGGTGACGTTATCGAAGGGAATTGCGACATCGACCGAGAGACCGAGTCTGTCGACACGGGCGTCGATATCCGATTCACCACGATCATCACTCGACTCGCGTCTCTCGGAACTCACACTTTCCTCTAACTCGCAGCGAACATCTGACCGCGATTCTCACTCCAGCACGGTTCCTTCGTCGATTTCCACCCAAGATTTGAACTCGCCAGCCCCAACTACCGCTCCCCGCGGAACCCTCACCCTCTTGGACTCCTCCGGCTCACCCACGGCGCTCCTCAACGCCACGGAGCTCACCGCCTTCCGCACCGCGCTCGCCAGTACGCTCCTCCTCCAAAAGCGGGCCAACGTTCACGACGTCACGATTTTCGGCGCCGGAAAACAAGCCTACTGGCACGCCCGCCTCGCGCTCCTCCTCCGCGGCTCCGACATCCACCACCTGAACATCGTGAACCGCAGCTTCGACCGCGCCGCGGGCCTCCTCCGCGACCTATTCAAAGCGGATCCAGCCGTCCCGCTGTGGCAGCCGAAGCTGTCGGTGCTAACCCCGAGCCACGGGGAGTATGCGCACCTCTTGAAAACCACGGTGCGCGGGAGCAGCGTGATCTTCACGACGACCCCATCGACCGCGCCGGTGTTCCCGGCGGAGCTACTCACGGCTTCGGAGGGGCGGAAGAAGGGACGATACATCGCGGCGGTGGGGAGTTACAAGCCGGAGATGATCGAGGTGCCGCCGGAAGTAGTACAGGCGGCGGTGTCGCCGCCGCGGCAGGCGCGGCATTTTCACTACCATCGGCACGCGACGCCGGAGCCGGGCGGGGCGGTGGTGGTGGATACGTTGGCAGGGTGTATGCGGGAGGCGGGGGAGATTATCCAGGCCGGAGTGACGGAGGAGGAGGTGGTGGAGATTGGGGAGTTGATTATGTTGAAGCACGATGCGGAGCGGCGGGGGCGGGAGGAGCGGGGGGGGGGGGGGGGGAGGGGGGGGAGCGTGGATAGTTTGACGACGACGCATAGTATTCAAATTGGGGGGAAGAAGCAGGCGAAGCAGGCGGGGGATGATGGGGGGTTGAATGAGTGGTTGGCGAAGGGGAATGTGGTGTATAAGAGCGTGGGGTTGGGGCTTATGGATGTGGTTGTTGGAGGGGAACTGGTCAAGCTGGCGAACGCGAGGGGGATTGGGACGAAAGTTGAGAATTTCTAGAAGAATATATTGCAAGTGTCCGTACATAGGGGGGACCCCTAGTAGGGGTTTGGTAGATGACCGGGCACTGTTTTCCATGTGCTTTGATATAGCGACTGGGTATCACTCCGTAAACTGATTGATTGTCATGACATATATATGACGACTGGTCTAGGGATCAGACGAACTTATACGTAAAGAATCGATACCGAAGCGATAGGGTAGTGAGAGATACGAACAGCAGAAAGCGTTGAAAAGATTCAAGATGTGCGTGCAAAGGGAGAAGAACGTCCAATGTCGAACCATCTTCCGATATTAGAACCACACGAGCGAAGGATTCCTGTCCGGAGTCTAACCCCATTGACTTGGTGCTAAGTACATCGGAAGCCGGATGGAAGATCGATCCGACTACTTCTCTTGATGGGTCCATGCAAAACAGTTCCACCACCCATCCATCAACCTGGAAATGAAAACGCCCACGAAAGCGGTGTGGCCTGCAGTATTTTTACGGCGTATTATTTACCAGATCAACAGGAGCTCCGAGCTAGAACCCCTGGTTTGGGTGTTAGAATTTGGAAAGTGTACGTACACCACACAGGGGCAGATAGGGATTTTGCTTCCATCGACATAAAATTAATTTATAAGAAGATCCTTTTCCTGATCGAACGAACATACGGGATTTGCGGCACAGAGGACAGCAAAGTCGTCAACTGAATTGAAGATGGTTTTCGGATTTATATGTGACATTTCCGATGCGACCCTGATCTCCATGCTCCCCTCCACCTTATTCCAATTGCAACGAATTGCAGCTGACGAAACGTCGGGGCGCAGCTCCTCCCTAACCAATCCTGGCGTAGATGGTTCATTATTGGGGAGAATTGGGATCTGGAGTAATAACTGGGGAAGAACCGGCTAGGGAATGAGGGAATGCTTGTCAAATAAATGAATTTACCCAAGCCCCCCCTTCGACACCTCCACTCGCCCACTTCGTTATCCCGCTCTGCTCTCAGAGAGAAGCTTCAACATTCTCAGTTGGTCTCAATTGATAACGTGCTTGCTGCTCTCATCTAGTTTGAGTGTCCATTCGATCAATTGGCCCGTATCGACCTATTGGAGGTATATTCCTCGCTCTACTCAAATGGCGACCAAGAAACGGGCGAGCGGTGCCGCCAAAGAGAAAGCCAACGGGTCAGCGAAGAAGGCTACGGGAACGCAGCTCGGAGAGTCGGAGAAGACTGGAAACGGTCGTGCGATTCCGACCGATCCCCAGGCCGACAAAACAGACTATTCGCGCTGGCGGATGCTGGACGACGGTGGTCGACAGACATGGCAATACCTGAGGACCGACGAGGAGGTCGCCAAATGGCCGCAAACTGCCGCGGATAAATACTTCCTGGGCTTGGACACGGTATGATAGATCACATCCACGGCCATGGCTTTGTTAAGCTGACAATAACCTCTAGGGAGCACCGGAAGTTCCACCTGCGAAAACCCCCATTGCCTCCGTGAACAACGCCCTCTCCTTCTTCTCCCGTCTCCAGTCGGCAGGAGGGAGCTGGGCCTGCGAATATGGCGGCCCGATGTTCCTCTTGCCGGGCCTCGTCATCACCTGGTACGTCACGGAGACCCCGATCCCCGCGGAACATGCCATCGAGATGAAGAACTACCTCTTCGCGCGACAACACAAGGTGGATGGAGGGTGGGGCCTACATATCGAGGGAGATAGCTCCGTGTTCGGCACGTCGATGAACTATACGTGCCTCAGATTGCTCGGTGCGGATCCAGAAGACCCGCGAATGGTCAAGGCGAGGGGAACCCTTCATAAAATGGGCGGCGCGATCTATGGACCGCACTGGGCCAAATTCTGGCTGAGCGTTCTGGGCGTTATGCAATGGGACATTGTCAATCCTGTTCCTCCGGAATTATGGTGAGTTTTCATATGATATTCCCAATTGGTATGGTATTCACAGATTCAGGCTTCTCCCCGACTGGACTCCGATCTCGCCATGGCGATGGTGGATCCATATGAGAATGGTCTTCCTCCCCATGTCATTCGTCTCCTCGAAGAAATGGTCATATCCTTTGACTCCGCTTACCGAGGCTCTCCGGAAAGAGCTGTTCCCTCAGCCATATGAGTCGATTAAATGGTCGAGCAATCGGAACAGCATCAGCAAGTTGGACGAATACTACCCGAAATCCTGGCTATTGAACACCGTCAATACCGTTTTTGTGAACATCTGGAACCCGTTCCTTCGGATCAATCGGATCAAGAAAGCAGCCGAAGACTGGACGTGGAAGTTAATCCAATACGAGGACCTCAACACTGGCTTTGCCAATCTTGGACCTGTCAACGGTCCGATGAATTTGCTCTCTTGCTACATCCAAGAAGGCTCCGACGCCGAGTCCGTCAAGCTGCACCGTGAACACATGGAAGACTTCCTGTGGGTCAAAGACGAAGGCATGCTCATGAACGGCACCAATGGCGTGCAATCATGGGACACCGCCTTCGCCATGCAAGCCATCGTGTACGCCGGCCTCGGCGAGGATCCCCGCTGGCAGCCCGTCGTTCGCAAAGGCCTCGCATTCCTCGAGACGCAGCAGATCCGCGAGGACGCCGTCGACATGGAGAAGTGCTACCGCCACCCTCGCAAGGGCGCCTGGGGCTTCAGCAACAAGCTCCAAGGCTACGCCGTCTCCGACTGCACCGCTGAGGGCCTCAAATCCGTCATCATGGCGCAAGCCCTCCCCGGGATCCCCGAGCTCATCTCCCACGATCGCCTCCGCCAAGCCGCCGACATCCTCCTCACCTATCAAAACGCCGACACCGGCGCCTGCAGTTCGTACGAAACCCGCCGCGGCGGCCACTGGCTGGAGCTGCTCAACGCCGCCGAGGTGTTCGGCAATATCATGGTGGAATACGACTATCCCGAATGCACGACCGCGGTGGTGATCGGCCTCACGACGTTCCGCAAGTTCGATCCGGACTACCGCACCGCCGAGATTGAGAAGCTGATTACGCGCGCGGTCGCGTGGATCCGCACCAACCAGCGCCCCGACGGCAGCTGGTACGGCTCCTGGGGCATCTGCTTCACGTACGCGGGGATGTTCGCGCTGGAGGCACTGGCGGCGATGGGGGAGACACACGAGAGCTCGGAGGCGGTACGGCGGGGGTGCGCGTTCTTGATGGGAAAGCAGCGCGCAGACGGCGGGTGGGGCGAGTCGTATAAGAGCTGCGAGGACCAGGTGTGGACGGAGCACGAGAACACGCAGGTGGTGCAGACGTGCTGGGCGGTCATCGGGCTAATGTACGCGGAGTATCCCGACAAGGAGCCGATTGAGCGCGCGTTGCGGATGGTGATGCGGAGGCAGCAGAAGAATGGGGAGTGGTTGCAGGAGGCGATCGAGGGGGTGTTTAATAAAAGCTGGTGAGTTTGGATGGGGCTTGCGGGTCTAAGTTGGGTCGACGCTAACTTTGTGCCAGCATGATTTCGTATCCGAATTACAAGTTCATCTTCCCGATCAAGGCGCTCGGGATGTACGCGGAGAAGTATGGCGACGTGCCACTGCTTTGAACGGTTCTAATCGGAGCTGACGACTGCTGTTGTCCCTATGCAACAGCGTGCATTGGATGGCTCACTTCATTTATTCCCATAATGCTTAATGAGACTGCGCCGCTCTTACTCGCTATGGATATAGCGGTATATAGGTTCATAGTCGAATACGAAGATTTACAATCGCGATTACGCCGGAATATACTAACTGCGCACGGTCACAATCTTCCCCCACGCTCTACAGTCAGATAAGGAATCCACTATATGGCTCTAACATGACGAAATACGTCGTTGAGAGAGAGAGAATAACTCAAAGCCGGCCATGAGCAGAGTCTTTACTGCATTCGTTCGGGGTAACATACGGGTAACTCCGTGCATATCGTTACCGTTGTTGATAGTAATGCGGCAATTGGGTGCGCCGCATTCTAAGGCTCAGGGTGCTCGATACATCGGTACTTGGAAGACATTGAATCCCAACCACAGCATACTTAGTAGCAGCCCGAAGGGTTCGTGATGCATGGGTTTGCTGTGCTCACCCGCTCATCCTCAACAGAACCAGTGGAATGATTTATATACCAGCACCTACTGGTAGAAATGCTCCAGCCTTTAGGGTTTGTCCGAGACTATCTATGTATGTTGAATCCCTGAACAGTACCTACGGTGGCGTTTCTTGTCCTACTTTTATCTCAAGCACAATTTGTTCCTTTCGCTCGTGGGTGTGACATTGATTCCATCACTGGCTTATCCTGTTGGTTCCCTTCCGTTTCACACTCTCTCCTGTCTCATCGACCGCTGTTCTGTAGTTCATCCGGCTAAGTCTTTCTATTCGGTATCCCTTCTATACTCGACCGGCTGCTAATTCCTGTATTTAGGGTCCACTCATCTTACCCTGAAATTCACAACTGCATTCATTATCGCCAAATAGCGAGGCCTTGGTTTGGAGGGAGCGTCCATTACACACAAGGTATTCCGTCTACATACGCTGTCAGCATCATGAAGGTTCGGAATCCGAAATCAACTGCGGAACCGTTAGGAGGTTACAGCACCTCACCATAGCATACTAGAAACAGGGCACCGCATCTCTCGGGGCCCATTTCTTAAATGATCCAAGGGCTCTGCCTATGAATTCAGGTGTGTCATCCGCTGTATCCCGCTTCGAGTGCCCTGGTCTTTCCATTTCTTGCGTCTTCTTCGTTCTTCAAACGCGGCTCCGTCCCGGGAGTGTGGCCTAGCTGGTAAGGGACGCTGAAGCAGTTTGTGTCGTATAGCTCAGGTTCACTGGGCGTCGGAAGAGATTTAATGATGACGATCCTTCGAAGCAAGCGTCAGCTTCCTCAATCCAATGTTCAACTGCCCTTCGCATAGTCATTGACCTCGTCGTTGATATGAGAAAATGGAACCTCCAGCGACTCCACCTTCCTCATTGAACTTCCTGCTAAGTGAGCATCCACAAAAGACGGGGAAGATACACTGGCAGCAGCCGACGTTGATGGTCGGAAGTTTGGCCGCAGGCATCATCGTCGCTTGTATCCATCATGGCTTTTACTCATATATGGATGGTGTTATAGTTGGCACGGGAGTAACTCAGGAGTGGGTCAGTCGAGTTGGAACCGCGCTCGCGTTTCTCGTTCGAATTCTGCTCTCGCTTTCAATAAGCATTGCCATTATTCAGTGCTTTTGGGATGGCCTCAAGACCAACCGAGAACCTGTCAAACTTAGTGTTGCGGATAGTTTGTTTGATATAACGTCCAACCCCATGGGCTTCTTCAGTTACAGGCTCTGGAAGTTCAGTCCCCTTTTGGTCTTTTTGGCAGTCGTCCACTGGCAGCGTACCGATTTGCACTCTCCTGACGACATTGACTGACTGCAGAAGGTTTCTCCCTTTCGCAGTGATTACTGCGCCACCTACACTTACAGTTGTCTCCATTGGTGTTGCTGATAGAGTCCCGGCGATAGTCCCACAAGTAGACTTCAACAGCAAATGTTTTGTTGAAATGTCCTACGATACCTCCGAAAAATACGCCGTGCCAAGTCGATTACTCCTGGGATTGTCCACAATTGTGGCATACTCTGGCCATATCCCCCGTATCGAACCCCCGTTCAACAATTCTTCCTATATTCTCGAGTTTTACGGTCCCTCTCTCCATTGCCACCCCTTCCCTGTCCGACTAAATTATTCAGATGTGGGACGTGCAGGAAATATCTCATATTACGCTTCGGCTCCGCTAAACGATTCAGTATCATTCGAAGATCAGTTTCGAAATTTAAATAATGTCCATTATTGGGATCAGGGTATCGCTGGATGCTCTGCTGAAGATGTGTTCTACAAGTTCCTGGGCATGAATAACACAGGCTTGGATGTGGACAGACAAAGAGTGGGCACACGAATTTATATTCTTCGACCAGGAGACCACTACGAGACCGGACCCTGGGAAACTGGTGATGTGGTGTCTGACTGCCGCTTGCATAACTCTTCATATACAGTTGAGTTCACATTCGACAGCGGGGTTCAGACGCTGGCGGTAAGAAATGAAACGGTCCTGAACGAAGTCACTGCCGTGAACAGTCTTGAACTCGGACTCGGACCGGACCACCGTACCTACGATGAGAGCAAGCGAGTGATCATGAACTATCAAGCAGTGATGCATTCATTAGGATATCAGATTGGTGGCTGGCTTGAAGGCATCTACGGACCAACCAATGCTCTGGCCGCTGCATTCATGGTTTATACAGAAGAGTCTGGCAAATATACACAGGGCGAAAAAATTACTGGAACCAGTCTCAACGCCAAAAATGCGACGTTTATATACGGCGTCGAACAACTGACCAGGAACATAACTTTAGGTCTTTTCAGCAAAGCGGCGTTCACGTAAGTCGAGATTTACTGCGCATAATGGTCTCAGGCATTATCTGACATCAAAATTCAATAGGCAAACCAATTCAAACCCGGTCATGGTCACCAATTGGAAGTCCGAGAACGTATACAAATACGAACCTCGGAACCTCGTCATAGCCTATGTTATCTGTGGCGGCATGGCTTTTCTAGGAAACATCATTGGCGCTCGACCCATGTTCAGGACTAGACGATCATATTCCAATGCATTTTCGACCGTGATCAGGACGTCTCGTAACCCTGATCTGGATAAGATTATCCGAGGCTCGGACACGGATGGTGCTAATCCTCTTCCGGAATCTTTGGAGAATATACACATTGCTTTTCGACCGGCATCGGGGAATGACAAAGATCAAAAATATGCCATTGAGGTTTGTGAGTCGGGGAACGGGAAGTAATTGTGGAAGTGACACTCTCAGATCGAGTCCACGGGTCAATCCTGCTATTAGTCTTTGCCATAACCAAAACCTCGAGGCATTAAACACCAGTCTGGATGCCCGATGTATTGCCAGTTCTCTTTCACGGACTGTATGGATGGTAGAACGATGCACTGGTTGCGTCTGAAGAAGAAATGCAACATGCCTTAGAGAATATATAGGTCCGACATGGCGAGAGCCATCCGTCGTACAAGCTTGTGGCACGACACGATATATCTCATTAACAGAGGAATTCAGGGTATAAGCACCTAAACCCTCGAAGAGGGCTAAGGGGCCATAAACGTATCTTGACTTCGCTGCAATTTATCGCCTGCGTTTGAGCTGCGACTTAATCATTAAGCATATGAGTCATAACTCGATCTGGCCTCTGCTCCGGTAAGAAACCACTAGTATTAAAATTAGGAACCGGGACTCGATAGCCATTTGTAGTGGCGACAAAGTTAACTGCTGCCCCTGAGCTGAGAAGTCAAGATATCAGATCCCAAACCACGTACTGTGGTGGGATAAAGGGAACCGGTCTCTAGCACGGTAAGGAAAGAAATGGAGGTTTGCATGAATCTGCTGATCCGGTAATGTTATAAATCGCTCTAAGTTCCAACGAAACACGCCACTGCACCAGGACGATCACCAGAAGAGCGGTACCAGGGATCTCACTGATCTAAAAACCATGCAATATCATATCCAAGTCCACAAGACAATTACATCCATCTACCGAACTATTCTGTAATTATGATACCTGAGCAAGAAATCCCACTGGTTCACTGTTATACGGATGCATTCCAACGCCGCCATGTAACACAGATACTCCATCATTATATCCCTCAAGTATTTCCTTGGCCCATAACCTCCATGTTCCTAAAATACCCAAGTGAACGATTCCACAACAGCGAATGAGATGGAACCCCTACGAAGACCAAACGTTAGTCACAATGGAAGCACGATAAAGGACAAGAAACGTACCGAATATCCGCCGAGCTCGCACCGACCAGAACCTGAAACTCACCCTCCTCTGCGATCCAGGCCTCGAGGCTGGTATCGTAGTACCCCACGGAATACTTATCAAACCGCAATTTGACCACCTTGGTCTCTCCTGGGTTCAGAAGGACTTTCTCGAATGACTGTAGCTCCTTCTCGGGTCGTGGAAGTCGGGATCTGACGTCCTTGATGTAGCCTTGCACCGTCTCATACGCGGTGAAAGACCCGGCGTTGGTGACCGGTACCGACACCTCGATGACTTGGTTCTCGTTGAGGACGTTATTCGAGATCCGTGGCTCGCCATATGCGAATGTCGTGTATGAGAGACCGTGGCCGAATGGGAACAGCGGTTCGACATGGGACCGCTCGTAGTGGCGATATCCGATATAGATCCCCTCACCATACAGCACCTTCGCGTTCTCGCCAGGCCAATTATGGTAGGCCGGGTTATCCTTCAGTCGTCGTGGGAACGTCGTTGGCAGTTTACCACTGGGGCTCTGTAATCCGAACAGCACCTCTGCAAGCGCATTGCCGGCTTCCTGGCCTTGGTACCAGGCCTGGAGAATGGTAGGGACGCTGTCTGCCCATGGCATCGTCACGGGTGTACCGGACTGGTTCACCACCACAGTTTGCGGATTGGCCGCGTAGATCGCTTCGACTAGACGATCCTGGCTGCCATCCTTGGGTAAGTCCATAGTCTGCCTGTCGTAGCCTTCTGACTCCCATTCTCCATCGAGTCCGACGACGACGACCGCCACATCGGCATTCTTTGCCGCATCGACAGCAGCTGCGAGTAGATCTTCCTTCGACTCTTCCTCGTAACCAATACGACAACCGCCATACCCGTGTGAGGGGCCGAGTGATTGTTTACTGGCCGGACGCACCTCGTTTGTGCTTTCGACGAGGATGGTGACCGCCTTGCCGGCTTCAAGGAAGATAGACTTAGCGACGTCTTGAGAGGCTTCAAACATCGCCTCGCCTTCTTCGGTCCAGTTCCAGTTGTCGACAAAGAGTTTACCGTCCAGGAACAGCCGTCCAGGCCCGACGGAGGAAAAGCCAAATGTGTGATTTCCGGTCGTCTTGGGGGTGAGGATGGCTTTCACTTTGAATGAGTACACTGGCAGAACGGATTTCGGCGCCGAGTCCCAAAGCCAGAGATCGGTCGAGCTCTTGTGTTCAATCACCCCTGGATCGCCTTTGAATCGATCGCCATGGTAATACTCCAGCAGGACGCCTTTGCGCCCATCTGGTGTTTCACAGAAATCGGAAGCTAAAGGCAGCCATTTCGCAGTGTCACATCCTTGTGCGTAGACAACCTCTCCTTTGAAGACACTCTGTATCCCGTCCAGTGGTGAAGTAAGGTAATATGGATTCAAGCTGGCGCTTCCTCCACCACCGGCGATGGCGCGGTGGGCATTGGGACCAATGACAGCAACCTTTTTCGCCGACCGGATTGGAAGCAATGCATTTTCATTCTTTAGCAATGTCAAACCTTGGATGCCAGCGTCGCGAATCAGGTCGCGTAGCTCTGGGTTGTCATTGGATTTCTCCGGAGGCTCTGGGACGTCCCGGAGGCCGAGGGTGCGATCGATTAAGCGTAAAACGTTGCCCGCTGCTTTTTCGACAGCCTCTTTTGAGAGCTCACCCTCCTCGACAGCCTTGATGGCACGCTCGCCACGCCACTTGGCTGGACCAGGCATCTCCAGATCGCAGCCTGCGCTGATGGCTTGGGCCACGGAGTTAGTACCAGTCCAATCAGACATGACTAGGCTGCCAAGACTGTTATCCATCTGCGCTGCTAAAGCTGCACTCCTTAACTTACCCGTCATATCCCCACTCCTCTCTCAATATATGAGTCAAGGTCTGCTCATTCATGTCCGCATGAATCCCATTGATCAGATTGTACGAACTCATCAACGCCCAGGGTGAACACTCTCGAATAGCAATTTCAAATGGCTTGAGGTAAATCTCACGTAACGGTCTTTCTGCCACGAGAATGTCAATGGTCATCCGCAGCGTCTCCTGTTCGTTAGCAACGAAATGCTTGATGGTCGCTGCGACCCCCTTGCTCTGCACGCCGCGAATGTACGACGCAGCAAGCTTGCCGGTAAGAAATGGATCTTCGGAGAAGGATTCAAAGTTCCTCCCGCCTAGCGGCGATCGATGCATGCATACTGTTGGTGCGAGCAACACTTGCGCTCCACGAGCTTTGGTTTCCTCGCCGAGATGCTCCCCGACCTTCTCAATAAGATCTCGGTTCCATGTCGCAGCGAGGGATATCCCGCATGGAAAGAAGGCAGCCTGAAAATGTGAGCACAATGACCATCATGGATTTTGAACAATCTGACCCATACCTTGGTGCCGTTCTTGAAGAACTCGCCCCTGGCTCCACTTGGACCATCGGTCGTCTTGATCGAGGGTATCCCCTTTCCTGGTATCTTTACTGTCCTCCAGAAGTCTGCTCCAGCAAGAAGAGATATCTAATAGCACTGTTAGTGGCACTCTTCACGTGACCCTCTACCAAGAAACACTGCATCGGAACAATAGCTGTCTCTGTTTTTAGATGACCCAACAACTGTTTGAGTGTATCACGGAAAAGGAATATTGAAGTGCATTGAAACGCACAGGAAGACACCAGAAGGTCATCATAGAAAACGATATCGATATGCTAGGACTTTCGTTCCATGCCAAGTGGGTATAGAGGTGCAACACTTGCCTGTTCTTCCAGTGTCAGCTTGGACGCAAGTTCTCTGGCTTGCTGGTCAGCCCTTGGCGCCGAATACACTTTCTTTCCGGCCATGTTTCCGTCCGGTACGACAGCAAAGAGGTGCGTGTTGGCCGTGACCATATCGAAGTGTCTGAACAGGTATATATATATACCCTCCAAAGTGGATGCACCGGAACAGCGTTTGGGTATCAGCCCACTACAGGACAGGGTCCGGGCAAACGTCGGTTGGGAGGCGACAAGGAGTGGGTTCTTAGACTCCGGACAGGGGTGCAGGTATGATGGTATCAGACAACTGCCGTAGATGATGACGAGATCGCCGAGTTAAGGTTCAGTTGAACGGTAAACGCGGCAATATGACCGGACAAACTAAGAGGATAAATGCGGAAAATGAACAGCGGTGTGAAGAGACAAAAGCTTGGGAAAACGCAGGGAGCCGATGAAGCACAGCAAGGGATACCAACGCCTTGAAATACCCGTATGGGAAAGGGATAAAAGAGGCCAGACGGACAAGTTAGGAAGTTCTTTGAGATGAAAGATCGACGCGAGCACGTTCTCACTAGATAGACCTGTACAAACCAATATAAATAGTGTTTCTCTAGTAGTCGACGATACTATGCTAGGTTTGAACATGGGACATGCGGGTCTGATGCATGCATCCATCCAGAATAGCAGTTGAGCCCTGGAAAGTCGATTCAAGATGATATATGCTACTCCTGCTTGCCCTGGAGTAAGGCCCCAGTAATTTTGGACGGGCCATGGGAACAGGGATCATTGCTCTGTTCGACGTCAATTGAAGGACCAAATGTGATGGGATGAAGGAACGGCGCTCTTTGGTTGCCGCGAATCGCGCTACATTTCAGCCCGAAGTTGATTATGCATTTGAGGATTTTGACTTTTCGGGACCTCGTGGTGTTCCCGTGGCAGCAGCACGCGAGAATCCGTTTGGATTTGCTCTTCATCTGAAACGAGCTCTGTGTGGCTCCGCTCCGCTGCATTGAATGTTGGACCAACCCTACAATGAGCATCCAGCAACGATGCGAGATCAACTCGATTACTCCTATCAAGGATGGAGTTTCGGAGAATTGTGTTCTTATCGGTACCGACCAGATACTATTCTTCCTCTCACGATCGTCGTCCGAAAGGATCCAAGGAAAGCGGCCCAATTGGTTTCAGGCGTACGCTGCCTCTAGCTCGACCCTATCGTAGGATCAATTGATCTCGGAGCAGGTAGCTCCGCTTCAGCGAAGGGATCGTGGCTGATGTGCTCGGCTGGATGAAATGGCAAAACACAGAATGTCATGCTTATGCACCATTGGAGACGTCATCCTTGAAATGGGTGGATCAGTTGTGATTCGAATCGTGGGTCGTTGGGAGTTCCTGTGTACCTGTATTGTGTAAGGATTCGACCGACGTTGCGGTTTGACGGATAAAGTGCGGACACCACGGCGCTCAGTGCACTCCATGATTCTCCAGCGAGCAGCAAACAAGGTCGAACGCTGACTGCTGCAATAATTTAGCCCTTACACGCACGGTAATATTATGCACCACACATATGCAAGGGCAGAGGACCCATTGGAGAGATTCCGGTTATGATATGCATTTTGCCGCTTCATGCTTCATGCATCGATGCATCTTCAGACCAACCGACCGCATTGTCGGATAGACCAGGTGACACCACCTTGCCATGTCCATTCCCATACCCATCGAACGGGGAGAAAACGCATCGTTGAGATGGTGGGAGGAGGCCCGAAAGCGCCGCGGCAAGAATACCTGGAGGTAGCAATTTGCCTCAACAGGTCGCACGCAGACGGCTGAGACGGGCCTAAGAACCGACAACTGGACCGACGAGGAAAGTTACTGGATACCGTGGTTACATATGTCCACACTATATTCCCCAGACGCGATCCACTTGAGCGATGAGATCTATACGGGACAGGGATGAACAACGTGGCGAGGATATTACCCGATATTGGACTGTGATCCTCTGAAGCAAAAGGATCCTCCACGCGGGGTAATGGCTACCTTTACTTCCGGCCTGTATCACGATGTTGCCTGTGGGAGTATAATCTGATGTCGAGCAGCAGATCGGTAATGGTCTATCCTATGTTCGGGTAAAGGATTCACGCTGTAACTGCTATCAATCAATATTAGGCCCTTGATCCATACCATTTGGCGATTACAGCACTGGATAACGCACTCTAGTCTCATTCGACCTCTTCGTAGCAACCGGGTAGCAGTTAGAACTAGTGCGTAGTCCCATTCATTTTGAAATAGCCCTGACGATGGACGTGGGGGTTAGTCTGCTAAATATCTGCTGCTACTTGCAAGAGTACCGACTCACTACTAGGTATTCCCTCTACGAAGTTAACGGTCAGGCAAAGCTTGGATGGCAGTTGAAAGTTATATCCGGCCGAATGCCACCAACTGTCCCGAGCTTGGTAGGACTCATGGTTCGGGCTGGCATGAACGGCGGTACCAGTCGGTACCAGTTCGGAACCACAGATGCTTCTTCTTGCTAAAACACTTGGTCGAAAACTAGTCCTCAAAGTGTGGTGACGTATGAGACGACGTACGAAACAATAAGTTGACATTAACGAAGGCAACGTGGACACCACATCAGCAATTATCTGCCGTGACAATGGAAGGACGAACCTCGTACAGAAACATCATGTGCTCTCGTCCGAATCCGAAAAGTAACAGTTCATGCATACCTATACGATCTAAGCACCCTCGCCTTGACTCCACTATCCTCTATATCTGAGACAGCCGGGAGCATAAACGACTGCATACGACCGGAAAAGCACACCAAGTACATTGCTAATCCAATAGGATGCACAATTCCCAGCCGTTACTCCGCTCTTGGGTGATGGATGGACATGCAAGCGTGATTTTGGAAGTCAAACCAAGGCTAACCTTGCTATACTGCGATCCTGTATAACCACATACCGGCTAACCCAACGCTCAATACGAACACCTGTCTCGCTCTGCTCAAAGCATGCAGCAACACCGCTGGCCGCCTGACCATCCCAATATTTTAAACTTTTCCATCGTGTCATGGGGACCGCGTCACGGCGGTGGTACTATAACATCCAGGAAATTGATATAGACCTGCATCCCTCGAGGAAAGCGAGGAGGTGGACAACCGGCGCAAAACCCTCGAAGAAACTGATCCGCTTCCAATCGAATCCTCCACCGCAAGCAACGCTGGACCGAAAAACTCAATTACATTGCACACGGGCGTCTCGAGCTCCACCTTCCTCCCTTCTTTCCCGTGCCTCATATCCCTTCACCAATCATCGTCATTTGCCGGACGCCTCGAATTCATCGCCGCTTGCCTCGCCTTCAATGCCTCCGCCAACCCGCCCGCAAGACTCCCCCCGCTATCACGTGCCGGCGTGTCCGCGCCCCCCGCGCTGGCCCCGCTGCCCGAATACCCACTGTCGCGCGGCGCGACCGGCACCAGCGGTTTGTTGCCCGCAGGCCGCTTCGCCGGAGGGGTGGGAGGTGTGGGTTTGGCACGGGCGCCGGCTGCGGGGCCGTGAGCCGCGATACCATTGGCGACGGGAGGGGCGGGAACGGCGCGAGCGGCCGGAGGTGGAGGCGGAGGCGGGGCTTGCTGCACTGCGGGGGGAGTGTATGCTTCGAGGTACGCCGAGGGGGTCCAACCCGAGGCGGAGTGGTCGAGGCGGCGAGCTAACCACCAACCTGGACGCGGCGCGTTAGAGATATATTGGACGATCGGCCCGGGAGCGAGAAGTGCGGTGGCGGGACCAGGAGGGGAAGGAGGGGCAGGAGGGGCAGGAGGATGGACTTACCGTTGCCCTCTTTCTGGGTGACCTCAACGATTTCGTGCTTCGTCACGCTCATCTCCCCGCTCGTTTGTCCGGCGAAATCGTATAAGGCACGGTACGTGGGTTCCCTTGGCGCCGGTGCGGCGGCGGGAGGGGGAGGGGGAGGGGGCGCCCTGGCTGCAGCTGTAGCCGCAGACGGCATGGATGACGTGCTTCTTGCGGCGCCGTTGACTGCGGCCACGGGTTGGGGAACCGCCCGTGGTTGGGTGGGTTGGGAAGGGACAGGTCTGGCCTGCGGCACAGCGCGAGATGCCAGCTTCGAAGGACCACCGCCTGGGCCACCGGGTCGTAGCAGCTTACCCTTAGTGATAGGCTTCGCAGCTATCTGCCTGCCTCGAGGGGTCGGCCGCGATACCGAATTAGGCGGCTCGCCAGGGCCGGTGTGGATAGTGCCACTTTTGTACAAATCGTCCCTGGGAACGGTTGGATCCCGCTGCGACTTGACCACGGCAGGCTTCCCCGGCTTTTTGTTGTACTCGATTCTATACGAAGTCAGCAATACGGTCTCAAGCCCTAGTCGACTGCTTACTGTGGCCCTATCTTTAGATCCATCCCCCGGAGCGCCCTGGCCAAGTGCGTGAAGAACTCGGTCTTGAAAACGCATCGGACCAAAGGATCTGGTTCCTGCGGAGATCCGGCCCCGATCGAGAACCAGTCATCCTTGAGATTCGTCGCGCTGATAAATCGAAGGGCCCCAATCGAGATAGTTCGTTCCGCCAAGATCTGCACTTGGTTGTTGGCCATGACTTGCTTCACGATGTAGATGGTCTTTCCGGTGAGGACCAGCATCCGAGGCTCGGGCTTACTCGATCGACCGAGCTTGGAGACCAGCAGTTCCGCACGGCAGGAGAACAGCACCGGCTCGCCTGGGCTGACCCCAATGGCGCCGCGAATCATTTCTCCGGGCCCACCCTTATTAGCAAGACCAAGGTAATCTCCCATGAACCGGCGGTAGCCCAATAGACTGAAACGACGTCGTTCTTTCCGTCCAGCAAGCACCTGGTGCCCGTAGTCTCGTACCTGGATGTACTCCTTCCCTCCATTGATTCTTCTCCAGAACCGCTGGATTCGAATGGCACACTCGGTACGGTACCGCAGGTAGTTCCTCCACGCTCGCTGGATCCGGATGGCCATGTTATGCCAGTATCGATCTCGCATCGTTTCAAGCGCGAACAGCGTCTCCGGAGTCTTGATGAAAGCCTTCGTGACGCCCATTTGGTACTCTTCGTTTGGAATGTTCGTATCCTTCAAAATCTGACGCGCCCCAGATGGGTAATCTTCCGTCCAGGTATATTCGCCAGCGTACGAAGTCTTCGGTGACAGCAAGTAGAACCGCTCGACGAATTTCTCGAACGTTTGTCGATAGGCGAAACCGGAGCGTCGAATCCGCACGTTCTCTTGGAGACCGAGGTATTTGATCTGGTGAAGAACATTACCGGAATTGTACTCGGACGCAGACTTGTTCTCGTTGGGTTTGATCGTTCGAATATAAGAAGGAGAGCATTTCATGAGCGTTGCAACCAGATCATTCGCCGACGCCTTGATCTTATCACCGGCTGTCGGGGGTCGACGCCTGTTATCTTGATCGACTTCGTGCGGGAATAGAGTGTGCAAGAAATTATTCCCGCTTTGAGCTACGAGGTTGAGAAGATCCTTAAGGAGCTGGTCCTTGTTCTTGTCGGTCATACCCTCGACGGCATAGGAGACATCGCCAGCGTAGTGCTTGATGATAAAGTGGCCTTGTCGGGGCTGGAAATGTTGATTCGAAGACAGCATGTTCATCCTCTGGACGAATGTCTGGTCTGCCGCGCCTGGATCCGCATGAGCAGTAGCGCATGCATCGTTTAGCGCAGCGAAGACACCCGGAGGCCGTTTTTCCTCGATCAAGTCACAGACAACCTTATTGTCGAAATATTTGATCGGCGTCCACTTAATCTGCTCCCGCTCGTACTCCTCTTGCTCGGTCTTGAGCGTCAGCTGGATGAAGATCTGCTGCAGTTTCTCGTTCACGTAGTTGATGCACAGTTGCTCGAAGCTGTTTTTCTCGAAGATCTCGAATCCGTAGATGTCGAGGATGCCGATCGAATAGGCGATGGCGCCGCGGGCTTTCAGCGACGCGTTGACGCGCTGGACGATCCAGTCGAACATGTTGGTGTAGATCGCTTTGGCAAGGGCGTCGCGCACAGAATGCGCTTGGGGGATGTTGAGTGGGACATCGTAGACGGACCCTCGTCGCCCACCGCGATTGGTTTCTATCACTCTCTCGGTCAATGCTTTGTCGACGTGTGCCGCATCGACTTCCAATAGGTATGCGACGAAGTCAATCACTGATCGGTCTTTGATCTTCGCATCGCCCTGCTCATCTTCGCCGAACGTGATGTTACCGATCCACAGGATGCAAGTCAACATCCGGAAAACATTGTCCTGCTCTTCTTGCGACATGCCAATAACCTTCATCGCATTTAACGTGTCCTTGAATTCGGCATGGTCATCAATTCCGTCGACATCGTAACACTTTGATCGGCTCGTGTAATCGTATGACTGGGGTTGCTGCACCCCAAAGATCTCGCGGTAGTTGTTCGACGCCGATTTGGTGAACTGGTAGAAGATGTGGAAGTTCCGCTCGTTCGCGATTTGACCCACCACGCGGGATTTTTCGAGGAGGTAGTTGTTGATGTTCGCGCCCACCGGCTCCCCCTGCGCGTTGAACTGGATTTCCAGATACTTCCCGAACCGCGACGAGTTGTTGTTCCGCAGTGTCTTGGCGTTGCCGAAGGACTCTAGTAATGGATTCGTCGCGAGGACCATGTCCTTGATCTCCTGAATGGAGCCGTTGCTACCGCCGGAAACGTTCGCGATGTACTGGATGATCCGCTTCGCCGCCTCCGTCTTCCCTGCACCTGACTCCCCCGAGATAATGATGCATTGGTTCTCTTTGTACGCGTTCATGTTGTAATACGACGCTTCCGCGATGGCATACACATGCGGCGGCATCTCCAGCCGGTTCTTCCCCTTGTAGCTATCCAATACCTGGTCTGTGTAAATGCCCAAGTCGCGGAACGGGTTCACCGACACCAGCACATGGCCGATATACGTATAGATCTCCGCATTCTCGAACCGCTTCTTCAGGTTGTCGTTGATGGCTTCGTTGGAGATCTTGCTGATCAGCGTCAAGTCGGAGACGCCGACCTCCTTCTTCTTCGCGATTTCGAACGCGGCTTTCTGGATGCCTTTGGAGCCACCGCGGCCCGCGCCCGCAGATTGCTTCGCATTGGCGGCATCTTTCTTGCGGCCTGCCCGCTTCGTCACAGCCTATCGAGGGTCAGATCGTGGCGAACGAGTTGCATCTTCAATCCACTCGGGATCCTACCATATCGGCCTTCGACTATGCGGTCGGATACGTGTGGAGGCTCAAGGCAGTCGTTTGTGCGACGGGATGGGGAAACGTATGGCGATAAGGCTTCGAGGAAGATCGAAATCCGGTGTCGAGGAGGAGAAGAGGAAAGGGACAGTGGAAGGAAGAAAGCGAAAGGGAAATTGTGGGTTATGGCGATACATGTCACTTGAAGGGTCGCAATTCGTGGCCCTCCGACGTCAGCAAGTGGACGGAGGTTTACTTCCGACTTGTCGCCAACCGGAATCCACCCCAGACCCGCTCAGCCACAATCGTAATTTGGGCGGAACCACCAGACAAGGGCGGGTGTAGCGTGGGCGAGGACGCGTGCGCGTCACGTGGAATATTTCTTAGTACTGACTCAGCCACACTCCTTGTCATCATATCAAGAGCGTTATTCATCAGATGCCTATTTCAAGCTTGCGATGCTCGTTCTAGACGGATTGGGCACAGTGCACAATCTACTTGATTAAATTTGTCTGTAACGATTGAATGACCCTCTAACCCTAAACCCTATGTAAATATGCCTGATGCGATCCAGTCCTCCCACGGACTCCAACCCCCGGACATAGGAAATGGGTATTTGGGTATCACGACGCCCCTTTCCGTGCGAAAGAACCCCTAACTAAAGCCCCCCCAATCCCCCAAAGACAAAGGAGATGCGCCTAGTGCGCGTGGATGCCACAGCGTCGCAACAACCTAACCACCTCGCTACATCCGCCTCGTCCCTTCCGCCGCCCCCCCTAACGCCTCCCCCAACGCCTCCGAATCCACCCGCTCCGGCTCCACGTTAAACGCCACCGGCGGCTCCGGCTGAAATCCCAGAATCCATCCCGCCTGATTCACCCCCGGCAGGCGCGGTCTCGGCTTTCTCTCTTTCAGCGAGCCGGATCCCCCGCTCTGCGACGACGGCTGCTGTGACGGGACGCCCCGGTCCACCGGATGCGTGGAGATCATCGAGGGGGTGGGGGCGACGCCCCAGTTGCCCCAGACCCAGCCGCCGAGTTTGCGGGTGGTGCTGATAGAGCGGCGGGTGGGGGAGAGGTTGGGCGCGGAGGGGATGGAGGGGTGCGGGGAGGTGGCGCGGAGAAGGGAGCGGGTGAGGGAGCTGCTCGTGAGGTCGCTGCGGGAGAGGCTGGTGCGGAGGGTGGTGGCGGCGGTGAAGATGGGGCGGGAGGGGATGGCGGACGAGGGGGTGGCGATTGTGGGCGTGGAATAGAAAGTCGGGGTATTGGGGGAGTGGCTGGGGAAGAGGGAGGGTTGGTGGGTTGGTCGGCCTCGCGTGGGTTGTAGGGAGTCGGAATCGAGAGCGAGGGAAAGAATGGAGTCATGGGAAGCGGCACGGCGGAGACGGGGGGCGAAGATGTCGGCAGAATCGGAGTTGGTGGGTTGAGGGGTGGTTTCGGAGCCTTCTTCGAAGATGGTCATTTCCGGTGGGAATGCGCTGAATGATCGAGGAGACAAGGCGCTTGCGTCCGGCGCGAAGTGCCCGGCTACGGGCGATGCTGCCGTGATCTCTTGACTTGGGCGCGCCTTCGTCGGAGTGGACATGCCGGGTTCATCGCCTGTGTTAAGGGTCTCCATAGATCGAATCACACCAAGGGGTCTCTGCCAATTGCTGTCATCGATTGAGGTTAGCAGTGGTGAGCCCGCCGCATTGCTCTCCGGGCTCGTAGGGCGCGAAGAGTCCATCGGCACATCGCTGAAGACGCGGTCGAACACAGACGATGTCCGCCGAGAATGGGCGTAAGGCGAGCTGGGCAGAGAGGATGCGATGGAAACGCCGGCTGTAGATTGAAGGGACCATCTCGGTGGACGCTGATGGGGGATCGTGACTGAAGTTTGCGAGAGGATTGCCGTGGTAGACGTTGGCGCGATAGGAGCAATGCGCGATATGGACGATCGTGCGGAATGTTGTCCTTCTTGTCCGAGAGAGCGCCTTTTCTTTCCGCGTCGTTGAACAGGAACTTTCAGCCTGGGACTTGCTTCCGGCGCGGCATGGTAGTGATGGTGTACGTGGACCTCTCGTGGACCAACCGGTTCGTGATCCCCAAGCTCCCTCTCAAGGGTGGGAGATGAGATTGTATCGATTTCGACGGGTTGGTGTGCGATGAACTGTTCTCGTAATCGCTCCACCTCTTCATTGGAATTGGTGAGCATATCGCGTAACTCCACGATTCCAACCTGGAGATTGGCATTGTCCTGGAGAATATCGCGCACGAAGTTGGACACGATCCTGTTCTCCCCTGTCTCGGTGCCTTTCGCTGCCGCTGTGCCTCTGACTTTCCGAACCGTGGTGTCCAAAGCGCTCTCAACGGCAATACGTCCCTCCGTACGTGAAATAACTTCTGCATGCCTCTCCCGCTCCTCTCGCGCTTCTTTCTCGATCTGCTCGATTTGATCTTGAAGAAGCGATATGGTCTTCTCTGCGTTCCGCCATCGCTGGATCGCCGTCCGTTCCTCCGTCGCGGTGGTCACCAAGGTCCCTTGGATTTGCGCCTGGTCCTTCTCCAGATGCGAAAGCTGCCGCTCCAAGGTCTCCGCCCGCGACGCAAGAATCGATACGCGACGAAGTTCCTCTTGGGTTGATTCGAGAGCGCCGGTGAGGGATTGGATCGTTGAATCGGAGTCGAGCGTCGCCCCATTGAGGTCTTCCAGCTGGTCCAACAGGGTACGGTTCTCGTCGATGGTTCGAGCGTTTTGCGCTTCCAGCTCCGCCTTCTGTCGCTCCATCTGCTCGATTTTCGCGGACATTTGGCGACGTTCTTGTTCAGTATCGGCTACATACGCCTCATGCCGGATCAAGAGATCCTGCAGCGACCAAGTCAGCAAAGAAGTCATCGTCAAGGCAACAACCGGCAATATCAGGTTCAATGGAAAGGCAGCCACGCTGGCGCAAAAGTGACAGCGCATTATTCACAAGGCAATGAAAGTGAGTATTCACCTGCCCAAGTTCCGCAGCCGTCAAAAGGTCGCGCTCGAGGTCCTCGAGACGCTGGTTGGAATGTAGAATGTACGGACATGTATCAATGCCACAGCAACACTGGTCGCGATTCCGCCGTGCCGTTTCCATCACCCACAAGGCCAGGGCGCGAAAACCGCGCGCATGGCTTGAACGATAGATTCCTAGAAGATAAATTATTCGGATGTTCCACAGCGATGGTAAAATGATTGGGAGAAAGAAGCTGAGTGGAGCGAAACATGGCGATATTGCGACCATGATATGACGACGAGGCGCGTTCTGAAGTCGGGGTTGAAAGCGGACTAGTCCGGATCCCCTCCCGGCAGCTCCTTGTCTCCAATGCGGGGCACCAACCACCGGAACCAAACAAGCAACCAGACTACATAGGAGTCGGGAGCTGGCATGATTCAGTGACATTGCTGATTACACCAGCCACCTTATATACACCGAGGGTCTGATACTCCCTCGATCTTCTCCTTTCACAACGAACGAATCATCGACTTTCGATCTGCATGGTGCGTATTCCATACATTGGTATTCCGTACTCCGTACGGAGGTCTATTTCAAAAGTTATTGCTCGCCAAGGAAGTGGCGTGATTATATAAGCAGTTTCGAGAGCCTATGCTACGGGCACTGGACTGCCTATCAACTGGGCATTTATTTTAGATCTTATAGAGCCTAATTCGAGGCAAGGGCGCCAGGCATTCGATTTACCGCGCGTAGTACCCGCCCGTTGGCTAGACACCCTACTGCCCGTGCTATAGGCTTTCGAACGGCTTATATAATCAAGCCCCTTCTTGGCGAGCAATAACTTTTGAAATGGACCTCCGTACTCCGTACAGAATGCGAAATAACTTCCCGGGAAATGCGTTTATGTATCGTGGGAACTGGGAATAGAGTTCCCATGTTTCAATGGGTGATACGATCAGGTGCCACCAAACGTGAGATGATTTCCTGCACGTATTCTTAAAACCCCACAGCTCAATGCAACATAAGGTACCTTTACCTTACCTAGCATAAAGCTCTTAAGGTTGAGTCAGAGTCAATAAGATAGGCGAAGTCGAGTCCGATCGTTGAATTCTGCGTTTTAAGTCTATCTCAACCATTTCTTCTCCTGGATCTCTGGCTTGGTGCTGAGAAATTCGGATTTCCTCGGTCCATTTTTACGCCTTGTCGCTTTCCAAGTCATTCTTCATCATGCCCATCCGATACGCAACACACCGGGACCTCGACGCCATATCCCACATCTTCACCGCGGCGTTCTGGGACGAAGATTACAGCGGCCGCTTCGTGCATCCCTATCGCGAGCAATACCCCGACTCGGTTCTCCACTACTGGCGCCGGAAAGTCCGCGCTGCATTCTGGGACTACCGAAACTGCCTCATCGTCTCCGTCGATCAGGACGGTCGAATCACCGGCGCGGCGGAATGGGGACGGGTTGGTCGTCCAAGCGCATTAGGACTCAAGATGGGTTTGGGATTGGGACTCTCGTGGTGGGATCCTCGACGGTTGGTTGCGCCGCTGGTGAAGGTGTGGAATCGCATAGAAGAATGGATGTGGCCAAACCGAGCAGCAGTCCCGGATCGACTGGATGCATCTAGCCGCGCTGCGCCGTTTTTCACGCGACATTTGGTGGGCGTCCGAAGCGATGGATGGAAGCTGAGCACACTCGGTGTGCATCCTGATGGGCACGGGAAAGGCTATGGAAGGGAGCTGGTTCGATGGGGCCTGCAGAAGGCTCAAGATGAGGGGATCTCTGCCGGTGTCATCACGTCGGACGGCAGCGAGCAATTCTACCGCAAATGCGGATTCGATGTCGAACTGTGCAAAATTACGGAAGGAGAAAATAACCCGTTGAGTGAAGTTAAGGGAGGCGTCATCTTCTTCAAAGACCCTCACTGATGCCGTCCTCGAGTTCTCAATGTCTGATTTTCGAAGTCAAAGCCTAATCCATACTACTCGGGCGACAAAGATTTAAAGTCAGATGTGCATATGCTTCCGTTATCTTGTCTGTACTCGAGTTCAATAGAACCTCTTGAACCGCCAAATCAAAACGCCTGGCATTCATGAACCGTCCTGCGGTTGTTGACCGTATTGAATCTTCCACCGATGTTCGCAGCGAATGATGCGCTCTCGAGAATTGGTACTTGCAAACGACCCTTCCCGAGACCCCGTCCGTTCACTCGCGGGGTGCTGCACCGCAGCAATATGTTCCAGACTTTCGGGACGAAGCGTCAGATGCTCCGGGTCAATCCGAAGGCCCGATAGTCCAGGGGCATGGCGTGGAGAGTTAGGGAACGAATCTAGTTGATACTCCTCGGGCGGTGTTTGGTTGCTATAGGGGATGGGTTTGGATGAAGTGCCCACCTCCATCATCCAGGCAGTGTCGAAGCTCATGAGGAACGATTTCAGGTTTGGAATCGTTGCTGAGATGAGCGAGTATGCCAGTTCTACCAGTTGGCATACCAACGGTGCCGCGATGGCAACTCCTGGATCCAAGCTTGTAGTCCATCCCTGCACCAAATGGATATTCAGGATCGCTATGGCAATGAGTGGCACACGGAAAACGAATGCCAGGATGACGCGAACTCGGAGGTGGAGTTTCATCTGGAGACGGTGGATGAGGGCGAAAGACAGGCAGAACGTCAGCAATTCGGTGATGGCGTCGAATGCGCCTACCAATTGCCACCGGAGGTACTATGAAGGCTGCGTTAGCGGCCAAGGTCGACTTATTTTCCCCCTTGCACCAACTAACCTGGTTCGAGCAGAATGATCCACCGATCCCAAGAACCTGTCTCGGGCCGCAATCGATTGATAGGGCAAGAACCGATGCGAGACCCCAGACGCTGACCACCACAAGCATGATATGACACCAGCGTCGATGGCTCTCCATATCCAACGAGAAGAGCCTTCGAATCAGGAGTATGACGGAGCATTTCGCCAAGGCGATCGTGAGGATGAAGAAGATCTGAGATGTAAGGTAGGGCTGCAAGGGGTTAGCATTTTGCGTCTCGGACGATCTCGAAATCTCACCCGTCCGATCCTTCCGATCGTGATTAACGTGCGCTCGCTGAGGATGCTCTCGGACTTGGCTAAGCCCCTGGAGAGCGCGATATATGTTGGCAGGAATGCCCCGACCGCGAAGAGCTAAATTCCGTCAATACTTTCCGCCAGAGGGGCACTGATATGATTGCTTACCGTCGTCCCAACAAAGGTCCAGTCATCGCTCCCAAACGTGTCGCGTTTAATGAACCATCTCACGAACAGTGTGAGTAGCGTGTATACCCCTCCCAGAAGAGCCAATATCCAGACAATCCCCGCTTTGTCGAATTCGGTTATCGGCGAGAAGCGCGTTACATCCACTGCATCGCCAACGGATGCCATAGCTTATGTGGCTTGGTCCATCCAGAAATCCCTTGAGGAGCGGCCGGGAAAGATGGGCGTCGCCGGCCGACGGAGTTCCGAGTCGCCGTGAGCCGTAAAAAATATGTCCTGTGGTGCTCGGGATGCACTTCACGATGTCCGGTACATGGGCGGCTGAGTCGGATGCAGTCGTTCGAGTCAACAGGAGTTGTCATTCCACACCCTTTCAATGCTGCTTTGATTGCTGCTTTGATGGCTGCTGGAGCACACCCAAATCAAGATTGGATCCAGACGGACGCATGGCCAAGTCAAGTATGTTGGCAGCATTTGTCGCAACAGCGCAGTGGCATTCAGATTACACAGCGGATTGCTGACAGGACACCGCGTTGGAGATTTGGCCCGACGGGCGGTGGCACAATTCATGGCGCTATCTCGCATCGGTGAGAGAATTGTGTTCACAATAGACTTGGTCAGTGGGACGTTCTGAAATGTTCCCGAACGACATCGTCCGACCATCGTGAGGAAATATCAAATCTTTGTGTATTTCATCATCCCAACTGCTTCGCACTGCTTTGGGCTAGTTACCGCTGCTTGTTTCGCTGAATGGTGACTTGTCGCTAATTTGCCGAGTGTGCATTAGCAATAGATCTTCTTGTTCTCGATTATAACCTGGTTTTATGCAGCCCCGAAACGCTTCGTGTGACGCTGAGCCGTGGCAAGCTACCGTCGTGACAGGTCAACTCTTGGTGTTCTTGTACCCCCTTGGTTCAACTCTTACACACTTGTGCCACCGTTTGTGTTCTTTGACCCCAAAAGGAGCCCGTTTCCGCGGGAGATGTCTTCCTTGTTGGAATGCGTGAGATGTCTTCCGTTTGCCTCGGAGAATATGATAGTGGGCGGAAGCACGGGATGAAATCTCGACCGGATACATTCCTGGCTCTTGTGTACCATATAAACTCACACAGATGGGACATTTCCACTTTGCTCGACGAGACTTGGTTGGATGAATTCAAGCGCTTGAGTATGATTAACGGTGCTGACAGAGGAATACAGCCAATTAACGTCTTACGATCGGAAAGGTGGAAGTGTCCCATCTATGCGAGATTATACAGTATGCCCCGGAACGGGCCACGGAGCGGGGAGTATGGCGGTCACACTATCGTGCCGTGTGTCATTCCAGATTTGCGCAAAAGAGGTCAGTAGGAAAAAGGAAGGTAGGGAGGAATATTACGCTGCATTAAGTGCATTTCCACCGCATCACCAGAGCCGGGTACACGGAGAATTGGAGAATCTGCGCCGTTGACGTGCATCTGCGAGAAAGTATCTGCGAGTACCCTCTACAACGGTGAGTGTCGTACTTCCTCATGCCTCTTGTGGATCGGCTAGAGGCACTGAAAACTGAGAGCAGCCCCATTCACCGCGGTATCACTGGTTCGTACCTCTGATCTCGCATCGCGATCGTCTGGCCCTGTCCTGGCGACTGGTTTCACTCCCAATCATCCCTCGCCCTGTCGATCCTCTTCCTTGGGCTTTGTCTGCAAGCGTGGTTAAGTCCATTCCGTCAGGCATTTGCCCAATAGGGCCAAGACGACTGTACGACATCTCCTTTGAAGGCCCACTGCAGCCACCTGCTCGGCAGCCGATACCCCAGAGCTGAGTCGTCCAGTTCGATTGATCTTGTCGTGGCCGAAATCGAGACGATTTAACCTGGCATGAGGACGTCCAACCTTGACCCAGGTTGTCGGATCCAATACACTCCTCTCGCAACTAACCGACTCATTACCTGTTCCCCGACATTATCGAACCCGAGGGTCTGAGCAGTTGCATTGACACTCGACGATGGCAAACGCCAACAAGACGATATTCGGTATTCACGATATCGAAGGTGTCCATGATGGCGCCATCGTATCGGAGAAGTTGGGAACAGCCGACGATCAACATGATATGCTGGTAAGCCCCAGTGACATCAATTAGGGGTTGATAGGATACTGATATAGAATTCTTGACAGCGCATGGGAAAGATTCAGAAGTTGAGAGTGAGTAGTGCAGACAGAAACCATCTCATTGCCAATTCTGACATTCTCAAAGCGTAACTTTGGGTTCTTCTCTATTTTTGGGTATGACAGATACTGTCAATGGATATTGGGTCAAAGTATTGACGTCGCAGATTTTCTATGATTTTGCTGAGCACATGGGAGACCCAACTTGGGTAAGTATGAACAACTACTCTTCAATGCAATTAGGCTCGCTGAAGGCGCGATATTTCTTTTCTTGCTATATGTTTTGTTAATTTGTCAATCCTTTCTCCATTTCTGATGTGATTCTCTGGTATCAAACGCCGTACCTAGTCTTCAGACAATCAGTGGTTCGCAAATTGCTATTTCAATCGATACTAATACTTAACACACACAGAACGGCAGCATTTGGCCTCTTCAATGGAGGGAGTGCAGGCCTTATCTATATGTACATCGCTACGGCATGTGGTTTTTCAACAGTCGTGTTGTCGATGGCTGAGATGGGTTCAATGTGGGTCAGTCGCTTACTCGGACATGTCAGTGCTAACAATTAGGTTGAAAGGGCACCTACTGCTGGAGGACAATACCATTGGGTTTCCGAATTCGCCCCCAGGCGTGCTCAACGGTTTCTTAGCTATGTGGTGAGTGATAGTAGTGTGCCTCTGCACAGGAAGCTATTATATCGCCATCAATTTGACGGTTGGCACCCTAACAATCACCTCAGGTCGGGTGGCTATCGGTCCTTGGCTGGCAAACGGGGAGTGCCGCGAGTGCCTTTCTTGCCGGAACTGAAATTCAGGGGCTGATCGCCCTCAATTACCCGGATACCTACGTCTTCCAGAGATGGCATGGGACGCTGCTCACCATCGCGGTCGCATCAGTGTGCTGCATCTTCAATACGTTCTTCGCACGAAAACTGCCTCTCGTTGAAGGATGCATTCTCATCCTGCATGTTCTTGGCTTCTTCGCGATCATGATCCCTCTCCTGGTCCTATCGCCAAGAAGAAAGGCTGAAGCAGTGTTTACCGATTTCAACGATAACGGTTGGGGGAGTGTCGGGTTGTCGTGCCTTGTTGGAATCCTTACACCAACCGTGTCACTCCTTGGATCCGATGCCGCCACTCATATGTCTGAGGAGCTACAACATGCATCAGCGACGCTACCGAAGGCTATGATAGCCACGATAATATTCAACGGACTCTTCGGGTTTGGGATGCTTCTAACGTTCTTGTTCTGCCTTGGCAACATTGAACATGTCCTTGCCACCCCGACAGGATACCCCTTTATCCAGGTATGTGATTGATACGCGTATATGTACCGCCGATGAGGCTCACCGAGTGCAGGTATTCGCGGACGGAACGCAGTCGATCGCAGCAGCAACGGGGATGACTAGCATCATGATCGTCCTCTCCACCTGCTGCTGCATGACGAATATGGCCACTGCGTCACGCCAACTCTTTGCATTCGCACGAGATCATGCGATCCCATACCCGGAAATTTTTTCCACGGTAAGTGGGACCGACCCGAACTGTGTCGTGCGGCATTGATCGAACTATAGGTCAAATGGGAAATTCCCTTCAACGCCATTATATTCACGCTCGGCGTGACGTCTCTGCTCTCCCTCATAAACATCGGTTCGACGGTGGCATTGAATCAGATCATTTCCTTGGGCGTCAGCGCTCTAATCTCGTCGTATATCGTCTCCATATCATGCGTCTGCTTGAAGCGTCTGCGAAAGCAGGCACTCTTAAAGCGTCACTTCAGTCTGGGCAAATACGGCCTGCCTCTCAACATCACAGCGGTCTCGTTCCTCCTGGTTGTATACATATTTTCCTTCTTCCCCGCCGAACCGAATCCAAGCCCAGATCATATGAATTGGAGCATACTGATCTACGGATGCGTAATGATATTCTCCCTGGTTTTTTTCTGGGTCAAAGGGAGACACATATACGTTGGACCGGTGGAGTACGTCAGGAAGGATCTGTAACTATGGATGTGTTCATGGTGACTTTTCTGAAGGATTGGAGGCTTGGTCGATCTCCCAGATGGTCATAAAATCATGGTGGCTCCTTGCAAGATTTATTGGTTTCAAAAGGGTTGCACCTGTTCATAGCGATGCATCCTGGCTTATCAGGTTGCCCGCGGAAGTGACGGATAGTATGAAGCATTAGATAGCCTCGATGTGATCTATCATATTGGTAAAACTGATAGTTAACTAACTAACTAGTTAACTAACCAAGTTAAGACTTGAATTCGTTAATTAGTGTAGAAAGATGTCTGTATTATAAACCTTTGTTCGAGGTTGAAATAAGCTGGATCGTCGGGATGTTGCTGATTGGGTGGAGTGGAGCGATCCGTGGCCATATTCCGTCATTTGAATTCCGCCCTGCCGAGCACCTCCGCTGCAGTCCTCCGCCCTTTACAAAGGTCGAGCTTGAGATAGCTACATCTTCCAGTTATCGCGATTGTAAATGATACCTCCTTCAAACATAACATGTTAATGGTTCTAAAGAGCGACGAATGCGAGGTATGCACTAATTCCTCATTGGTCTAGTCTGTACGTGACGAAGGTTCTAGATTCTGACACGGACGAAGGCAACATCGCGGCCGTGAACATATCACGTCTCCAAGAATAGCTACAGACTGCGGAATCCTCATTTGGTTCAACGATTGTAAATGACGGAACCGGGCGTAACGTAACTGTTCTCATCCATCCTCGACCTCGGCCGCGACACCCTCCCAAACATGCATCCGACCTTCACAGGATCAGGCAGACGCCCACGTCAAGTCAACCTTTCCGGACGAAACACGAACCCGTTTGCCGCCACCCCAGGGTTTGGTGCGCCCGGAGGAAGTGCTCTTGCGAGTGCGGAACAAGCACGGATACAACGACAGAGAGAAAGAGATAGACAAAATGCTGTAAGTCGGATACAGCGGGTCTGGAGAGGACACACTAGTCGAAGGGCGGCGAAGGAAAGGTTGCGGGAGGAGTATGACGGCACGATTTGGACGAACGATCCCGCAGAATGGGAATCGGTTACACTATCACAGTTGAATCGTCTGATGCTGTTCTGGAACTGCTTTGAGACTGCCGATATCAGCCGGTTAATACGATTCATGAGCGAAGGCCTTCATGACTCTCACGACAAACCACTAACACGCCCTCTCAAATTTGCGCTTTTTCGGCTGCAAAAGCTCATTTTAGATGGCCTAATGCGCTTTGTTAAACGGCAGCGGTACCATGATATGCACGTGCTGCTCTCCGCGGCATCGACACTTGCGACGCGCATTCCAGCGGAGAACGCAACGCTTGCGGATGAGTACTATAAGACAATGGCCGCTGTGGAGGAGATACTGGATTCTGAAGATTTACAATCGCTGAGAGAAGGGCTGTTCTTCAACGCCGTTGCTTTGCCTCTGCGCCAAATGAATGCCCAGACTCTCGAAGTCTACGCGGCGTTTGCCTTGGAGTATCTCTCTTCGACGAAAATGACCGAAAATCCGCAGTTGCGGGACTGGCTGAACCGATTGTCAGGCTCCGTAAATTACAAATTGCTCGCGAGCGCGCTTTCATCGACCGTCGATGTCTCCGGGTGGACACGATACCTCCAGCTCGCAGACATTGATCGCAGACTTAATCTCCTCTCTCTGTTCATATACTTCCACCGCCAAACGCACGACTTCCGCAATGCACATGCATACACATCGAACGAGGACTTCGTGTCCGTAGTGTCTAATCTATTATTATCCGTTGCAGATCATCCTATCTTGCTGGAGTTTAGGAGATTTGCACATGAAACGGATCGAAGCCAGTCACCAAGTCCAGCTAAGGAGAAGATTTCATTCCAATTCTACCGGGATCAGGTGCTGTCCTTGGTTAACCAGGAGAGCATAAGCGGCCTTCTGTCGAACACGTCGGCCTCATTCGACGGGTCAAAATTTAAGTCAGCCGCCGATACCGTTGCGTCCAATGCGCGAAGATTTGCAGCGTTCGCCTTAGCACTCATCCGTATCTTTCCCAAACGAGCCGATGAGATCCGGATGTGGCTATATCTTGGTTCCGGCTCCATCGCCGCGGATGATGGCTCTAGGCGGGATTTGCCAGCGATCAAATACTTCTGGAGCGCAACAAAACACACACATATCTTTAAACAGATATCGAAAGAACCACGGACTGCAATTCCACTACTAAAATCGCAGAGCACGCGGTTCGAGTCCCAGGAACAGATAGATCAGAGGCTTGCGGATGAATGGAGAGTTATACTGATCTTCATGGAGCTCTACATCTTCGTATTGAAGATCATGGATGATGAAGAATTCTTCTCCACAGGCTATTCGGAACCAAAGTGGAGTAACAAGTCTTCCGGTCCCGGACGCGACATGGCACTTGCGTTGGACGAAGTCAGAGACTTGACGATTTTCCTCAAAAATTTGGGGTTTGCTCTCAATTTTTACGCCAAGGATATCGAAGATGTTATCGAGCACAACGAAGATGAGCTGAACCTCGGACTTTTCTTTGGGATTGGTTCTGCGCAACCGCCCGCGTCATCGTCGAAAAGCACGGGACCATCGAGTAAACGACCCGCTAGTGGAATCAGTGACTTCAGTCTCGAGCATATCAGGGGCTTGGTAACGGCACTGTTGCGAATGCTGTACGAACGGGATTCGCGGCGAAACTTCCTCAAGAAAGGGCATTGGCTCATGACCTCTAAGTTCGATATGTCCGGATTTATCTCCTCGGTCGTCTTGGAAGAGGAAAACCGGCACCAGATCGAAAGCGATGACGAAGATGACCTGCAATTTGGTGATGATGAGATACACGCCAATCATCTCATTGGCACTGCCAGAACACAGCGGACAATTCAGCAAGAAAGATTGAAGAGACAGCAGCGGAAAGCTTCAAAGAGGAGATACCTGCAAGCGGTCACGCCGCGACTAGAGATCCTGCAAAATATGCCGTTCTTCACCCCCTTCACGACTCGTGTTCAGATTTTCCGGGAATTCGTGACTCTGGACAAGGTATGTTAACCGTAAACCATTGATCAGCGGCGTTTTTAACGATTCATAGCATAAGCGGCGGAACGGCTATGTGGATGCCGAATCCTGGCGAATGGCCGTAACGCATGGGATGTTCCGGGATGAAACAATAGAGCGACACCACGCTAGGATCCGACGCGAGCACGAATTTGAAGACGCGTACGACCAATTTTACCCGCTCAAAGACGGCCTGAAAGAGCCGATCCAAATCACCTTTGTGGACCAATTTGGGAGCGTGGAGGCAGGCATCGATGGTGGAGGTGTGACGAAGGAGTTCTTGACCAGCGTCACCAGTCAGGCATTCCGCAACGAGGAGCGTCCACATCTCTTCATTGAGAACGACCAGCATCTCCTCCACCCGAATCCAGTATCCCTTGAAGAACGTAAGGCACACCTCAGAGCGATGGGTGTTCCGGAGGGCTCCTCGGACTATCGTGCAGAGATTTCAGAACTCCTGCAACATTACGAGTTCTTGGGACGGATTATCGGCAAATGCTTGTATGAGGGCATTCTCATCGACGTCAACTTCGCTGGTTTCTTTTTGCTCAAATGGGCTCTCACAGGCGGATCGGGCTTGGCTCCTAAAGAGTCTGGATATCGTGCGAACTTGAACGACCTGCGTGAGCTGGATGAGAGCCTTTACCAAGGCCTGCTACAGTTGAAAAATTACCGAGGCAACGTCGAAGAATTTTCTCTCAACTTTACCATCACGGATGAGATCTCTGTCTCCGGCAAGGCCCAGGCCATCGAACGCGAACTCAAGCCCGGTGGCAGCGATATTCCTGTCACCAACCAGAACAGATTGGAGTATATCTCCTACGTCGCCCGACATCGGTTGCAAGTCCAGCCAGGCCCACAAACCAATGCCTTCCTCCGCGGCCTCAGCACCATCATTCAACCCTCTTGGCTCGGCATGTTCAACCAAGCCGAACTGCAAACCCTTCTTGGAGGCACCAGTTCCTCGATTGACATCTCTGATCTCCGCCGCAATACCTTATACGGAGGCGTCTACGTCATTGGCGATGATGGACTGGAGCATCCGACCGTGGAGCTCTTTTGGAAAGTCATGCAAGACCTCTCCGACGGCGAACGACGCGCGGTGCTGAAATTCGTGACGTCGACACCGAACGCGCCGTTGCTGGGTTTCGGCAGTTTGAACCCCCGGTTCAGCATCCGAGACTCGGGCGATGACCAGGATCGGCTGCCAAGCACGAGTACGTGCGTGAACCTGCTCAAGCTGCCGCGGTATGCGAGCGAGCAGACGATGAAGGAGAAGGTGCTGTATGCTGCATTTTCGGGGGCTGGGTTTGATCTTTCCTGAAGCGCTAACGCCGCTCTTTCGGTTGTATAGGGATGGATAGACAGCATCTAGTCCAGCGTTACTGAAAGCCAATGTCTTATGATTCTAATGGATATGAAAGTAGTAGAGCCCAGTTCGGTGGATAACACGGTTCCACTATGTCAGTGATCTTGAAGTGTTCATTGGATAGTTATGTGAATTCCAATCATGTTTGATTGATTGAAGAACTTTTAGAAGGGTTCTTGGACTCCTTTCCGCAATCTTTTCGCTATATGATACCAGAACCCTTTCCAGACACGCCTGGCATCCTGATCGTTATCCTAGGTAGGTTGTGTGCTTCAATCATCGAAGGTTTCCCTATGTATATCCGCGTGGATGTTTTCCCTGATTTCCATCACTACCGGCTTGCAATTGATCTCCCCCTCCTCCACTTCATCGTTCAGAGTCTTGAACCACCTAGCTTTTTGCCTCAGGAAGTCCTGCAAATCAAAAGTGCCATCCTGGAGATCCGATGCTGCTCCGTTCCAAACGAACGTCTTCCCTGCTATCGTCTCGTACGCCTCGTCGCTCTGCACCCCAACTCCTGTCCCGACCTCAATCTGGACCCAGTGAGGAGTGTAGTTGCGTGTTTCGTAATATTGGAACTGCGCCTCGTGTTTGTCGCTCCGAACTTCGAAAACCGACCCGTCAACATAGGCCTTGGATTGTTCGTCGGTAGTGTCCTCATTCCTGGACGGCTCGTCGCGAATAAGCGCTGGATATGGGCCCCATAGCTTGATGTTGTAGCCCGATATTCGTGCCGGACGTAGGATGATGCCATGGGCTTCAGGCAGGTCGAGCACCCCACGGATCTGCGCGGGATCTTGGAGAGAGCCGTAAAAGAAGTAGAGAACAGTCATGACTGATGATCGGATGAAATGAGGGTGACGAATGTGAAATGTGGGACTTTCTGCTTTGCAAGATGATACGTATACGTGCTCCAGGTTGATGATGGAGTTTCAGTTATCGGAGGTGACAGAGCACATCCTTTTTTGGCGTAATGGAATCACTAACTTGCAATCACTCGCAAGTCGTGAGGGGCAAAGTGAAAGATTGGGACATGTATGGTTTTCAAAAATATCTGCTCAAAGAAGTCTTAAAAGTTTCATTATCGGGGTGAATGCTTAAGGAATAGGATAGGTCTTGTGATAGCTAATGGCGTAGTAGCAAAGTGAATGCAGTGTATATGAAAGAACTAACTCGGTGTTAATGACTTCTAAGAATCACTTGTTTCTTGATGGGCGGGATTTACATTGTCATCGCTGAAGGTATTGTTTACTCCGGTTTCTCAAATTTGGAGATTACACATCTGGATGTTGCTGAGGTTTTGAATGGAGCTCCATCTACGGAATACGGAATACGGAATACGGTAATTGGTATGTATGACGTCGTTGCCATCCTAGATCCTTGAATCTAGGATCGACATCGAGCTACCCAAGCTCACCGCAAGCTGCTCCATATTGTTTTTGTGCTCCTTAAAGATCTCAAATTAGCGTTTGTTACGGAGTTTATTAACAATGTCATCATATTGATCATGAACTCCCCATAGAACCCTTTTACTTTTCTCAGATGGTCTTGAAATGAGATCCTGTGCCCTTCTCGTCACGGCCAGCGGCTGCTGCAGATCGGCAGGGACACGAGTATCATTTCGCCCGTTTTCGCAATCCTCCAGAGTATTCGTGGACGTGGAAGGAGACAAATCATATAGTCAGCCAGCAGAGAACCTCAGTCACAATGTCACCAAAGAAGAAAAACTTGACTACGACCGGAGAATCGCAGAGGAGTCGGGCAGAGGGATCCGAACGCCATGGCATCGAGAGGGAACAGGCCAACCACCAGTCGCACGGTTACGGAGTTCTAGTGCGATGACCAAGGGCAAAATCCTCACGACGCCATCACGGATGCTTAAACTCATCCTACCACTAACGACACGCGATTACAACGCTGACCGCAAGAACGTCGAACCTCTCGCGCTTCTGGTTCACCCTCAACAACCACTCTCCTACCTCGAGCGACTCATACAAGCTGAACTGCCCTTTATCAAACACGACGGCAAGGACTGCGTCCCCAACGTCTACTTCCGCGCCGTCAACTCAATAGGCGACAGGATCAACACTGCCGAGTCGGACGAAACCGACGAACAACACAACTCGGAAGCGGAAAATGTCGAAGATGCGGATGAAGTCAACATAGACGGGAAGGTCCAGAAGACAGGGAAGCTGAAGGATGCATCCGACTCGGGTGTAGCGGAATCTACGCTCCGTGGTCGGCCAGGAGAAGGCGGAGTCGAATCGTATAGCGGGCTTGGACAAGATCGCAAAGACGAGAAGCTGAAAGAAGACGAGAAATTCGTGAGATGGTCATCATCGACGGAATTGGGGGACTTCATCCGCGATGCGGCACGCGCGAAGACGTTTGCGGTGGAGATCGAAGGCGCGCCGAACCAGATCATGGTGGGAGTGCCGAGCTTCAAGGACCGGACGTATTATTTGCGGATGCGCTTAAGGAAGAAGAGCCACCAGATCGCAGGGATGGCGGATTTGAAGAAGGAATGCAACCAATTGGCACATCGCGGTGCGAGAAGAATGGCGCTCGGAGGATTCGGGGTGTTAGTTGTATATTGGTATATGGTATACCGCCTCACGTTTGAGACGGATCTCGGATGGGGTAAGTTCGATCCTAGACGGGTCTTTTAAACACGACTTGCTAACCGGTCCTACAATGGATAGAGTTCATGGAGCCCGTTACTGTATGTGTTCCAACCAAAACATCCTTTCATGACTCTAACCAAGCGCTAGTACCTTGTCGGATTATCGACCCTGATCGGGGGCTACGTCTGGTTCCTTTACCATAACCGCGAAGTCTCCTATCAAAGCGCCATGAACTTCTCGATCTCCCGGCGCCAATCCAAGCTCTACAACCAAAAAGGTTTCGACGTGCACAAATGGCAAACATTAATCGAAGAAGGCAACGCGCTTCGTCGCGAGGTCAAAGCCGTAGCGTCCGAGTATGATGTTGATTGGAACGAAGCGGAAGACGAGCAGGATGAGAAAGTTGTGAAGGCGCTAAAAAAGGGAGCGAAGAAGGCGAAGAAGAGAAAGGAGGAAGAGGATGATAAGGATAAAGAGGATTGATGAAAGATACCCAGAGGACAATGAAATCATACATGTACCAACACAAAACAATCATCCTGTCCTGGTGATAATTAAGAGATTGGCTCATGTTTATCTGATTCGTTCTGTTTCGAAGCTGTGGCTATCCGTGACATGGAAAACATATTGTTTCTGCCTTATCGCCTCACCTGCAATTCTGATTCTGATTCTGATTGCTGTTGTCCCACCGTGCATCCTGATCTGCATCGCATCAGCATCAGCATTGCATTGCATTCTGCATTCATAAATCCCTCCTGCCGTCGCTCAACTCAGCCTCGACATCTGCTCATCAATTCATTTTATACACGATAAATATGGTCATCCAATATAAGTTCTATCAGCCTCCAGGTGGCGAGTCCTCTCATTGAACCAATGTGTTCTGTCGATTTCGTACAAGCAATATAAGCCGATCATGGCATCCACATCTCATGTCCGCCCTGCCACCATCCCAAATCAAAGACGATGCTTCGTCACCATCGGCGCAACCGCCTCCTTTAGATCCCTAATCTCCGTCTGCTTACAGCCATCTTTTGTCCAGGCGCTTGACAAGCACGGGTTTACGGAGCTCCGCATTCAATATGGGAAAGGAGGGCAGGAGCTATTTGATGACTTGTCGAAAGGGCTGAACCAAGCGGCTCTAGGAACTTGGGTAGAGATCTCGGGGTTCGACATAAATGTTAATGGTCTTACATCTGAGCTGAGGGCCGTCAAGGCATCTCAAGACGTCAGCGAAGGACTGGTGATTAGTCATGCCGGTATTTGGACGTTTTTGTCTTGCGGATAGTACAGCTTTGCTTATCTATTTCCTAGGCTCTGGCACAATCCTTGACGCAATGCGGCTCGACGTGCCGTTGATCGTTGTCCCAAACCCGGAGTTGCTCGATAACCATCAAATCGAGCTTGCCGAAGTCTTTTCGGACCAGGGCTATCTGGTCTATGGAGAGTTGAGGTAATTCATCATCTAGCCCCCTTTATTTTCCTATGCAACTCGCCTGCTTTAATAAGAGCTTATGTGTGCTTCGATAGGAACCTCCCGAAAGCGTTGGATGACTCGAAGTTGCTTCGGAGGAAGCAGAAAGAGCAGATTAATGTGAACACCGGGAGACCAGTAGTTCCGGTTGAGCCACGCAGCATCATGGAGTATGAAATGGGGTTCTCGCTTGAGTAGAGGAGGTGTACGATTGGCGTTTGGATTACTATGCGATTTGGGAATACGATAACTACAATAAGCGCGCAGAAGTTTGAAAGAGCTAAACGAAAAGACTAACCAAGTCGGTGATTATTCCTCAAAAGTTTATCCACATTCAACGAGAATAGTCGCGCAATTCATATTTTGAATGTCGATCCGAGCGTTCCCGAATTGGACAACATTCAGTCCAACTACCTGCGCCTCATATTCTAATCCGGGTTGATCCGCGTCCTCTACTTCCTTCACAGTTAGTGTCAATGAAATAGTTCAAACACAAAGCAATTTGTGGCCAACGGACAGCCCTAAATCCGTGCAACAGAGTCCACCATGGCAACTGCACTAATTGGGACATCTGCAGAGCCCCTAAGCGCACAAACACGGCATGGGTCGGGTTCTAGATAAGGGACGGACTGAATGGCTTCCTCAACATCCACAGCTCCCTCGCGTAGCAGAGGGTGATAAGGTCCGGCTTGACAGATGGCAAATCACTTGATCCATGTCAAATCTTTTGAAGCAGTCCGAACTTTCCGTTCTCCAACGGCATCGACTTTCGACACCCCAGTAGCATCAATATGGATCCGCCCAGTCCAGGAATAACTTGGGAAATCACCTCGTCATTCCTGTCGCGCTCTTAGGCAAGTGTTGTCAAGGGAAGACAGCAAATACTGTTGTCGGCGGAGCAAAACAATCTATCCCAATGCGGATTGTACGCCGCTAATCTTCAGACCAGAGATACCGCGATTCTACGGTTGTGACTTGTTGCATCTGGTTCTGCTCATTGATGGTCAGCAGATCGTATGTTATTGGGGATAAGGTTCGTAGAATACCATAAAGGTGATGATCCCATATTTTCTCCACGTCAAAAAGTTGTGTTAACCCACTGGTAGCGGGACTGTGCAAACCACCATGGCATGGCGTTGAGTTTGGCCATTTGGATTCAGCCTTGTAGGACAGGTCAGTCTGACGATTCAGGTATGCACTCCCGAAGTCCCATACAACCTCCACCATGTTCCAAGTGAAGGGTGATGGTAAGTTAGTCAAGGGAGACCAACGTCCACAGCCACCTAGCCCAGAGTAAGGCTAGAATGACGCGGCATCGCAGTCGCGAAATCGACCCCAGGATCAAGGAACAACCGGACTTTGGTAAGGCGATATCCGATTGTACCTTTCCAGTCCAATAATAACATGAAGATCTCCTGTTTCTCGGGACTGTTTGGCGTCCTCCTGTAACGGAGCCTCTGAATTACCAGGAGGTCATATTCCCCAGTCGGGATCGTGTTGCTATGCAGCATATTCCGTTTTCTGACAGAGCCGAGCAGTATGTCGGTGTTCGGCACGTATGCATCGCTGAATGGATCAGTCCGGATCTTGAGGCGGACTGTGAAGCCTTGTATTGTCAGTAGTTGCCCGTCGACTTTCTGGAACAAGACGCTCATGTCAAACGCAGCACTGTTTCTTCGGTCATTTGGCTTAATTTCCCAATCCTCACTATAACGCACTCGCCCTTCCCAGCCCGCCCAACTCCAGCTAGGGAACTTATCGCGCCTCCTCGGTGTCACGGTTTTATCGTGAAACCAGCGCAGCGATTGCGGCAAGTCGAGCAAAGGGAGACCCCAAACAAAATCTCGAAATTTGAAATGCCTCTTGTAGAATGCTAACATTCCAAGGAACGCGTTCAGAGAGTCCGCATCAAACAACATCTCCCGCGATGTATACGCTGCCAATTCATCGCAGAACACCCGCTCCGCAGTTGAGAACCTGGATGGCTCGTTTGGAATGTCTGCTCGTGCACCCGGCGTCCCAAGGCAGTGCAGTGGATCGTTGGTCTCGTCGATGGCCTCAAAATATTGTGCTGAATTGCACCAATATATGGCATCATATGGCGTCAAGAACAGTCGCCGCTTCCAGAGAATCCCTTCTTGAAAGGTCCACGCCCGCTTGCTCCAAGGGCAGTCCTGCACATAGAGAGATAATTTTGGAGGCGACGATATAATCTTCCGACCTTGGATATATTCCTCATGTGATGGAGCCCGAGAACGACGCAAATCAACCCCAGGCAAACCAGAGTTCGAGTCTTCTCCCGTAACAACTATGAAGGCCACCCATGCCGACTGATAAATCTTGTCCATCATTTGTAATTGGATCGTCTTCAGTGGCGCCGGCGCTTGATCCACACATAGTGCATCAATCCACATGTACTCGATCTCAAGTATGCTCGCCAGTTCGATAGAATTTTTCAGAGTCCTCGGAAGATTCTGAATCCGGACGTTCTTGTAGGCACCCCACACATAAGAAAGAGCGGCATATCGGCAGTTTTTCGGACACGGTACAATTTGCATGCTTGGTACATGAATCACCCGCTCTTGGAGAAGGTCATCTGAAAATGATACTTCGCAGTTCGATCCGTGAGAAGTCTGACATCGCTCGATCCATCCCTTCACGAAAGACGCATCTAGTTGCTCCCTGATTTTTCCTCCCGTTAAGGATGTCCTGTTTGAGAAAGCGCTGGATTGGTCTAAAGCAATGACGGATGAGGCATTTGCACCTTCGCTTGCAGACACAAAACGGCTCGAATTCAGACGTTTGAATGACGAACCGCTGAGAACAACAGCAAAAGAGATTGCATAAGACGCTTTTAGAGTGTCATCTTTCGGAACATTCCAGGACTCGTCCAATCGTTCGTAAGTTCTGAATGGAATAAGCGATATAGAAATGTTCGAAAGGTCGTCCATCAGCTCGGGGAACTCAGAAAACGGAAATGAATTGTACATCAGCCGACAGAGCGGACAAGACGAGAACAACTGCAACGACTCCAGCGATCCAAGGTTGAGATTGTGCATATCTCTTCGTTTTGATGTTTTATGACCGCCAAGCTAAGGTCATGCGCTTGGTGAGTTCCGCGGACAAACTCATCCCGATCAAGTTCATCGAGCGTGTCGGCGGCCTCAAACTTCGACAGGATATTGTAATCCGAACAACGCGGACACAATTCACTCTCCCTGCTTTTTGCCGGTTGCAGAAGAAGAGGGGCATGCCTGAAACTTGGAGCCAGCTTCGTCGATTTGACCGGACGAGCAATGATTGCAGCTCGCTTTTCTGCTAGGGAGCATTGCTGATCAAAGAACTCCTGCTTCCTGCAGAAAACACACAGCTCTAGAGCACGAGTAGCCATGATATATCAAATTGGGCTGGCTTACATAAATCAGCTTCATTCATTAACGCAAGGTACCCTTAGCGACCGTAGCCTTGAGGAAACACTGTATCAACTGTGAACGGGTCTTTGGATGAGACGGGGTATCAAATGTTAAACCATAAATATACAGCGATGAAGGATTTGGGACTCTGTATGGCCTTCTGGTTTCTAGTAAATCTTGTCGAGGATGTTATTGATTTATTTTTCTATTTTGCGATCATGTTGTTACTTCAGGCTGGACACTTGAACTCCAAACAACTGAGGCGCGTTCTGTTGCTGTCCTGTCAGTGGCTGTGTGAGCGGAGACTTCGTGTCCCAGCCACCCTGACAACAAACCGTACTTGCTTCAGTTTGTGATGCCCTCCTGATTTTCCTCATTCATCAAGCACAATCCTCTCTATATTATCCGAGTCTCGCATTTATCATATTAAGTGTTAAAAGGTGATGCTAATCAGTACAGAACACTCATTATTTAGCTCCACCATGACTAAAGACTCCTTATACCAGCCTTTGAGTGACGAGAAGCTCATCCGCTTCCTCAGGCTTCTGCCTGGGTAGCTGAGTGTAGCCAGGTCTCCGTTGAGCTTGTCTATTCTCATTTGGATCAAGCAAGAGGAGTGTTTGAAGCCAGCTAATACACATGAGGGGGGCCAAAGATTACAAGAGAAATAAGCTGCAACGGCCAGCCATTTCAGGCGAATTTGAACGCCGTCAGGTTTCTCCACCACCTGCGCCCTGTGATTCACGATTATTTGTTTTGTATGGATGCCATCTATATCGATCAAAATGACGACGATGAGAAATCCGGGCTAGTCGCATTCATGAATGAAACCTACACCCTTGCTAGGTCAGTTGTGGTATGTTTGGGTGAGAAACAAAACGACAGCGATATGGCGATGTATTACTTGTCCAACGTCCCTGGGGACAAATTGGTCCAAGAGTTTGCAAAGCAAACAAAATATGGATATATTCCTTCAAGTTTGATTATTCCAAAGTCGTTACTGTTCCACGATCTAGTCTATTCTCTATAGAATAGACGTGTGGTGAAAGGGCTCATTACACTCCCTAACTGCCCCTGGGCCAGAAGAGTCTGGATTCAACAGGAGGCTGCCGTTTGCGAAGATACTGTTGTCATGTGTGGGAAGTGGCAGGTCTCTTGGGAACAATTTTTCTCATTGGCATGGCTTTTCACCTCATCGGATCTAAACTTAGACTGGCCTGACTGGTTTGAGTACCAGTGCTACGACATCCAACCCGGCTTGGTGGCAGTCCAATGTATCCAAACCAACCTATTTGCAAGGGTAAACGGTATCAAGGAACGTATTGGCATAAGAATGGCCTTTACCTTTTATGGTATGATCGAAGACACTTCCTACTGCTTGGTCACGAATGCTGAGGACAAGGCATACGCTATTCTAGGACGTCCTATCGAACCGACCGAATAGGCTGTTCGAATCGACTACAAATTGCCGTGGCAAATCATTTACACCGATGCGGCTCAGCACATTTATAGAAGTGGGTGGATGAGCGCGGTGAGACAGGCCGGCCTTTCCCAGCAGAATGATGATGCTCTGCCATCTTGGGTGCCTGACTGGAGGGAGCCTGGGGAACCCTTGTTCCAGCATCAGGTGGAGTGGTGAGCAGGTGGAACGCTCGTCCAAAGACAGATTCCGCTAAAATTTAAGCCATGTTCGCTGCCTCGTAATAGCGCTCCGGCCCATCCCACATATATCAAGCCAGCTGGGGAACCTGGGAAACCTGGGAAACGCAAACTGTTCCCCATAATAGCAATGGAGCTTCCTTGTATTATACTGGACAGGGTGGCATCCGTGAGTCCCATTGCAGCAGGATGGGCTGCCAAGGACGCGGGTGACATGGACGGAGAAGACATCAAGGAGGTCCTTCAAGCCGAATCTGCATGCTCTGACTATATAAGGGAGAATTTACCCCAGCAGTACCTATGAGGAGAGACCATGCAATACAGCTACGCCTCGACGCTAGCTGCAGAGACGAACAACGACAACTCATTAGTGTGCCTTATTTCAGCAATGGCCATAGTCCATTGCGCGCGTACATGGAACGTGGATGATGTCAGGCGAAGTCTGGGATCTTATAATTAGAGCAGTTCAAGATCAATTTCCGACCACTGGTGCCAACTAAGAAAGGGTCTTCTCCAACTACCGCTACGCCAGTGGATAACTCTACGCGACAGAATGCCGAAGACTACAGTCGGATATTTTCTACATTAGGGACGAGGAGAATCTCATTGGTCTAAGGAACGACTGTGGATGACTATTTCATTTTACTAAGATTCCCGAGAGAGTCGATAACAGAATTTGATATTGTGTGGTCTGTATCAAGGAGATAATTCTCACAGGACGTTGAAGAAGAACGAAGACTCATAAACGCCAAGACTGGAGGTACTTTGATATCGTACTCAAATCAACCAATTAGAGCTGCATCCTCCTAATGCCGATCACAATCTCAACCGTGACCGCTCAAACTGAGGATAGGTTCATCAACATTATCTCCTCCCATAACTTTTCCCAACTTATCCGACCTTGTGGATTGAATGAGCGGTATTACTGAGCGACGATACAATCGGAACGGTTGAATTATCCGGCAGCGGTTTCTGAAACTGTACGGGAGCTACCGAAATCTGACTATGAGTCTTTTTGATCGAAGCTATATTTTGACCGTCACCGTGCATGGCTATTTTCCGAACTCGCAGAACGTTACCAAGGCTCTCTTCTCATATGTGAAATTTCGAGAGTGTGGCTGCTCTCCGAGACATTTTCCTTGGTATTGACGACTATTAGTGAAGCAAGTAAGTGTTTATTTCTTTGCCTTGCAGTGCCATGACAATACGCCGGACCCCTGGATTTTGTTCCAGTACCGATTCAACGAGCTTGGAGGATACCTTTCACGTGTAGAGAAAATTGGAAACCCCGATCGGAGGCAGATACGAGCTCAAATGCTGCCTCATGACACAGCAACGAGCATCCGGCTAGACGATGGAAAATAGGGAAGGATTCCGGGAGGTGGGGAAGAAAACTATCCTTTGCGGATACGGGTAACTGCGTGACGGACAGGGAATGGACGCCTTTGATACTCCAGCTCCCGACGATAATTCAACAGCCTGACCAGTATCCAACTGTCAATTTGAAGATCGGTTGTCAAACCACTCCAAAGCACCACCTCGATCTGATCCCTCACCTAGCCAGGGTGGCTGCAAAATTGGAATATCAAACGGCATTCTAAATCTGCCTGCGATGGGACATATGGTAAATACAATCGTATACCGCCGTGGAACACACCGCAGCTGTGGTATCACTCAACTGTTTCAACGATATCGATTCCCTGATGACTGGCACGATTCAAGAGAGGATGGCGTAGACCGATCAGCTAGATGACATGACCAGGTCCATTAAATACGAACCAGCGGCCTATTATACATCAGTCGAAATCTCCCATCAGCCTTTGCCTCTACGGACACCTTGGCATATTAAAGCATGTATACTGTCCGGTTGGAATCCCGACGAGAACAATTAGGGAAGGTAAGAGAACAGTTCTATTAAAGACTTACGCGATTAATATCCAAAAATTAACTATTGCGCCAGTTTCTTATCAATGACTCTTGACCGTGCTCGCTTGAACCATCGCTGCCCGCGGAGTCTAATCAACGTACCCAAACCGAACAATGACACAAGATTGTTATCGCCCTTGCTGTTATCATGTCGACTCCATCACCTGTGAGAGCTCTGTGTATCTCCACACGTCCCGAGCACAATCCTCGAGCGTTTTCTCCGCTTTCCAGTTCAGTTCAGTCTCCGCGCGGTCGACGGCAGCAACACAGAACCCGACATCACCCTTCCGACGACCAACTTCTCGGGCAGGAATTCCCTGGTTTGATGCCTTTTCTAGGCTCATCACGACTTCACGGACTGTGTGCCCTCTGCCAGTTCCGAGGTTGTACGCTCGAAATCCTTTGATGGTACCTCTGGCAGCAGCATCAAGAGCAGCGATGTGACCGCAAGCAAGGTCTTGCACATGAATAAAGTCGCGAACAGCCGTTCCATCGGCTGTGTCGTAATCGGTTCCGTAGACATTAAGCTCGGACAGTTGTCCAGTCAAGACGCGGATTACCACAGGAACCAGGTTCGTGGGTCGCTGTCGAGGGTGTTCTCCGAGAAGGCCGGATTCATGGCAACCGACCGGATTGAAATACCTCAAAAGTGTAATCGACCACGATGGGTCGGAATGTGCCAGGTCGGCAAGGATGGCCTCGCACATATACTTGGTCCGACCGTATGGCGAAGTGATACCCGAAACACCTGGCTCGGCGAATTGCACGTCTCCTCGAGAGTCGAAGTACGATTCCGGATGATGCACCATGTGCTCTTCACTCAGTGGAACGCCACTATTGGCTTTGGACCCATACACCGTTGCAGATGAGGAGAAGACGAAGTTTTTGATCCCAAATTCTTGCAAAACATCGAGAAAATCGACCAAGCCACAAACATTGTTCCTGTAATATGGAAGTGGCTTTTCAATCGACTCTTCGACCGATTTGAAAGCGGCAAAGTGGATTACGCCCGCTATTCTGGAGCTTCTTGGCGCCACCGAGTTTTTGCTAATGGACTCGCTGATGTCGTATTTGCTGAGAATGGCGCGGATGGCCGAGGAATCCTTATAGTCGACCTCATGGAAGTCTACTGAGGGCAATGGCTTGTTGTCGCTCTTGCAATATTCGGAAGCCAACAGGATGACCCGGTCCAGGACGGCCGAGAAAGAGTTGCTCAGATCGTCGATTACGACCACATTGTATGATGCCTTCAACAATTCCAGGGTCGTGTGGCTCCCGATGTATCCGAGTCCGCCAACAACTAGGATATATGGGTTCTCAACGACGGTTAGGTCAAAAGAATCCTCTGTCAAATCGTCGAACAGCACCGATCGCTGCGTATCTGGCGTGCCAATGGACTCGGACGAGCTGTTGGTGAAAGATAAGGATGAAAACGAGCGTGAGGGGCTCAAAGCCCTGGACGACAGACAGAACTCCATGAGTGATAAGCGAGAGTTAGTCGACGAGGGATCGACAAAGCCGTCGAAGGCTACTTCGGATTATATCTTAAATACGGTCGAGACGTCACGTCACTTAAGCGGAAAATTTGTCTCTCGATCTCACGACGAAACCAGAAATGTTCCGCAGCAGGGCATCGGAGTGGCTGGCATAGTACTTGTCTAGATTTACCCGCCTAGACCACCGGTGGCCATACCGGCTCCTTCGGGAATTCAGTCAAACAGTCTCCCTTGTGGTGGTGGGGTTCGTATAGGGGAATGGTATGAACGGTTGGGCGTTATCCCTGCCAAATATTATCCCACATCTAATACTGGCGGACTCCTTGGCACATCACGGGAACAGCGATGAAGTATATTGGGCTGACGAGGTACTAGGGTTGCAACTTTATGTGGTAAATTTAGCACCTGAGGGAAACAAGTCAAAAGCCTCTCATCGCACCATCGTTGAACAGCTGAACTCCAACCTCGACCCGGATCGACTGAATTGTCGCCGCAATAGATTTTGTGCTACCGTCCCAACCGCTAGGTGCAGAGAACCACCGACGTGGGTCCACCAGAATCGATGCGCTTCGTGCGCTCCAGGCCTTCAGGAACATCATCATTCAAATTCCTTCGATGGACACTTCAAGCAGTCCAACTTTTGCTTGCTCCAGCAATAATCTGGGCTGCCATCCCGGCTACATTCGCAGTTGGTTGGCTCACTATGTCGCCGAGGTCTGAGATCCTGCTCCCACTCTACATCTATCCTACCTCGGGTGCATGGAATCCACTTCATCAAGTGTAAGCATGGTGGTTCTTGTTCCTGAATTGCAATATCTCAAAGTGCTCAAACGCGAGCGAGTGGCTGACCATACCACGTTCTCTCGTAGCATCCTCGCATACCCTGCCGTTCGGTTTACAGTCGTCATCAATCCGGCAAGCGGGCCAGGAGATGGACCGCTGCCTGATTACAACTACACCCGGGAGATCGCCACATTGAATACCTTCGACAACGTGCGCACCATTGGTTATGTTGCCACCACGTATGGCAAGAAGAGCCTGGAAGCAGTGATGCAAGAAATCGATAGATATGCCAACTGGGCCTTATTGGACCCCGCGCTGGAGCTGAGCGGAATTTTCCTGGACGAGACACCAACTCTGTACACCGACGCGAACGGTGCATATCTACCAATGATCCAGACCAACATCAAGAATACGGTAGGCTTGGGAAGTGGGCTTGTTGGTGAGTCAAGGCGAGACCTCGTTTCTACTGCATTTGCTTGTCTGAAGTCATTTCGAACAATGCGCTAGCAGGGGTTCGTACTTTACATGCACTCAATTGCTAAATGGGCCTACCATTTGTGGAGCACGAGCGATCAATCGGAGCCCCACCAGCCCCTGCACCCCGGACTGCCAAGCGACGCTTAAACCCTGGGCCGCCCTGTCTCAGCAATTCAACACTCGTTTATTCACATTGCTGGTGACACGGTTGGGCGCCGTTGGGAAGCACGCATTCTTACCTCATATTGTCGCCGGATGTGGCTGTATTGCATGCTCGCGTCATTCTGCTTTTCCGTTGTCTTTAGGTTTTTAGAAATTTCCCTGTCACTCGGACCGGGAATCACGCTCCGTATTGCATCAATTTCTTCATTAGTCCACCTCGTACTAACCGGCTTCTCTTTCTAGTGCACAATCCCGGAACGATCCCGGATGTTCGCTTTGCGGCCGCGGCGGATGTGACGGTTCTGTTCGAACAAACGTATGATGTCTACGTCGCCCGAAGTGCGAACGACACGGTCGCTCCTGCGACACTGTTGTTTGACCGGGAGCGAATTGGGGCGATCGTCCACACATGCCCGGATGATCTGGGCCCTCAAGAGATGAAGCAGTTTGTCGAGGAGGTGGAGGTCAAATTTGGCTGGCTCTACCTGACTGACCTTGGAGAGAATTACTACCACAACTTCAGCACCCGATTCTTAGAGTTTGTTCAGTACGTCTAATGGCACATTCCACATGAGGTTTCTGAGATATGTCGTGGCATCTTTGATGGGCATCGGATCAATGGGTCACCCCACGTGTCTGCAATGTAGGAGATGTATGCATATTGTCCGATTCACTTTGGGTGTTTTTATTTATAGAATACATAACATGTTTTCGTGCGAATAGTGGGCCTTACTATGTGAACACGAGGCGTACAGTATTCTTTTGTGGCTTCTTATTTGTTCTCGAAGATTTTCAGTCGTTTCAGTCTTAAGACCTCGGAACCTGTCAACGTGCGGAGGTGGTCTCAATTTTCCGGCGTGATCCGACCCATTTCGCCGTGATGCGAACCATCATCAAAGGTTACCCTATAGCTTACGAATCTGGGGCTTCGGGAATGTATTTGTGCCCAACTTCAAAGCTTGTGTTTCCATCACACCAGGGTCACATAATCGAAATAGTATGGCTATTATCATAAGAAGATCAATGCAACCATAACCTATAGTCAGTGAGATATTGAATGGGGCAGTCTTGGACAGTGTCAATCCAGCACGAGGCAAACTACAGAGAGGCGAATAACAAAGCTGTTGACTAGCCCAAGGCACCTGGATTCAGAAGGGTAGCTATCTGATGCAACACTGAGTGACTCGGTTGCATTATCTAGTGGGTATTATTACCACCTTCGGACGGCTCCGAAACGTGAAATGTGAACTGCATGAACGTGAGTTGTGAACGGTCTTGCAGAGCCGTGTCTACCGCTGCAGAGGCAAGTTTACGACCACTTCCGGATTGGATACAGAGCAACGACAAGATTTGGTAGAATCGGGATCGAGCTGTGTATAATGCCACTTTAAGCAAGCAACCCAAGAACAAAACCTCGATCCCGCACTCGGGAACAGGGATTATAGATCCCAGTTCTTCCATGCTTCAAAATAACCGGTCTGCACTAAGCTTCCTTGCGGACTGGAAAGAATATCGCTGCCAGACGTAATGTGAAGATCGTTTGCTATCAATCCCATTGACCTTTCATAGTCCTAGTTGAATTGGCAAGCGAGATTCATGAATTCTTAGGTTGGCAGGCAGGAGTCGTCAACAACTGGGTTCGACCTCTGGCCCGGAACGGATATAAGGCTGAAAGTCAACCGGTTAGTGGATGGTGAAGCTTCCGGGATGTCTGCCAATCCATACTCCATATCCCTTACCTTTCCAATTCATTGCCTCGTCAAGATCGGTTCTGTCGTGCATGGCTGTCTGCCCAGGCAAGGAGAAATTTCATACACTAGTTAATCAAATGGTGGGATCTTCGAGGTTCCAAGATTGAGATGTTCAGCAAAATCCCTGTTTTCCGAAGGGGATATCAGGCAGCCCACTATTGAATCTATCCCGGTAATGACTGGTGAAAGCCTCGTCACAACAAATTATGCGCGGATCACTCACCCACACATCATCCAACCGATGAGCACATGCAGCACCACTCTTGTCTCAGACCAGCCTCCGCACGCGAGACAACGGACTCAATATACTACCTGTCTTACGGGCGAAATGCCATAGGGACCTGTCGTTGATCATCCGGGACACACGGGATGACACCAAGTACGATTAGGCTAGGTCATCGGATAGCGAGACACGAACCACGATATTAAGAATAAGACAAGCTCCATACGTGGAATAATAAATATGTGTCTATACCGAAGAGGTACCGCCGGCATACGAGAAGTGCGGAGAGGGAGCGAGAAAATGTCTCTTGCTGAACGGCAACCCAAGGAAATGATGAGAGCCCTGTCGAATTAACCTCCTTGCTAGTTTGCCGTAGTTCATGGCGCTAATGCAGGGCCGGGAAGTGGGAATGGGGTTAAGGCAGGGATTTCAGCCCAATGCGGGGTTCTCCCTTTTGACTAATCCGCTGTTTGGAATAAAACCAATTATTGGGGTATTTTATGTGTGGGCCTGTATCATAATTGGCCAGGGCTAATCGATTCTAATGCCCCTGGTCAACCGACGCCGAGGCGACGCACACCTATTGCAACGTTGCAAAGTCTGATCGATACACTGGTAAGGTCAATATTAATATGAACGGAAATTTTGCTGCATTCTCAAATATTGTGAAGTTAATTGCCCCACATGTGCTAGTCAGCGAGATGCCGACATCAGCAACTCCATTAGAATCAGAGATGGACGAGTCGCTTCACCGTCATCCAGACGTGAGTAGAGTCAAGCTTCCATACGATACCAAATCGAATACTGCTGCGATCGATAAGCTTAGGTCCCCGATCGAGAAATTGGTTGCTGCTTACTATCCGAATCTAGTCTGCCCCATCTAAAACAGCAATGGAAACTTCACTTCCTATGCGTTGGAACCAAGATCGAAGTGTCATCTCCCTCCTCGATCTTCAAGCGAAGGAGCTTGGAGGCAGTGTTACTTCCGGTTCATCGAAAACCCATTAACTGGACCGGAGTGCCATACTTACCAGCTTTCCGTCCCAGTTTTCCGGTTCTCCCGGGAACTAGTAAGCCTAGAATTTGAATGATCCACGGAAAAAGCTCCGGTGTACTATCAAGATTTTAGATTCTAGTCATCGTGCAGCAGTTTGCCACTGCACGCGTGCATCTCAAGACGGTGGAGAATTCAGAAGAATTTAGGCAGAGACCTTGCTGCTGTCGAGCGTTCCATTTTTCTTCTCTGACGGGCACTGCTGCCATTCCATGGGTTCCCGGTTTGGTACCTGAAGTCCCACTGTGTCCGAGTGGCTGGACGCGTTGAGCTCCAACTTTCAAATTATTTGCTTATTCTGTACTTCGAGTTCTTCTCCATTTTTCAGCTTCTATCAAGCTCCTATTATTCTCACGAAGAATACTCCAGGGACTTGGTACTCAGACAGTATTTCTCCATTGTCCAGTATCTATCAAATTCTCTCTGAGTCTTAGAAAAGATAGTCAACAGACTTGGTTCCACATGCCTGGGTGTCGATAGTATTCTAGAAGCTTTCCTCCACGTGATAAAAGACGAAGTTTCAGGTAAATTAGCCCACCCAACGGACTATGCCTATATAACAAGAGGACTGAATGGTGCTAACCCACGCCTCTGTGAGGAGCAATTCTTTCAAGGGCCTTTGTAGCAGAAAATTGGCCTAGGGGATGTTAGGAAGACTGACTGATTTCATGGCTGGTAGTTGCGATTCAAGCTTGATCCTAGCCGTGACAAACCATATTTGTAGGCTAGATCGAGCCCCGTATATTCCAATTCTTTCTCAGTGGGTTCGGCTCCGCGGAGATTGTAAAACCCATTGGACAGAAGAAACTAGCCATAGAGCGGACTTATTACTGCTGAGTTGAGACGTTTTGGGCCTGGACCTATATTGACAAGAGGGATGTGTGTTGTCAGTTTCATCTATTCACCTAAGGAAGCCCCCCCTCACATATTTTCCATCCTCTCAATAATACTTGATCTTGATATTGTTCTAGAACTGTTCTTTTAAGCATCATGCCCCATTCCATTTCTCTCTTTGGTTATGATTTTCGGTGCTTTCTGCTGTGGCAGGTAGTCTAGCCGTGAACCTTACCCTGGAGCCGCGGAGCCTCATAAATGTCGAGACGAAACTACTTCGGCAATGGACAAGGCAAGTATTACAACGGAGCATGTTGTAAATTTGGTAAAGGGCGTTTCAGTTGTAGCACATCTCGAAATGTCACGTATATACCTGTACAACATTGTCAGGCATCAGTCAGCGTCACCGTTATTTTCAGCGCGAGCACTGGATACACAAACTATTCTCGTTGCGGTAGAGGGGTCGTGGAACCAGTGAAGGTGCGTACGACAGTCAATAGGGGTAGATGGCAATTGCTATCATGAAAATAGTTGCACACAGTCCGTGCAGCTGATGGAATATTTCTATGGCACAATAGACGTTTGGGTTAATGTTACTTGTACATGTATCCTGACGGTAGCAATACGTGGCGCAGTCTCAACTATCCGTTACATCCGAGATTGTGGTAGAATGGTAAGACAAGAGAAGTTTGGTCTGGGGAGACGCCGCCTGGACCCGCCTTGGTTGAGCCGCATGCATCCTAGTCACACTGGTGGATTCATTCCTGCAAACAACGTAGCCCAAATCTGGACTAGAAGCCATGATGTACGGAAACTGAACGAGCAATTTGCGTATGCCTTGCATATTGTTTGCGATGTGCGGCGGTAAGATACGACTATTCCAACGAAGCCGAGGAGGGTTTGACACCGATGCAGCTCAATATCGGGCAAAAACAAATTAGAACAGCGCCAAGGGCTATCAATAATGGATAGAGCCAAATATCCCCTCAGTGCAAGTTCGAATTTTTGAGTTCTCACAAGGAGAGTTATTATGTTGTTGTCGCGCTATGGGTTGGTCACCAGTGCCACCAGTGACGCAAAAATTATCTCGTCGATCGAAAGGTATATGGGGTAACATTTGGAGATTTGGGGAATATTCAAGCGAACAAGGCAGGTAACGGCTTTTTAGGGCCGGGGTATAGTAGTTGTACTTTGAGGAACTACATTGTGTATATTAAAACCGCCAGGGATTTGCCAGCCAGGGCATATTAGCCTATACTATCAATTTTCCGAGCTTCGCCCACGATACTAGATGTTACCGGGTTTTAAAACATTTCCGCTGGGCTTAATCTTGTAATATAAATGAGGGCATTGGAATCTTCAAACCCCTATTTGTTATGGGCATGGCCCATGCCGTAACTATTTATTGATCTTGCATGATCGTGCTGCAGCTGTATTAACCCTCCAACATCACTTGATTAGAAATAGCGAGCACGACATCTTTGCTCTGCACTGCAGATTTGTTAGCCCACTGAACACTATGCGTGTACTCCGATAGACAGGAGTTGGATTACTGAGAAGTGCAGCTCCGTAGGGCTGGCGCCGGCTCGGAATGTCTGCATTATACAGATCCAAAATCAGACTGTCCACCAACGTCGTGGAAGCCATTGACAGGTCACAGGCTGCTTGCTATAATTATAATAGTATTGGCTGCAATAGGACGGCGATGGCCGATGACTCAATGTGGCGCGTGTACAATGTTCTGGCCAGCCAAACTTGATCTCCAGCTGAGAGTCAGGTTGCCGGTGTGCAGAGAAGTTGTGTACCGTTGCCGAAGATGGCATATGAACAGAGGGCATCCGAAATGCGAAGGACTATATGAAGTAACCTTGGGAAAAAGACATGAGGAATCCTACAGGAAGACAAATGATAAGAGTATCTGCCAATACACCTAACCAGTGTATTAAAGAAGGCCAGAACGAGTGTAACAGTTCGATATTTAGAACATTATCTCGATTAGCTACAGACTGGTTTTGAATCCGCCTTCACTGTTGATCCTCTAATAACCATAGCCGGGACTTTCTTCCTCAAAATGTTATCTCACCAGCACCAGTGCATGCAATTGTAACACAGAATGGGAAACTAGGTAGTGAATCGCTGATATTACAATTGATGAGCTGAAATGCAAACAAAAGGCCTCTCATAGCTCACCATTGGTCGGCAAAAGCCAAAGTCAAAATCACAACGATAGCGTAGTATTGGCTGTTTGCCCATTGCAAAACTGGACGTACCCGTCTAGATCCATATCCTTCAATACAGTACTGAACAATTCAGACCCTTCGCCTTGTCCAGAGTCTCTGCAGAAGGTGTCGTTGCTGGCGATCTGGGGCGCATTATGTGGGTACTCGATGTGGAAGACCGGCTTGCCAGCACTGATATACGGTGAGAAACTGGAGCATTCGGAAAATTGAACGCATTGCTCATTGACGGAAAATTGCGTGCGGCTAATGAGGGAAGGAATCAGGTCAGCGGCGTTCTTGAGCCCAATTGACATGGAAAGGTTGGAAGCAAGTGAGGAGAGGCGGAGCATGAATCGCTCGGAGTCGGCTTGGGTTAATGAGACGCCGTTGTCGTTTTGCTGGAGTTGGAGGTTAGCGTACCATCATTTTGAAGAATCATAGAGGGGAATGATTTACATAGCCATCAACATTGTCAGGGTCAACTGCATCGCATCCTTTTTCTCTCGCCATCCTCATCCGCGCTTCGATGATCTTCCATACAGTCTCAGATCTTAGATTCAACCACCTTTCGCCTGGCCAGCCGTCCAATTCTTTACCCAGATCATCCTTCTTGAACTGTGAGCTATCCGGTCTGAAATCCTCATAAGATCCAGCGCTGAAATAGCAGATCACCCGCTTGCCAGCCCGATGTAGTGCCTGGATAGTACTCGGAGGATTCGTGAACAAGTCAATGTCATATATACCGACGTCGGGACGTAACGATTCGACGCCGTCCGACAAGTCCAAAGGATGAAGTAGTGCAATCTGCCAGGTACTGTTCACCGCTGGCTGCCAAGTCGTGCCATTTGTCCCTGGGGGAATGGTCGTAGGAGGTTGTTCCTCCTCTTCCTCACCGCCTTCACGGCCGATTGTGAGGCCTAAACCAAGTCCTAGAGCAAGGCCAAGGATGATAATTAGGATGGTTAGGAGCAGCAAGACTTTCTTGCGACGGGATTGCCCACTCCACCAGGATTGATGACCAGTATTTGGTTTCGCCATTGCTTCGTCGAAGGCCATAGAGGCGGAGAGTGGACGGGCCATTATGTCTATCTTCCAAGCTTCATCGAAAACGTACCTGGTGAGCCGAAACGGTCAGCGATCATCAACAAAACAAGCGGATGCTGTGTATATCCAACTGCAGAGTCTTGACTTTGAGCTCGAATTTTTTTTCTGAGGATCCGCTAAGTTATTCCAGCTCAAAGGAAGGTATAGCATGAAGCTTGGTTTGGTGCTGCGGAATGATTCCGAGGAAGGGCCGGAATGATTCAAATCGCACTGCTCCCAGAGCCGCAGGAGGAGAAGTGAAATGGCCTTGGGGGCCAAATCCAAATATTCCGAGCAGTAGAATCTTAGAATCTGGCACCCAAAAACGCAAATGACGTGGCACCTCGACCGCTACCTGATCGTGGGAAACATTCGCGATCCGATGGCTTCAGGTGCATACCGTACTTGATAGCATCAACTAGCTCACATGAAATTTTCAAATGCGAACGCCGTCCGTGGTCGTAAACAGAGCTGGTGAAGGAACGCGAAACGATTGGATTTGACATGCATGCAGGGAAATATTGGCAACGTACAGCTCCGAGACTTGCCACGGCCAACCGATCTTGTGAAGTAAGCCGGAAGCCTACGACTCAATGGAACCAGCAAGACGGGTGACCTGTGACAACTGACAAGTGCTGCAAACAAGAACCATTTGGCACGATAGGGAGGTGCTGATTAGGAAAAGGGCGAAATCGTCGCCTCGTTTCACCAGACTCGCCTATCCTAGGGCATTTCTCCGAGATTATTTTCGGGGACGCGATGTGGAATGTAGAATGATCTGGAACACTGCGATCGAATGCAGGGAACGGATTCCAGTCGCGCACTCAGAAAGTTAGGACTTAGGAGGCTTGCACGTTGCAACGTTGTCTGATCGACGCGGAATGCAACAGGTCGAAAAGGGGGTAAAACCGGTAGAAAAACTATTTGCCGTTTGCGGCTTGGGCTGTGGAGCGGATTCGAGCGGTTTTGATCCCGGGACCGATCACCCCGGATCGGCACCCAAAACTCCGTATCGAGCTCGTAGGCGCCCACGAAGACGGCTGTGGCTTGGAGCTATTTTCGATCATCTCAAGGGATCATGCAAAAGATTTCGAGTGGCTGTTTTAAAAACGATAGAATACAACGACACTTCTAGTTCGGAATGGCGGACGGCTGGCTTAGGGAGGTACAGCGCCGGCCGCCCAGGTCGCCAGTCTATGATTGAGGTCGTCGAGTCCTTGCTCCACGTATATCGGGTTGGACGATGCGGGATGCGGAAACGGGTTTTGACTACAGAATTGATTCGCGATGGCAATATTTATTAGGTAACGGGAGAGGGCCTGGGTCTTCTGGCGTAATGCGGAACGGAGAGTTAGCAGAATAGGGGATTGATAATGCAGTGCAACACTGCTGCCGTGAAAGCGACCTGACGGGTTGGAAAGCGGAGCAATTGTTCTATGACTGATGTTGCTTAGCCGTATACCGTATTTCCGAAAATGCAGTGGAAAAGCTATTTTAGCGTGCATGGTTGACAGCCGTTGGCATTAAGGCTAACTCAGAGTCTGATAGTGATTGTATTCTTATCTCGAGAGACGTAGTCATATAGGCCCCGTGTATTAGTGCCTTATGGAAGCCAGAGCTTCCTCCGAACGCCACTCTCTGCATTTTAATATTATACGATTATATGGTAAATGTGTAGCCACTAGGCTTTGATCGGAGTCGTCAAAGTAAACGTCTGGGTCGAGCCACTCAGAGTAGTCCAAATAGTCAACGGGTCGCTTCCAATCTGCTCCGAAATCCCGCCATTGGTGTTTATGACACTGCCAGGGAATGTCACCGGGATCTTAGTAGCGCAGCTGTTTGCATTTGCACTGACCGTCACCGACACGATCTTGGTACCATCCGCGGAATAATTGTAAATTAGGTTCGGATTGCACTTGTCTCGAGTCATGCGGTTGATGAAGTCTGTCGCGATGTCATCATGCTTGAGGGTGATAACCGGCCAGCTGGTCAGACGGGTCAACTCCTGTGTGATCACCTCAACCCAAATTTGAATGAGGGACAACTTCGAGGAGACGCCGTTCACGTCCGTGTTGGGGACGTCGATCTGGCGCAAGTTCGCCTGGTGGAACATGTAGGGATCGTGGCGAAGGCCGAGGAGATAACGAGTGTTGGTGGCGCGGGCATCATTGATTAGATTTTGGAAGCCACCGCTGCCACCGGAGGTGTCGATCCACTCTTGAAGGGTGCAAGCAGGTAAATCGCAGTTGAAGTATATTGTGGTCGCCCAACGGGGGATGATCCAGAGCCCAGCGTATCCATTGTCAGCAACGGTGGTTAGGCGTGGCCAAAAAGTGTTTACGGCGTGTCGTAGAGGTGGGCGGGTGTTGTCTCCGACGACGGAGGTGATGCCATTGTCCATCCATGCCTTGATGGCGTCTCCATTGTGCAAACCAGTGATGGCTGGGGGGATAAGGCCCTTGCTGCTGAACTTATTGCCGGATGATAGTTCGATTTGCTGCATCCATGCTTTGTTAAACTGGATCTCCTTAGCAGCATCCGAGTAGGTAGCGTTATTCAACTCGTAGTGAGTGAAGGTGTGCGACATATGGGCAAAGGCATCGCGGTTGCTAGCGATCTGGAACCAGTTCTCAAGGGTATCAAGGCGAGCACAAGTCAATGACCACGGGTATGTTGTTGGAGTTGTTGGCCAGATATTGGTTCCAGTGCCCAACGGCTTCTGAAATTCCAAAGGCGTGTCTGGTGGGGAGTCATATTCGATCGCGTCTGGTGGGTTGCACATGGAGCCACCGGCCGGGGTATTGACCGCCGCTTCGATATCTCCGTTGCCGTTATGACCAATCTCCATGAAGTATTTGGAGCCGGCAGGAAGCTTGTTGTTGAGCTGAGTCTGCCAGGTGACATGGTTGGCAATGTCTCCAGCGCGGAGACGGAAGAGACCCCCAACAGGACGGTAGAGGTCGCTCTCCAAGAACATGTCATCCACTTGAGTCCCAAGGTAGATTCTGCGGAACCCGACATACAGACCTCTGGTCATCCAGTGAATCCATGCGTGCTGCAGGAAGTTGGATGCCACAGCCCAATCAGAGGCCCAAGAAATGAAGAAGACCATCTGCTGGCGATTTCCAATCTTGTTAATAACAGCTAGGAGAGTGTTAACTGATGATATTGATAATGGAATGGTGGACTGCTCACCAGCTGTGGTCGTTGTGGTAAAACTACCACTAGGAGCAAAGCGGGCAATTTCCGTTGCGATGCTAGAGTTGGTGATTGTCGAAGGGTAGTGCCACAGCCCCTGGGTGCTCATAGTCGCACCACTCTTGAGGTTTGCGGTAGGGAAGGCAGAGAGATCAGAGAATGATATGAGTTGTTCTACTCCAGCATCACAGCATCCAGCGCCAGGAAGGGCGGTAGTAGTGCCTGTTCAGCAATGTGTCAGTATTGCTTCAAATGATTAGAGATAAGTATCATTCTATTCCTAAGGGCACGGGCATGTTCTGGGCATGGAAGCTGGATTGGACTTGAAAGATGGGATGGCTTACCAAAATCCGGCCCAGGATATGCATCGATGCGGACCATACGGACACCATAATTGGTCTGGTAGTCATACAGTTGCTGCCATTGTGCGGTTGTCAAGGCACTGGTAAATCCAGTGCTATACTGATAGCTCACTTCGCTCACCACAAGGATACCACCATAGTTACCAGCTGAAGCAGAGCTATTCAGTTGAGGAAGAGCGACACCAGTCTGGGGAACGAGTACCACTTGGTACGGAATTCCATAGCCTTGAAGTCCTAGAGTTGCCGAGTTGGCACTGCCTTGGTCACGGGCAAGCACTAGAATTGTCCCCTTATTGCTAATAGCTGCATCAGCGCCGAGTAGTAGTATGCTACCCAGCCAAGCCAGCATCAACTTGAACAACATGATGAGGAAGGTATAACGAATGACAATCTAAACAAATTGGATGGCGCGTAGAAAGTTGATGATAAGAAAATAAATGAATATGTCTAGGGTAGGAACTTTAAGAATTAAATGTCGCCTTCGCAATCGCAGAGATAGGTGCCAACTCGCCAAAACAAACTGACGCCCAATACAGCCACAAGCGAGGGTAATTTTGGCTAGCGAAGCCGTGGATGGACTGCTCTGCCGACGACTCGGGCTCTCAATGAAGATGATGGCTGTCGGTAACGAGTGAAGAAGTATGAAAAAGCAGCAAATGTCCAATCTCCGCTTCTCGCACCTCCACACTGCCAGGTCAGAATAAGTGCAGGAGACAAACCGGATGGGCTGATAGGATGAACTGGACAAGTCTTCCTCTAAAATGGATTGATGTAAGCCAAATATTGAAAACCCAAGCATGGTCACACGCCGAGCCGTCAAGGGCAGGTGTATCAATCCATGATGACATGTGGAGTCTGTGGTCATGTACTCCGTACTCCGTAGTGGGCAGTGCTATGTTTGGCATTGTCAACAGACACAGAAAACTCGTACCACATGTTACACAGGATTTGGCGAGGGGTATGGACTCGAGAGTCCGTAGTCGACCTTCAAGGAGGCTGTGGTGAGTTGATTCAGGACGAGAAATGTTGTAGCCAAACTTTCGACCAGGTACTAGCCATTGCGCAAGCGTCCCAATGCGGCAACCGTGCATTTATGGATCCAAGAAGGGAAACTTTAGATATGGGAGGGCTTGAGCGTAGTGCCTGGTGAGGGCCGAGTACTCTGTTTGATGCAACAGATTGATTGACAATAACTAAAAAACACTGAAAGTACGGATAAATAACGTGTCCAGATGGGTGGAGCCGCGCCTATTGTTTCAAATACAAGACAAGATACGGAAATTCTGGATATGATACGTAATCGATGGGAAAGGCAAGGAATCAGAATCGATGATGAATCTTGAGCGCGGCTCGTGATGGATGAATGGGGGGGTTTAGCAGTCCGGCCGCAATTGCGGGATCGACAAGGGGCGGAACGAAGTGCAGGGGGACATCGCCAAGGCAGAGGTTATCAGAATTCTGAAAATAATGGTAAGGCAGGGGAGGCGTGCCCACGGGTTGAAATTCCGATGCCCTTTTCAACATCCCGAGCACAACCCTCGATCTCGTGTTCGATGTAATATATCAGCAGTAATCAAGGGTGCAGCCGATACCCTGTACCAATTACCATACTGCATAAATGTGGCGGAAAACATCCCGATTCTTGTGATCCGATCAAGACCTACCATACACTGTGCCAAGTCTTCGTTTCGACGATTGCTTTGACGACACAGCACTATCCGTACCACCTCTCAGTAATGAACTTTTAACTTGACCCTTGATTGCCTTACTTTGTCCTGGTCTGTGCAAGACTTCTAGTCAGCCCAACAATGTCTCGTCTAAATGGTTCGTCGTACTCGAGTCTTCACAGCTAATCCTGGTGGCATTTTCAATATTCGAATGTCTCTGTTCGTTCAATGGTTACAGGGCCCATACAATGTTCCCGAGGTGTGGGCCTTGCATAAGCCGTGGATGAGGAGAGAGCCATCGCCATGACCCTAGGAGCTGAAATCCCATCCTGCTAGAGATATCGATTGTTCCGTGAAAATGGCCCTAACTCGTTTTTCGGACGGGCACTGCGAGAATCGTGGCCATGGTCTAGACGAACCGTATGAAGATGGTGGAGTTTTCATCTCTTGAATTTAGTCCTTGTCGCATCATTCGCTTCCTACCGTCGCCTCCTGAACCCTAAAGAAAGAGTTCTTCATCCTGCAGTCAGCTTTTAAGAAAAAAATACTCTCCATTCACTCAATACTGCGTGAAGTCTATTGAATCACTGCATCCGTGAGAGCCTGGAATCAAAATCCGGAAGTCGGTATTTTCGGCTTCTCCCTCTCCTCATACAATCTGCACGTGTTTAATATCATTTTCATGGGCTGCAATTTGGACCCTTCATCGTTTCCATAATAGTCATTACCTTTCACGGGTTTGAAGCGCCTCCGCATGCTACCCTGTTTCTCGTTATCTCGAGCTCTTGATTTTCCTGGAATGAGATGGGTTTTGGGATGGCCGTTGTGTGGGGTGGTTGTATAATGTCCACTTGACCCAGTCGTAATATTGCCCAAAGTGTCCGCGAGAGGACAAAGTACTCCGTTGTATTGCTTTGACCTTTGATGCTCAGAGCATCAGGACGATATGGCGATACCTGAGACCGGTTCGATTACGCCATTTCGCTATGGAAGTGTCCTGAAAAGTTGGTGGCAGACCGTCCTGGTTGCGGTGATTGGAGTTAGTGTCCTAATCGGCGCCGCAATCATCCTCCTCATCGCGTTGGACAAGTTGCGAAAATCGTTGCGAGTGAGTTTGCCTGTGACAGCAGGATTTGAAGGTTAGAAGTTGCTGACAGGAGTCAAGAACCGCAATTCAGCACTAGTGCTGCCTCAAGAAATCGCTCGTTTTCTCCAATCGTCTCTTAAAATAGAACCAAGCCTCCGGGCACATTCGACGAGACGACTCAAAAAACCTTCGACTTTTGATGTATATTTGGGGCCAATATCGAACCCTCCGAGCGAAGATGAAACACGCGTGCTTTCGCAATCCGATCTCATCATCCTGGAACCATACGAGAAGGGCGTTCTAGATACGCTCAGCACATCTAGAATTCCACGAGCTGCTCGCGTTGTCGCTAGATACGATTTTCGAAAGCATATGACCACCGAGCCAGATAAGGAAGGGGGTTTCAAAGTCGGCAACCGAGTTTCCGTGGAATTTGTGAAGTCCTTCCTCCAAGCTGTCGGCTTTTCTATCAAGAAACCTGGCGAGGAATCGCCTTTCAGCGGCATCTTATTGGCAGGATGGGAAGATACCGTGCTATTCCCGTTGCTTATGGGCCTAGCACAGTTCTTCGGCGACCTGGGTCTGGAGGTGTACCTCGAGGTAGCTCCACCACAGTTCCTAGATGATGTGCAGCAATTGGATCTCAGTCCCTTCGATGGCGTCGTAGTGCGCAATGCGACCGTTCTTGCGGACGGAGAGTCCAGAGACTATTTTGCCATGGGCAAGATGGCATCCACGGTAAAGGCATTCGTCTCGCAGTCCTGTCTTAGGGACTTCACGGTCATGATGTGGGAGACAGTGGACGACCAGGCTGAGATGTCCTTAGCCGTATTGCGCCGAAGTTTCGGTTGGTGCAGTTATCATGACGCCGTGGTCTGGACCAATCCTGCCATGGCGCTGGTTGATGCGTCTCAAAACGTGCGCGTTGATGAACCCCTAGGCGCGTTCAGATGGCTCAAGGAGCAAAAGGTCATGGAGTATCATGAGACGTATAGGAATACCCGCCTGGTAAGTCTCCTTGATAACTGTATTGAGGTGTTCTAACTGTGGTAGTTATCTTCAAGAGCCGTTTCTCACGCTGCCGATTATCGAGAGATGTTAGAACTGGTACCATCTTTGCAGAGCATCGTCTCGGCTCTGAGATCAGGAAGTCAATCCGATGCCATGTCAACTATCACAACAATCACACTCCAAAGTCAGAACGAAGAGCCAGAGATCGATTGGCGCGGAATAGTCTCTGACGAGACGGAGCGAACGGCCCTGCTCGACCAACAGAAAGCGTTGGAATGGGTTGCTCGAATGGAACAAAGCCCGATCAACGCATTGTCTGTTTCTCATCTCGGAGCCGACTTCACATCATTCGGATGCTTCCCGCTTGGGATCGACGTGACAAAAGAAGATTTCAAAAAGATTGTGAAATCCCAAACGCGTCTTCAGCGATTGGAGTTGTTGGATCGCGTCGGTGCTGATGATGTTGTCAGCCTTGGCGAACGCCTCAATGCTTTCTTAGCATCAGAACCTTCTTCAAAGCTCTCGCCATCGGTTCGACGTTTCATCCGCGACTTATCCGATGGCTTAAGCAAGGCGTCAGATTCCGATCCTACAGGCGACCCGGTGCAGATATTCCGCGGTTTGAATTCCGGATTTCAAGTTGGTGCCGACACAGAGGCCCAATTCTGGGCGGTGTATGAGGACGATCGAAGGAGCGGAGGTCTCGTTATCTACGTATCCAACAATGCTCCGGATCTACTGTCGACCGTGGTACATACGTACCTGAGTAGTAAGAATGTCCTTCGGTATAACTGCTTCCTCACCGAAGCCTCCTTGCACGAGTATGTGGCGCCATCCAGCCGAGAACCACTCCCTCCCCGACTCCTACAGGACCTTCGTATCCTCACTCCCGCAGATATCCTGCTATTCCTACAGCACTTGAAGTTTTCATACTCTAACCTCGACTGCCATTTACTATCTGCCATTTACCGAACTTGCGAGGAGATCTTGCTGGACATTCCATCTTACAAGCAACTGAAAGAGCTGGGAAACGTGGACTATCTCAAAGGTACCATCCAGGTTCCTGCCTTGGTTTCTGCTAGGGTTTCTTGGTACAAACAACATGGCTGCGTGCATTTGGATCTACCGACATGCATCCAAATTTTCGAAGAAGTTGACGTTGCCTTCCAATTTGCGCTGAAACACCGCCGCTATGATTGCCTGAACATCTTCACAAATACGCTATCAAGTCTCCTCGGTCCCACCAAAGGTCAAGAGCTGGGAAGCATTGATTGCTATGCGGATATAGTAGCATTTTCGATCTTCTGCGTGGCTCGGAAATTCGCCTTCGATGAAGTTTTCATTGAAGTGTCCGATCGCAATCCGCTCTTCAACGAGTTCTCGGACCAAAGTGCTGCTTTTGCCGAGCTGTTTGCCCTTGGCTCACGATGCGACGCCTATTTCGATATCACACCGAATGAGATGGGCAAGCTCTTATCAGAGAAGCATCGAGCACACTATATGCTTCCTGAAAACCAGCCGCCTGTTCAAGTCGACAATGCCCCGAGTTTTGCAACAGTCTATGCTGCGGCTGAGTCGGATATCGACAAGGACCAGGTGCATGAGACACTTCCGGGATATCAACGATTCACTTTCCTTAGCGTATTTGCTATCCCCGCTCTTGTTGATATCATCCTCCTTACAACCACCGGACGCGGTCTGTACCTGAGCAAGTATATGCAGCAAGACGAGAAGGAGAACGCGACACTCGCTCTCTTGGTATCTCTCCTCCTCTCTGGTGCAATCGGAACATGGATTGCTATGGGAGGGACATACTACCTCATCTCCATGGCTTTCTCGGCAGCCAATATGTTTGTTCTAACAAGACTTGTTGGAGGGCTGTCGATCACCATCCTGGGTGGTGTGATTGGACTGATCATCATCGGTATCCTTGAGAACTTTAAGGCAGGAGTCATTTTCTTCTGCTACCTCCTCATCCTAACAGCTTATCTCACCGTCCTTGCTGCTCTTTCGATCTATCAGTTTCCAGGATCATCCTTCTTGAATGGTCGCATTGTTATCATCACCATCCTTCCGACTCTGATGATTGCACCGATCGTTACAAGTTTTGTCTCGCAGTACAACACCCTGATCTACATACTCCTTCTCTTCTTTTTCATCTCTCTACTATTCATTGGGCTTCGCAGAGTAGTCGCTCAGTGGGTCACTTGGTGCTCAAAGGTCAAGACCGTCGATGACGCAACCGTGAAGAAGTGGTATATCGATAACCGAGCAAATGGGAACGACAAGGTTTTCCATGGACTCACTGCTCCCGCTGCGATGAACCTGTCCCGCCAGAATCTCAACGACGCAGTCGAGAGGGAGCGACGTAGAGGATTCTGGCGGAAATCAAGTGCTGATAACCTGGTCCGAGAATTAGCGCAATCTTGGGAAGCGACCGTGTTTTTACTGAACTGGTACTGCCGCTTAACAAGTGTCAAGAGACCGCGACCTTATAGCTCCACTTGGAATATCGAAGTGCGGGTCGCCTTTGACAGTCTCCAACAGAACCAGAAAGCAATCCGCTTGCACAACTCCTTCCTCCACTGGCGAAACTCGGGGGACGAGATCGGTTGCGGCGTTTTATACTTCATAGTTGCCCTACTCGATCGGTGGATCGAACTGTTCTTCGGCGGACCGGTTGTTGGTCTTGGATTAATTGGCTCGAATGATGCCTTCAGTGTTGCAACTGGTTTCGGTCTGGCCTATTATCTAATTGGTGCCGTCTTATTAGACTACAAGGCACAGCACCTTCATCAGCAGTCCCAAGAAACAATTCCCCTGTCTATCAGTTCTCCAGAGATGATCCACGACGCGAAAACCCGAGATGCTAGAGTCAAGCGAAAGCTGTATTGGAGCACCCTGGGCAAGTTCCTCGGAGTCCACGTATGGACACTTGCACTATGCTCGGCACTTGTATGGATTTTTGCGAGTGAAAATGGTTACGAGGCCGTCGTCATGTTCCTCGCTTATACCGGTGCATACAGCGGCCTGCTATGGTATCAGTACAACAAAATCTTTTCCGGCCCACATGCAGTCATGCCCTTATTCACAGCGACTCTCCTTGGTCTCCCGGCTGGCTGCCTGCTGCGACATTTCAAAAGCAGTTTTGTGTATACCCCGGTTATCTCCTTGGCTTTTGCAACATGGGTTGCTGCTATTACATCCATATATACGGCAAAGATCGGCCTCCCAAAGAGACGAAGTTCATCAAAGAGAAGGAGAGATTTTGTGTTCCATGCATATCGAGATCCTGGCGTCGACCAGCAATGGAGTCAAACGGAGCTAGAGGCATTCTACGAGATGGTCATGGACTCACCGTCGAAATCCCGATTCAAGATCAAAGCGGACGGGCACCCGGGCGTCGAGATTCAAACTCTACTCCTATCTTGCAACCAAGAATCTCTTTCGAGTACTTGTCTTGAAGCATTCCCCACTGGACCTGAAATCGTCGAGATCATTGTCAAGAAGTGGAGAGATGGAGATATTGTCATCGAGCTTGCCCAGATGAAGTCAGTCCTGCCTCAGGGATGCGAGATCAGTGCAATTAGCGCATTCCATGAGGGACGCCTCCATCTTATCGTATCATCAGATGGGGGCCCAACTTCAGGGCGGCAGCCGAATATCACTAGCAATTGTCGAGCTATCGTCGAAATGCTCCTGCATGTCGGTGGCGTGTCATATTTTGGTCTTCGTCACGAGTATGCGACCATTCTGGAGTCACTTCTGGTATGCAAACTCAATAGTGAAAGCCATATCACGGAGAGCTTGAAGAGGTCTCTTTCAACAGACACCTCTACTGGAGAGGTTGCGGCTCTTGCGAACGTGTCAAGAAAAACCTTGCTCCGTAACCTTTGCTTGGGGTTGCAAATCGAGACTGCTTGGGACCTCCTTCCGCTCGACATCCGTCGCGCGCTGTTAAACCGATGCATGGGTGACTTTGGCTCATTTTCTGCCGCAGAGATCCTTTGGTTACAATCGAATACGGATGCCGAAGAAAGCTGCCTGCTCAACACTCGGTTGGCCCGATATGACCTAGGCGCCATTCTCGCTGTGAGCAACTACAACTACTTCAAGCGGGCGGGTCCCATTCATAATGGGAAGAAAGTCTATCAACAAGCACCGGACATTCAATTCATCGGACCTACCGGCGATCTGGAGAAGCCATTCCTCTCACGGGCCCTCTCAAATCTACGCAAGCCGATTGCCTTCATTTTCCGTGTGCTGGGAACCTGCATCAAATTCTTCGTCATTGCACCAATGGCCGACTTGGAATATCAGCGAGAGCTGGATTGTACCCTTCAGGGTGTATTTCCAGTATTCTCCAAACCAGCTGTCTGGTTTCTGACAAGTTTCTGGCAATATTCTAGGGCTATCCAAAGATTCGTTCTTCCATTCTACCTGCTCCATGACCGCGAGGACCTCGTGGTTCTTTGGCACGACATCAAGGGCACCATGCTGACGCTGAAGAGCAAGCGGCTCACTGTGAGGAGTAACAACAAAACCTTCACCGGCTTTATCCACAAAGATAGCAAGGGTGGTTTCGAGCTGTATCAGTACGACGGATCTCACACATCTGAACCCGGGAAGTCCAAGGTCGTTAGCATTGGAAAGTATGCAAAGGACACCAAACTGCTCTCCCGGCAGGAGTTCGAAAATGGCGAATGCGTCAACGAGTTCGTGTACGAGTATGCCACCAAGTCGCACGCGAATCCTGGCAAACTCACCAAGCAGGGGCACTCTAAAATACCCCTTTGCCGCATCTGTGTTCGCGGCAGCGACGAATCTTCGGTCGTTCAATATAACAACAAGGGATTCCTCACATCTGGTAGCTACATGCTGTCCAGCAATAACTTGGTCCGTTTCAAGTACCACTACCGGAAGAATGCCAAGTTCACCGACAAACTCCTTCGCGCAGAGTTTATCCTTCCACATCTCTCCGTCAACGTCAGTTGGGCGGCACCCCCGATCCGACATCCCCATAAGACGGATCGGTGGATTCCTCATTCCCGGGTCCGTGAAGCAACATTTGTGCAAGGTTCAGACGTATATGAGTGCATCTGGATATACAATCATCAGTACCATCCCACAATCATGACCAAACTCAATGGTCAGCAGGTCGATACGCCTGACATGATTCGCTTCGACTGGCTCCGGTTGCTGAAGAAGCCAACCAGGTGCACCTTCATCTCGGACAACCCGCTTGGACAGTTCACATCCCTCCATTACGGTTTCTTCCACAGACTATTCCGTATGAATGTCCAACGGCATCCCGTCTCAACCTCGGCAATGCGCTCCCAGCTTTGGAAGTCTTGGAAAGCAAGTGTAGAAATAGATGGCGTGGTTGTTCGCTGGCTTGACGAACAGCTTCTTCGCGATGACCCCATTCTGCGGCCGTATTGGAGAAAGCGTGATCGGGGAGCTCTAGTCAAAGCTGAAGACTATTTAGCGCTCAATGCGGACACAGTCACTGCCAGCGCCGAGCTGACCAACGATATCAGTGCCTGGACTCCGCTTGCTATCCGAATGGGAGACCTATTTAGTTTCGGCCAGGGGGGCGATGCTGTCGTGTATACCCGCACAAAGGCACTACAGCCTGATACCGAAGATACTCTTCATGTTGTGGCATCAGACACGGGAACCTGGCCTAACGAAGGTGGAGGTGTCAGTGCCTGCCGAAGAGACCTCATCAACAACCTTAAATCCATTCGATGGCATATGGTTGTGGAATCCGCCAACGATTTCGGTCTCCCGAAGCACCAGACTGAAGAAAACGTGGAGTCTTTGAAGGTCATTCCCTTGTGGGGTCTCGATTTTATGGCTCCTATTCACGGAATGTTCTTCAACAAGTTGGACAGCGAAGTTGACCAGCTTACAATTGAGTCCACCAGAGATGATATCAAGCGCAATTTCGTTCCAACATTGACGGCTCTTGTGAGAGGTGCCAGAGCCGTCCGGATCACCCCAGCGCATGTCAAACAAGCGACTCGGGCTTTGGTAAACCTCAATACCTACTTCCAGGACTCCAGGCACTGGAAGGAAGTGTGGACAAGCGATATTGTGAAAGACGCCTGGCGCAACCTCTGGCTCGAGAGCATCCCGAACGCGAAACCGCCATCAGAGTGGTTTGACACCGAATACCCCACGATCGGTCATTTTGATTCGGCTTTGGATTTATGGTTCCGTTGTAAGCCGAGCAAACTTTTCTGCTACTGTCAAGTGCTAACCGTGCCTTAGATCTTTTCATTTTCTCGATACCTATCCCGGAGCGGATACCGGCCATTTTCCAAGCATCGCATCATAGTGTTTCGGCGTCTTACGGGATTGTTTGTAAAATTAAGCGTAACTGTACTCTCCAAATTTGGGACCATGCTATTAGCTGGCGGGAGACAAACCTCTACTTGGTAAGAGCGATTTTCCGGCCCATCCATAAGATGTGCTTCTAACTTTACACAGTCTTCCGCTCTTTGCACTCTACCACCATTCATTCGCAATTCTCTCCTTGGTCTCATGCGTCTTACGTCCATGCTCATCCTTCATCACGCGGATGTTATCTTACCTTGCACGGACACTTTCAATCCTGGCTGGGAAATTGAAATTGGAACATCTCAAGGTGGAATCGAACATCGGAACAAGTTCCGTCGCAAGATCGACCCAGTCGTCAATGGGATCACAGACATGCACAAGTTTGCTCCGGTCACCGAGATCACGACCAAGAAACCGACGGTAACCATGCTAAGCCATCTTTGGCTTGCGAAAGATATCAAGACCGCGCTTCTGGCCGCCGACATCATCATCAACAAGTGGGGTTTCGATGACTATGTTCTTGACATATACGGCGCTTTGAACAAAGCCCCCATCTATTCATCCGAATGCCAGGAGTTGATCGCGACCAAGGGACTTGCACCTCAAGTCACTCTGCGGGGAACAGCGGACCCCACAAAGGTGCTGGCAACCACGTGGCTATTCCTCAACTCTTCAGTGTCTGAAGGTCTTCCCTTGGCACTCGGAGAAGCGGCTTTAACCGGTGCACCTGTTGTCGCAACAGATGTCGGTGCATCGTTGCGAGTCTTGACGGACCCAGACACAGGCGAGCGATATAGCGAGGTTGTCGCCCCCAACGACCCCTACTCACTTGCTCGGGCACAAGTCAACATCCTCGCCATGCTTGGAGAGTGGTCCAAGTTCGCCGATGACAACCCGAATGAACCTGCCCCCGCCCTACCCTTTGAACCAACCCCTGAGGACGTTAAGCGAATCACTCAGCGCATGTATGACAAGAGCGACCACCGTCGTGCCCTCGGCATGAAAGCACGCACCATCGTCCAGAAATCCTTCAGTGGGGCGCGCTATCTCCGCGAACACGAGCAGATGCTCTGGATTGGCAAAGCCCGCTGGGAAGCCTTGGACCTTGAGATCCTACCTGCAGTGTCCGCCACAATGGAGCAGAAGAGCGATAAGCAGCTAGAAAAAATGGCTCATCCGAAGACACCATGGCTTCGCGGCCGCGACCGTGCATCCGGCGCCACCTCCTTCACCAGCATCTACAGCGAACTGAACGTCCAGAGCAGTCGCCAGAGCAGTCGCAATTCTCTCCATCAGCCTGGTCATGGAAGCCCCAAGTCTAGTGCTAGACCTAGCTCGACTCCGTTCGACTCGGGGACCACCACGCCCGTCGAGGTGTTGCCGCCTGTTCCCCGCAAGGCAGCGACAAGCAGTCGTGTAAGCTTTGCGAGCGATACGAAACAGGGCTCGTCTCTGGTCAGTCCACCGAGGAAGAGGAGCCCTTCGAATAGTGTCAGCGATGATGAGGGTCCAGTCGCTGCCCACCATGCTCGCGGTGGTCCGCAACGATTGTCGGCTCCAAAACGGGAGTCATCTTTGAAGTTACCGGAGAGACTAAGGGTTCGAGAAGCGAAGTTGAACAGGATAAGTCCGGGCTCTTCAGCGAAGTTCACTCCTAGTCGATTGAGTGACGTCCGTACCATGGAATGACCGTGGTACAGTATTTCATTATTTGCATTGGTGGATACTTTTTGAAGTTTTGGGCCAGCATTTACATTTTGGTCATTGCAGGACAACGGGGATTCAGCATCGCGTGGAGAACTGCTTTCCAGTCCGTATCATAGAGTATCCAGCGTCAAGGTGGAGTTCGTGGGATTCCTTTAATTTTTTGTACAATAGATCTGCTGGCCACGGAATCATTTTCGAACGGCCAACAATGCTGCCCATATGGCCTAGTTGATCTCCATAGGAATAATATATTCGTCATTTCGGTTGAATTAACGATTGCCGTACTGTCTCGATGTTGACGAATTTTTTCTTCGGTTTGTCTGAGTTCATAAAACCCCTGTAAATGACCAATTCAAGCCCGAAACAGGGACGGTTTCAAGCCACCAGTGGTCATTTCATCCCAGGACGTACCTAGGTAAGGAGAAACTCAGAATTCACCAAGTCGTCGTCAAATATACCGAGCTCGCCAAACACCGATCACGGCTGTCACGAAATAAAAATTTGATATCTTGCATTCATGAGCGGAACCACAATCCGCAGAATATGCTTCCCGAAGCACCATACAGCCCCTCTGAGAGAACCGAAGCAATGATATTCCCCAAAACCATATCCCATGCCCAGCTCATCCGCAACCGGGTTCCCCTCCCTTACAAATCCGAGGTGCTTCGCCGTCTCCCCAGTGTAAGACCCTGCAACTGCTCGCTACAGCTCTTCAACCATCGCTCCCCATGCTTGATCCAGGTCAACTTGCCCGCCTCCAACACGCGTTCCCTTGGCGTGGCTTGCACCGAGAAGAGCGATTGATCACCGCTGGTTGTGATCTGTGGATGCGAATCATGTTAACATAACTGTACAGACTCGACTATTCGTACCGTGTGTCAGTGCAGAATGTGAAGCAGTATCCGCTATGTGGGGAGAGAGGGGTGTATGTATTTGTGTGTGTAGAGAAGTATGGTGTGATGTGTGATATGCTAGTCTATCTTGGCACTCGCCAGTTTCCCGGACGGACTTGACAGCACGTTGCTGAAACGCGTGTTCGTGCGTTTGTATTTGGGGTGTTTTCGAAGTTTCTTGCGGGCGACCATGACCGGGACCGAGGACTTCGTAACGAGGTAGTTGGAAAAGGACCCTAGAAGAACGCTAATTGGATAACCGTTAGATTTTGACGTGGTCGAACAACAGTGTCAGTATCTCGAATCATACCCTTTCAATGCACTCCTTCCTCTGCTGCCCAGAACCACCAACGTCGGCTCTAGATAGTCGATGACTTCGGTGATCATGTGCTTCGGATTCTTGCAATGGAACACCTCCACCAAGATGCGAGCCTGGAGCCTCGTCCCCCGTATGAGCTTGATGCACCGGTCGCTCACTTCCATCACCGCATGCCAGCGCTCCCGCTCCGCTTTGTCCATCGCTGCAAAGCCAGGATTCGAGATGGGGGAGACGGAGCGGGCACGGTTGCCCGGACTCCGACTCTTTGTGCCATCGGCGTTCGTTACGGTGGCGAGAGGAGATAGGTTCGCGGCAGTAAGGGGATGGGTTCCATGAATGAGCCCCGTGGGTCCGGCCGCATCGTTACTGAGGGTCCTAAGGAGGCTGGTTGGGTCACTTGAGCCGTTGCCTTCTGTCTTTTCGTGGGAAGCATCGGTGGTCGCGCCGATCGCCTCTTCGTCCATGGCGTAGACTGCGAGAAGGGTGTCTCCATCGCGGAGAACAGTGCCGATGGTCCATTCCAGCGCGTACTCGGCTTCGTCGCTCAAGTCTGTAGCAACCAAGTAAACCCTTTGGCGCCGAAGTCCTTGTTGTGCTTCTTCCTGAAGGGTGATGTATTCGCCCCTGATGATCTCGCGAACACATCGCTGGTTTTCAGGCGTGCTCTTCACCTGGGATGCCGTGAGTTCTAGTTTTTGTGCTCTTCGGATGTCATCCAAATCGCCCTCATCGTCGGAGGTCATGGGTGTAGAAAGGGCTGAATGCGCATCAAAGTTGGTGGCAGGATGAACACCCGGACGTTTATTGGCCTGTGTGATGTATTCGAGGGAGTCTTCGGGTTCCGTGATGGATATGGATGGGTCGTCAAGGAGGGACCGGTACTTGTAGGCGGTCTCTTTCCGTTCCTCTTCCGCCGCGCCCATGAGAGACGTCGGCGGTCGTTTCCCGCCATCAATGTTCAGAGTCCTGGCCTTGGCCTCAAGTCCACCAACACTTCCAGTGCTTCCCTCCCGCGTACGACGTCGACCACGTTTCTTGCCGGCGACATCTTCATCTGAACTATCGTCGGAAATTTCCAGGGCTTCCTCGTCTTTCTCGTCAGGGTCGTAGTCCATCTCTAATCGAACGTGGCCATCAGCGCCTATAAATTCCCCCGTTTCGGGGTCGGAACCTTTCCGGTGAGGCAGACTGGCGAAAGTTCCTCCATGGCGCAAGAGTGCGGCGTCCGAAAGTCGACGGTACGCACTCGACATGTCAATCGCTTTTCCAGATTCGGAATAATATTTTCCAGGATCCGGCATCAGATGTAGATTACGATTCGCAGGTGACTGAGACCGCGTACCCGGAGACTTTGACTTTTTATGGCCCGTGAGCGGTCCAGACCGTGATCCGGCTCTTGAGGAGCTGTCTCCAGATCCAAACACGCTCGACATTGCCCCTTTGGCCTTCTTTCCACCCTGAGTCACGCGTTTCGGCAACGCGTGTGCTTCAATGGACGGAAGCATTTCGAATTTGTATGCCTCCTCTGGGTTGACAGCCGAGCCTGCCAGGGACGAATGTATGCGACGCTGGTGTGGAGGTGATTGCGGAGGACTTCGAGCTGGAGATTGGGTGATACGTGAAACGCCCGCTGCTTGGCCGGCGATCGAAGTATGTCGAGGGACCGTGGAAGGCGCTGGTCCGACATCCAGCATGCTTCGCGGCTGGGGAGGAGGAGGGCCTATGTCGAGCATGCTCCGTACTGGCGATTTGGTGACGGACGGACTGGACGCTCTCTCACGATTTGTCGGAGGTGCAGAGTTAGTCGGGCGACCCTCGAGGAGCGCGAGGATCTCGAGACGCTCCTCATCCAGTGCATTTTCGAGGGACATGGTGATGGGTGTGTGGAGAGGCGAGAGAAATGAGGGATGTGTACGATAGTGGTACGCTCGTGTGCTAAGATCCTGCGATGGGTTCTTCGTTGCTGGTATATTAAACGACCGGTGTGTTCTGAACAGATAATAAAGGAGCAACAGTAGCAAATCAGCCCTTTAAGAAGAGACAGGAGTCATACGGCAGATTGGAAAAGTGGTTAACGGTTCGTCAAAGCAATGTTGACGTTTGTGGAAGACCAGTCAGCCTTTTTCTCTCGGCGCGATGAGGGTTTCAGGCCGCAAGGACGACGACATGAGGAACTTGTTTGGTTGCCAGTAGTTCAGTTCTTATATGTTCAGTCCTGTATCGCGTCCAAGCAAGTGCCAATGGAATCTGCTCGCGTGATACAGAAGGCTCTTGCGATCTTGCAGTAGGCTGTAAAAGCTAATAAGGGACCGTTTCTAACCATGGACGACTCTATAAATTCTTGACTAAAAGCCTTGATTTACGGCAACAATGGCAAAATATTCAAATAGTTCCTTCATAGAAGGGCAAGAAACCCAAAATATCCGTCATAAATATTCAAAGCAATGGGAGAATCGCGGTAGAGGAGGGATCGGGTGGGGGATTCAAGATTGGGAGGGGAATTGAGAGGGCTCAGCAAAAGGCGATGATGCGTCCCGCCCCACCCATTGTAGGCACAGCCCCTGGTCATAGTGGGCTTGGCAAAGTCTTGGCACATCGGATATGCGTCAAGCCACCATCGAGCCTTCGGGCATTTATGCTTCTAATATTCCATATTCCCGCGAGTGACCTGGTTCGCAGATGCGTTCTCACAAGTCACAGCTCACTCTTTCATATGACGGTAACCAAGTAGGTAGTATTCTGTATAACCGCTTCAGTGCACGGTTTGCTACCGTGAGCTGATCAGGACCAGGCCACACCACACCTGACATTCTTCATAACTTACAGACTATGTATTACAGAGTTGACTGCGTCGTGACTCATACTACGTGCAGTACGGCCGTAGGATGGCATGAATTGTCCCTCTAGCCTTCCATCTAGCCCCTCAAATCTCAATACGGTTTGAATCTTGCCTTCTCCCCCTTGCCGCTCGATTTGCCCGATTTGCTTTTCTGAACGGAGCTCTTCCCCACCGAATCACGCCCTTGTCTCTCCAAACCTGACTTCCAGCTCCGCACAAAACCATCCTCCCCACAGGTGATGACGATAGGGTTCTAGCAATCCACGTTAATTCACGGCGGATAAGGATATATCAAATAGATCGGCCTTACGTTTGCATCGGCCACCTCCGCGTACACGTCTCGCACGAGCTCTTCGCCATGCGCTCCGGATATGCGTACTCGTGAACCGGTATCCGGCGTCCATGATAGAGAGCCTTTGGAATTGGGAGCGCGAAGAGGTACCAGGTCGACTCGCTTCTCCGTGAAGCTGCCGGCAACGAGCATCCAGTCGCCGCCTGCTCGGACCACATCGACTACGTAGTCACACTCCAGCGACTCTCGGACATCTCCTAGCTGTGCGGGGTTCGGATCGGGTTGATCGGAATCGGGGTCCGACAGAGTGTAGAAAGATAGAGTCTCGTCCGTTCCCAGGCCATAGATATTGTCATCGGACAGGAAGCCACAGTGGTGGATGGCAGAGCGGTGATTGATCACTTGAATCAATGCGTCGTCTTCCTCCGTTTGCCGGATATCGAAGATATTGATAAGGCTGTCTGTAGAACCGGTGAGCATTAAATGCCGTTTCTCTGGATGAAATTGGATCTAGGCTTGATGTTAGATTTCCGTGCTCCAATGTCCTTGTGAGGAATTGCCCATGCCTCTGTTATTGTGTCTGTATGACTTTCCTCAAATGTGACTGAGGGACTGCCTGGTTTTCTAGGATCCCTGTAGGGAGCATTAGGCCTTCATATCTTTGAAACCATTGCCATTCTCTCACCATAGAAACAAGAGCGTTTCTGCTGGTCCATTCTTCTCCAACTCCATTCCCGCCGCGATACAATTGCCTGCATAGCTCGCTCCCAGCGCCGACATCGGTACGCTCTTCGGGCTCGACAACTCCATGCTCTTCTTGCCGCTCCGCAGATCCCAAAGCCTTACCAACCCATCTCTACCGGTGGTGAAAATGTTCTTACACTCTTCGCCGTCCGCTGCCCATCGGCAGAGAGCCGTCACGCTTGAATTGACATTATGCAGAGCTGTTGACCCGGATGATGATTGCCCCGCTGAACACCGCTCCGGATCGAAAAATCGGACGGAGTCGTCGGAACATAGGGCAGCCATACGACCAGGTCCCAAGACAGGAGCATAGCTCTTGAATCCCACCTGGGCGGTCAATGGGGTGATGGAGTAGATGTATGAATTGGCGGGTAGGCCGAGATTGCCGGACGAGGTGGAAGTTAAGGACGTCATTTTCCCGTTTGCGGAGGTGGGAGACGTCAAAACTCTAGCGGGCTTCAATTTAATTCATCATCGGGGTATGAAAAAAACTTCACGGGTAAGGTGGAAGTGTGAGTTAGCCTAGTGGACGAGGACGAGACATCGATGTTACATGTAGGAAGCTCACAAAGGTCTGCAATGCTTTGGATTCTAGGGACTGCATCTGTATGTTGGCATACATTCAAGACCTGATATTCAAACGACAAAATGTACCCCTGATATGAAACGCACCGTACTGATTGAGAAACAGGCAATGCGCGATTAACTACGGGGTTGATCGGTCTGGGACCTCGAGTTGACAAGCAACCATCAAATCTTTTCATTCCATGCGGTCAAGAGCTGATTTTGAGATCCAGTAATAACTATCTGAAGAAGAAGAAGAAGAAGTTCAAAGGGGATTGGATTTTTTCGGAGATGTAGTGAGAATTTTGGTCACGTGGTCGAGCACGTGTGGGTGGCTTGGTACTTTTACAAAACACGGCTGTTGATTGGCTGGGAAGCTCCGAGTTAGCCCGACCGAGGAAGGAACTGCCGCTCGGCATCAATCGCATCACGACTGTCAACTGTGATTCTTGTGCGTTTCGTATCCTGGAACTTCGTTCTTGTTTGCATCGTCAATTCCCCAATTGAAAGTTAGCTGCCATCGGGCTAGACCATTCAAGATGTTGGCCACCAGAGCAGTTCAATCATCTCTGAGGCGGCGTATGTCCTCATCCTCAACCGACACACTCATTGTCGAACCCGGCTAACCGGTCGCTCCTTTAGTTGCCGTCCAGCCATCATCGCGGACGGTTCTGTCCAAATGGGCGTCCCCCGCGGCGATTGCGACGAACGCACATCTCGTTCAGCGGAGGTGAGTTTCCCTCAAGTCCCCCCAAATATAACGAAACCCGACTAATACCTATCCCCTCGACAGACAAGTCCAAACCGTTTCCGGCGACCCAAACGCCAATAGCGAGCTCATCAAGCAACGACTCGCTCGCCCCGTCTCCCCACACATCAGCATCTACCGCTTCAGCCACTGGTACGCCTCGGGCTTCCACCGCATCACCGGCATCCTCCTCTCCGGCGGCTTCTATCTCTACATGGCCGCCTACGCCGCGGCCCCGTCGCTGGGCTGGCAGATCGGGTCGGCCAGCCTGGCGGCTGGCTTCGGCGCGTGGCCGATCGCTGCGAAGATCGCGACGAAGTTCGCGGTGGCATCGCCGTTCGTGTATCACTGTGTCAACGGGCTGAGACATTTGACGTGGGATACCGGGAAGATGTTTAGCTTGACGATGGTGAAGAGGACGGAGGTGCTGACGGTCGTGACGGCTCTTGTGGGGGCTTTGACTTTGGCATTCATTTAAGATAGCAGGGGGACGGAAACTGAAAGAGTTGATTGTACAAAACGATGTCTACGGTCTGATGGTGGTGAAGTGAGTGTCAGGATAAGGGCACGAAGGCATATACCTAGAGGCTGTGTCCATTGCCGTTGAATACATTGAAGGTTCAAAATCTGCCATCTGGCCTACTACAACTTACTTTACATCCCATCTCAGGGTTCCGAATCGGCTGTCACCAGGTGTGATTTGTGAAGGTGGCTTGTAAGACTTCGGCAAGCCGTTCCGAAGTACCCCCAGTACCAGCCATGTAGACGAGGGTGCAGAAGTCTAGCCTCTAGGATGTCTTTGATACACCCGTCTTGTGCTTCAGTCAATGCAATTGGCCGAGAATTGGCGACAAACAAACTGCGGATCGACCTTGATGGACCACGAGGAAACCCACACATGTTGAGAAGCCCTGCAAGCAAGCGAAAGGTGCTCGAAGTCATTTTTTGATAATGAGCCCGACAAAATTGGTGTGGACCGAAGACCAATGGGAGTCATGGATCCCTTCCGCGTGGTTGAGAGTAAATGGGATCATTGAAACTGGGTCTTCATGACTTCAAGACTTCCAGTTTCCGGTCGGCACAGGATCAATAGGGGTGCCGCCAAATTGATGCTTCAACATCGCGAACTTGACCAGAAGCTCACCACTGTGCCTGCATCCTAGGAGATTTATATAGTTAGGTACTTATTCAAAGCCAAATTACAGCAATACAGCAGATATTTGTAGGGAGAGCTCACCTACATAGTAATGTGATGGCAATCTGACGAGATAAGATGTGTTCAGTTGCATTTTCTGGAGTTCAGGTACGGAGTACCAGGATGCTCTGCTGGTGGAGGCAGGAGCCAGTGAGGGTGGTTGCCCCCACAGATTTTCCACCTGTGGTCCTCGTTATCAACCACACACTGTCGGCAATAAACCCTACCATTACACAAAGCTCAGTGACCTCACAGCAGTTACACCTTAATTATCTAAAGGCCTCTGCGGTTGCTTAAGTGAATGAAGATTTACACATCCGTCTCAAGTAAGACAAAGATCACCAGGTGCAGGCCAAGGTGCTTAGCCGCATGATTGCACGACTTTGCCGCTCCCTTTGCTTGACCCAGAAGTAAGTATGGATCATCGGTGACGATCCGTACAAAGTATGACAGGAGACGTTTCAGCAGCATCGTCAACGATCCACGGTTCCAAATCCAAACGTGCTCTGGAAAGACGATGAAGTGGAGTCTAGCACGGTTCATTCCTTCATCATAGGAAACCATCTCGGCGAGTTTCCCTTGAGTTTTTTCTTTTCCATCACTTTCCTTTCGGTACCTGGTACCACTATCTCATCTCGTCAAATCATTGAAAGGTCTCCGTTGGTCGTTTCGTCGTGCCTCCTTTGCGACGTCGAGAACGGAGACCTCTCGAGTCCTTCCCGTTAGAATCGATCCGCGCTCTTTCGGAGGCGACTTATGCCGCGACTTTGATATCCCGCGACAGCATGCTGTGGTCACATTTTCGCAGGCTGGCGCTGTTGTCCTTCTTTGCTTTCGTGTTCGTTTCCATTTGCGCCATCTTTACCAAGCGATTTGAGAATCCATGGGCTGCCGACCGACACGTCGAAGTCGCCAAGCCTGGCCCCCTGCCACCCGTCATCAAGGCAGGCCAGATACATTATCAGGAGGAGAAGGACCCGTCCCCAAGCAAAACGGCACAGGGAGAAAATGGCTCGCCACCGGCAAAATCAGAGGGAACCTCGACACAACGGACACTGGTTACGGCTCCCCCGCGAGAAACGCGGAGGAAATCGAAGGCCTGGTCACCGCCTACGACACCACTAGATATGGATGAGATGCTCGATTGGAACAGACCGGGCCATGTGGATGGACACTATCCGCCGTACGTTGCTGTAAACCATTGTCGCCACTCAATGCTAACCCCTCGGATCAGTTACGAAGACTACGTCGATTACAACTACGACCCAAACCGATGGGAAGGGTTTCCTGAAGAGCATGGCTTCTACCAGAAGAGTGGCGTCGATCTTCTGCGGGCGTACGAAGCTAGGAAATTTCACGCCGCCAACCATGCCCAGGGCAGATATGCCAATGGCGAAGTAGACGAGAGTCACAACTCGTCATATGCGCCGTATCTTCCCTATCCTGACTTCAATGGCGAGGAATGGCGGAGACAATACCACGGAGATTATGTGCCCTGCAGAGGACCTCGAAATTTGAATCTCAACGAGAGCATCCACGACGTCGTCCACGCCTACCGATCGGTTCCCCTAGGGTTTCCCGAGCCAGTGACAGGATCATACGAGGCGCTGGATCTGGATGAGGACATCTGTATCGATCGAATCTCCCGGTACGGACCATATGGACTAGACGAAGGCCGATCGGTGCGGGAAAGGGCATCCTGGGCAGAACCTGGAAAAGTCGATTGGGAAACCGTGTCCTGGGGCGAGCTGCAAAACGAATGTTTGAACCGCAACCAGGAGCGCTATGACCCGAACTATCGGCGGTCACCGAATATGTCGCCTGGTGTTGCATTGCGGCAATCTGCACTTCGATATGATCAATTCCAAGCGGGTTACGACGGAGACGATAAAACCAAGGAGAAGCGACAGGAGCCAGTTCAGGAGACCGGGCTGACTTACCGGCCACGGACAGCCCTTCTGATCCGGACATGGGAAGGATATAACTACCGCGAGAATGATTTCCAGGCGATCCGGGCTATGATCATGGAGTTGTCTCTCCACTCGGGTGGAGAATTCCAGGTCTTCATGTTCATCAACGTCAAAGATCGGGGAGCGAATATTCTGCATGACCGCGCGGAATATTCTCGTATCCTGCGCAAGTCCATCCCCAAGGAATTCCGATCGATCAGCATCCTCTGGAACGAGGAGATCTGCGAGAAATGGTATCCAGAAGTCGGAGATTGGCAGGTCTACTGGCAGCAATTCATGCCGCTCCAGTGGTTTTCCCGTACCCATCCCGAGTTCGAATTCATTTGGAACTGGGAAGTCGACGCTCGCTACACCACCAACCATTACCACTTCCTCCAGAAAATTGGCGACTTCTCCCGCGATCAACCCCGCAAATACCTCTGGGAGCGAAACTCCCGATTCTACTTCCCCGGCGTCCACGGCCCCTCGTTCACCAAATACCGCGACGACACTAACGCCCTGATCGCCGAATCCAAAGCCGCCAGCAAAATCACCACCGTCTGGGGCGCTCAACCCGCCGTCATCCAGCAAATGCCCCTCGGTCCCAAACCCCCCACTACCGAATCCGACGACAACTTTACCTGGGGCGTCGGCGAAGAAGCCGACTTCATCACCCTCCTCCCCATGTGGGAGCCCCAGATGACCGGTTGGCCCTTCCGCGACAAGCTCTGGAACTTCATCCCGGGCCACCGCCCGCATTTCAGCGCGGAAGACGGCGCAGACGACGCGTTCACGCATCCGGACTTCGCGGCGATGCCGCGGCGCGTGTACATCAACACCATCACGCGACTGTCGAAGCGGCTGCTAGACGCGATGCACGAGGAGAACCGGGCGGGACGCAGCATGCAGGCGGAGATGTGGCCGAGCAGCGTGGCGCTGCACCATGGGTTCAAGGCGGTGTACGCGCCGCATCCGATTTATTTCTCGCGGAAGTGGGATGCGCAATATGCGGATGCGGTGTTCAATGCGGCGGACGCGGACATCCCGGGGCGGTGGGCGGCGGGGATGGACAGCGTTTATAACAAGGATCGGGAGCATAACTTCGAGGGGTGGAGTTGGTATTATCGGAGCATGTTGCCGAGGGTGCTGTTTCGGAGGTGGATGGGGTGGAAGGCGGCGGATGAGTTGGGGGAGGTGGGCGGACCGGAGTGGGAGGAGGGAATTGGGGGGAAGATGTGCCTACCGGGGGTGTTGTTGCATCCGGTGAAACACGACGATGTGAGACGACCGGATGAGTAAATTTCATTCTGCATATGATTTGCATCGAGCTGGCGTTCGGAGGGTACGAAACTATGTTCGATAGATATCCTAGGTCACCACATAGATAACGATGGCGGAGTTCCCTCGTTCCATGAAGAAACCTATGCATGAAGCTCCGATTCAAGTGAATGATGCTTCCTCCTTCAATCTCGCCAAATGTTCCAAATATCCTTCCGGCCTCTCGCTCTGCCTGACGCTCCCACTCCGTCGGCGATACGCCCCCTCCCGCTCCCTCACTTTCTGCTTCTCCTCCGCCAATCTCACCAACCCCTCCACGAACCTCCCCCGCGCCTTCTCCTCCGCCGTCCCCTTCCACACCCCCGCCAGCTCCCTCAACGCCGCAATCCGCCTCATCGCCTCCTGATACCCATTCTGCTCCGCCACCGGCCCCACGATGCACTCCGCCACCTCACCCCGCAGCCGCTCCGCGAACTCCTGCGCCCGATCCTCCGCGGAGCGTCCGTCCACGGACGTCGACGACCCCGGTGCGGTGGGTGCGGACACAGAGATGAAGGAGGAGGCAAGCGAGAGCTCGGAGGGCGGAACGGACCACTTGGTGGCTTCGCCGAAGGTGCGGATGACGGCGTCGAGGCGGGCACGCACGAAAGTGAGGGTACGGAGCTGCTTGAGAGATAGCTGGACCGCGTCGGTTTGATCGCTAACAGGCGGGATCGCAAGTAAATCGGACTTAGTTGTAGATGTGCCGTTCTCTTTCTGTACGGGCGGTGATGGGGGTTGATCCGTGATCGGGACGTTCGGCCCACACGATGATTTTTCAGCCGCCGGCTCTTGTGATGGGAGCGGCGCGTCCTCCGCCTCCTTTATGGATAGATCAGCCAACCCGCTTGGTAGAAGTCGCTTGAATTCGTCTTGCAATCCATCGTTCAGAAGCTCGGAGAGCCCAATTGCTTCGCCTCGCAGCACTTCCACTTCGTAGGCGAGCCGTCCGCCGCACCGCAAGATGTCGTCCGTGAGCTGGGTGAGCACATTGCACAAGCGCGTTGTCTGCGCGGCGAGTTGGGATAGCTGCGTTTGAGCGGTGGAAGACGCTTCTTGCAGCGATACGTGCTTAATTGATTGGCTTGATCTTTGTGATGATGCCTGTGAGCCAACTGCGAGATGGGGCAGGGCACCATTCAAGAAGTCGACGGGGTCAAAAGAGGGTTGGAGGAAGGGTTGGAGCGATGGATCCGACACATGAGGTGATTTGGCGATGACTGTTCCATTTTGGGATGCTGAGAAGGTCATTTTTTTACGAATTTAATGTCATGAAAGTTCTCTTTCGTAACAAAGATACTGTAAGTTTCCTGGTTCCTAGTGGCGGACAAAGATGTGTTGTACAGAAGATGAAGCTGCAGAGAGAACGCTGTATTGATGCCTACAAATCCAGGGTCGCAAGGCGATGCACAAAATGACCTGTCATCGCTTCAGCGCCGCTCGGAAAATACCAGTTCCAAAGTATATTGCTCTCCCTGGAAATTGTACTCACCCAGGCCGCCGTTGATGGTTATTTGCTTTGTCTGGCATTGGGAGGTGGTTCAAACTTCCACAGAGCAGAGCATGGCTTCTGTTTGTGCATCAAAGGAACTGGACTCCTGCATCCTCCAGGCAGCCATCTGAACACAGCCTCCTCACGATATTCCCTCACTTACACCGGCCTGTATCCTGTAAGTTTATTCTTCTTTTATGAGGAAGGGATCCGAGAAGTTCAAAGGAAAGTCTAGATACCGTGTCACATTCACCATGCTGAGGCGGGTTGCTGTGTTGACCTGATAGGCATCACAACCACATCGAGATGTTCTGTTGATGGCACGGAACTCTTTGTTGACAAAGGCTAATATTTCACTTCAATCTTTCACTTCAATCCAAACATCAATCACGAACTTCTCCTCTGCATCCTCTTTTCTGCTGCTTCTCAAGACTGTTATGGCTTAAGTCCTCCGTTTATGCGGAGCTCATACCAGCTTAGAGGCGTTACACAATCATGCCTCGCCGCAAATACATCGAGGACCTCAAGTCACTGGCTGGAGAGCAGGGCATTCCAAACATCTCAGGTATCGAAGCAGGCCAGGACGATGGGACATTCGTTTTCGAACTTGACACCATCCACACCGATTCACCTGTCACTTTCATCGCTCAAGTGTGGCCAGATGTCTCCGACTACCCCTCCGATCATACGTTCAAACTCTACACTGAGGATGATTCCACACCGGAGTCTCTGTTGCAGAGGCTGTCTCGTCTTGAGGACCGCAAGGGTCTCACTGTCCGCGTTTACCTAATCCTGCTCTCTTCAACCTTGCAGGTCGTAGACACTGACGAGCTGGAATATGAAGATCCGGATGACGAAGAGGTGGATGAGGGCCACGACGATATTTATGATGACTCCGACGGTAAAGATCGCTCGAGCCAATCTCCAGCGACTCGTCGACTAAGTCGCGCATTCGACGATATCCACGTAAATTCGGAGTATCAGAATCGGATCGGATCCGACCTCCACGCACTGAAAGACGCGGGCTTTCGTGTCGGCTACACTGGCGCTCTACTCAGCGGTGAACGCTGCCATGTAATAGCGTCCATCCGTGTCGCCAGACTGGGAATATCCGACGAAGCCATGGTAGCCTGGAACCTCCATCGCTCAGAGTATTTAGTCTTGCTCTTGTATTTCCCGTCGGGTTACCGAGCCTTCGAGGATCTTTCGCGTCTGTCTACCCAGCAGCGATCACACGTGTTTGACCTGCGCGTGGGTCTTTGCAAGCGATACAAACCCGACGATGAGGAAATCATCAACGTCTTTTCGGCAACGGCTGCCAAGGCTGGAGACGACCCGGCTCGTATCATTCGGAATTGCTTCATCTCCAAGCCGATTGAAGAAATGCTCCGAACCAGGCTCTTCACCCTTGTCTCTGTCCGTCAAAATTGCGGGTTTCCATGCAGCTGGGATCTCGCCCAACATGGATATAACCTCCTCTCAACCGCACCCGTCGGTCAGTCACTCGACTACCACACCCTGGCAGATTCGCTGCACGAAACACCGCCTCTGGACCTTTCAGAGAAACATCTTCCTGCGATCATCCTTAGGGACCACCTAAGCTCACCAAAATCGCAGCTGTCCCTCCCTCTTCTCGTCATGCAATGCCTGGTTCGACACTTGGTCCTCTGCACCAGCCACTGCATGATTTGTTGGAAGACTCTTAACACCGAGCTGGAAGCAATCAAACCCTATGTCTGCGATGCGCCACTCTGTCTCTACCAGTACCTACAGTTCGGATTCGGTCCCAGTATTGAGGAGGAGATCGTCAAGCAACCATTCGTTGTCGACCTGTTGATTAGCTTCTGCTACTCCAGGGCTCTCTATAACAAATTGCAAGACTTCCCCTCGGGCCTCAATCTCCGTGTCCCAAACCCGCAGACTTATGAGAGAGGTACGGAACAGATGCATGATTGGCGGAAGAAAATGCCATACGAAGCGAAACTCGACCTGGCATCATGGACATTGAGCCTGGAGCCAAAGGATTCGAACCGTCTGAAGGAAAATCACTGGATTGTCCTCTGTATCCAGGGAAGAGGAGAGTTCGTTCGTCACTGTCGGGTTGTGAACGTTGCTGACCCAAATCGTGTTCAACTCGCGGAACCTCCTATAATCGAGAATGACCCGATTATTCCCCTCTCAGGCCCTCTCGGAACCGAAAATGACCCGGTTGTTATAGATCCCAGAAGATCGAACGCGCGAGAGACTGGGACATCCAAGGGTTGCAACCCGCTCAAAGTCAAATTCGCGTTATACGACCATAACTTCGACGATATTCCGGAACATTACAAACGACTCAGCCTATTGCGGATGATGGACCTCATACCCCCAGTCTTGGAAATGCGCAAACATCTTCTAGAATCACGATCCACTATTGCACAGTGGACCAACAGGCTTCCACCGGCCTCGATCCAGATTTTGCGCTGGATCATTGTTTCCTGCCGTGCCTGCATCTTCCAAGTCGATAATCTCATTGGCGGTGAAGAAAAGAAAGGAGGTGAGAACGAAGAACGGCTCCTCGGGATGCCTGGGTGGCTTCAGTTCCGGTTTGCAATGGGTGCTCCAGACAAAGAGCAGCGTTTCCTAGACCAGGTGGAAAAGGTTTCGGAGCGATTGCAATTGAATCACAAGACCTTCTTCGCCTGGCATGGCAGCCCTGTGGAGAATTGGCACAGCATCATTCGGGAAGGTCTGCATTATAATTCCGTTGTCAATGGCCGAGCCTATGGGGATGGTTGTTACCACTCTCTGGATTTTAATGTTAGCCAAACGTATGCGAACGTGCATAGGTCCCACGTGGATGGTCCAAAGTTTAATTCGCCCAGCTGGACGAGAAGTGCGCTACACATCCGATCTGCCATGTCACTGAACCAAATTGTCAATGCACCACAGGAGTTTGTTTCTTCAAGTCCACATCTTGTGGTACAGCATGTGGACTGGATTCAGACACGGTACCTTTTCGTTCGTGGCGTGGGCAATATACCCGGTTTCACGGCCAATGGAATAGAAAAGTCCCCGGACCAGGTGTTCGAGCAAGACCCTCTGAGGACACCAGCAGGGGAGATAGCCAGGGTCGTCATTCCATATTCTGCCGTCCATAGAGCAGAGAAGTTCATCCGTACAAGCTCTCCAGGGACCTCCGCAGGCAAGAAACAGAAGAATGGTAACTCTAGATATGCCAGAACCCAATGGGAAGAGGACTCAGAAGCGTCCGAGAATGAGGATCAAGTAGTCGCTGGGATTGATCAACCTGAGGATATGATGCGATACGAGCCAGGAAAGCTCAACGCGAAAGACCTGCCTCTCATCGTACCTCCGGAATACGCGACTCCCTCCGCTTCCAAATCCCTCATGCGTGATCTCAGGGAAACTGTGGATCTCCAAAAGCTCACCGTACATCACGCACTGGGTTGGACCGTCTCCGAAGACCTCCGCGATGACGACTTCAACCTTTACCAATGGATCGTGGAACTCCATTCCTTCCCGCTCGCGCTCCCGCTCGCCCATGACATGAAGAAATGGGATATCCAAAGCATCGTCCTCGAGATGCGCTTTGCGGAAGACTACCCCTTCTCTCCGCCCTTCATCCGCGTCATCCGCCCCCGCTTCCTCCCCTTCGCTCAAGGCGGCGGCGGACACGTCACGGCCGGCGGAGCGATTTGCATGGAGCTTCTCACTCAGTCCGGTTGGTCCAGTGCGAACTCGATCGAGAGCATCCTGCTGCAGGTGCGCATGGCGATCATGAGTCTGGAGCCGCGACCGGCGAGGCTGCATGGCACGGTGGGGGACTATTCGGCGGGGGAGGCGGTGGAGGCGTACCGCCGGGCGTGCATGATTCATGGCTGGAAACCGCCGCCATCGTTTGAGAAGATCTTCATGGCGAGCTATCGGGAGTCGGCGAGGGGTTATGCGACTGCGGGAGCGAGTAGGCCGATGACGCCGAAGGAGGTGCCGGGCGCATTCAAAGAGTGAGAGGTAGACGAAAGTTGAGGATATTCCCATTGATGGAGAATGCTCTATTGGGATTAAGAGGTATGGTGTTTGATTGTTTGCTGCATGCCCCTTGATCCGATCCTCAGAGCTCTCATGGCTGACGAATATTGCGATGGCGTCCGGCGAGCTTAGCTCGCGACTTAAGTAGCTCTTAATTAAAGGGAGTACGATTCGGACGTTTGAGATTCGGACCTTACATATGTTAGTCAAGGATCACTTTAAGGGAATGATCCTAAACCGGTAGCGCAGAAATGGAAAGATTCAGACATCAATTCATTCAGGGAGAAGTCACTGATGCCGTGGCCCAGGGGTGAGAAGGGGAAGCGATTACGAAGCAAGCGTAACCGTGCGATCGGAGATATCGGCTAGACCTGCCACCTGATAGGACTTCCGCTAAGTGTTGACATCACGATTCATGACAGCCCGCATGATGAGATTTCGAAAATTCCATCCGTTATCATGAAACACGAGTCCACGTATCAGCCACCCTTCCGTTGCTTCGTTGTATCGCTGTAATAGAACCTTTAGCTTTTCAACCATTCCTTGTAATTGCCCTTTTCAGCGTGCTTACGATTCCAACGAGGCTGTGCAGTGTGCAGTGCAAGGCGCAGCAAGAGCCTCCTCAGGTCGACTCCGAATCCAGTATCGCGCTTCCTCGTGGTGCAATAGATCTCACTAGCATCTTGAGCACGGGATGCGTCGGAACTGATGATTATTCTTGAAGTCTTTCGGCTCATCTTATAACCACATCAATTTCCATGATAATAGCCTCGATCGCTTTTCAAAGACGAGATTCACAATAACCTAGGATTCGGAGACCTGTAATTCGATCCTCTCCTCACCTGGGGAAGGGGACCTCGGGACAATATACCATTGGACTTGTTTATATTGGACCATTACCTCTCCCAGTCCTTCAAGATGATCGTTCAACTGTTCCTAGATCGGCCAAATGCACAATACACGAATCTCGATGTGATCACTGGCCGTGTCGCCCTACGGAACACCAACAGCACGAATGTTTCATCTATCATTGTCAAACTCGAGGGCGAAAGCAAAACACGGTTGATTGCGCAGGCTCCTCATGAGCCGAGAGAAAAACCTAAACCGGTGCTGGAGGTTCATAAGGTACTGAAGAACCCCGGATTCCATCCGTTTGAGCTGACTTGGAGCGGGCTACTATGCCATTGAACGTTTCACTGACACCTTTGTAGTTATTGTACCGGACGGCCACAGTTTGGCCAAATCCGTCCATGCAGAATGATGTATCACAGAAGAGCTTCACAATAGGCCCAGGCCAACATGAGTTCCCATTTGAGTTCAAGGTTCGTGGTCTTGATGTACAAAGAGACCAGTGAATCTGTCTAATCTTATTCTTAGCTCCCGTTCAACAACGCATGTTCTACGGCAAATAGCTTAAGCACCAATGTCCAATTTTCTGGCCTCCAGGTTGAGATTGCAAAGCAGCCTACTCGTCATATCAGGACGACGTTGCCGCCATCTCTGTACTTTCCCGGAGAAGCAGAAATCAAATACTATGTTAAAGTCACCGTAAACCGACCATCGATTCTCAAAGAGAACCCAAGGGCTGTACGTCGTCAACAACCCTTTCGTCAATGCTATATTCCAGCACCTGAATATTATTCCATAAAATGTCCCGACACTGCTCGTGGTAGATGCAACATGCTTATGAATTGCATCTAGAGTCTTATCAATGTTGTCCAAAAGACTAACAATGTGGTATAGATCTCGCCATTCAATTTCTTCCCCATAGAGCCGCCTCGTTCCCAGGGCGATGGCGAATGCTTTGCTCGGCGGCACCATCAATTCAACATGGACCCTCCGCCGGCATCGCCGACGAAAAAAGGGTCGATTTTCTCGTTTGGGAAGAAAGAGAAGACATTGTCAGAACCCGAACCTCCTCTCGAACCGCCGCGATTTTCCTTCGATATGCGCCTCCAAAATCCTGCCATTGTCACATGTGGGGAAGAGATCCCAATGCGATTGCTCTTTACACAGCTATCGGAGCGGCGGCAGCCACTTTACATGAACAGCTTTCAGATCGAGTTGATCGGATACACGAAAGTACGAGCGCATGATTTCATGAGAACCGAATCGACATCGTGGGTGATATGCAGCTACAGCAACATGGGCGTCCCGTTAGGGAGAGTTGAAGATCCTGTTGGAACGGAGATAGATATCTCGAAAGAGTACTGGCAGAATCGACCTCTACCAAATACTGTCGCACCAACATTTACCACATGTAACATTTCGAGGTATTACGAGATGGAAGTTCGAGTGGGAATTGGTTACGGCACCACCGTTGCTGGCAAGGTTGGAACCCATTTCATCCCCCTAGCCATATCTTCTCCAGTGGGCAAAGTATTGACAATATACAGGGCGAAACCACCATCCTTCCACTCCGGCTCCCAGTCAAGGTGTTTTCCGGCATCCGCCCTCCCGCTGCCCTCCTGCAGGCCATGCAAACCGACACTATGAAACCCCAACCTACCACCACCTGGCCTATCGAAAAGCCATCCCTCCACGTCGAACCGCCCAAAACACACACCATTCCACCTGGTGCATCGTCTCTTACTGTCCCTGGGCCTTCCTCGCCGACGACCCCGATCACACCGGGCGGTCCGTTCCACCAAGTCCCACCGCAACCTGGCGCACCGTTGCCTCCACAGAGAAGGCCGGTACCGGATCCGAATGCACAGTATGATGAGGCACCGCCGCCGAGCTATGAGGATGCGATTGCACAGGATCTACCGCCGATCGACGGGCCGCGGCCGGATTATGCTCCGCCTCCACCGAATCAGGACGACATGTTCGCAAGCGGCAGTACGGATAATAAGCAGGGATGGAGGTAGTAATGTACTACCAAGGCGCCCCATTAGGGTTTTCAGGTTTCATAACCAGTTCGAAGATGGGAAGAAACATCATTCCTTTGCCTTTGAAGGGGGTTGTACTACTGTATTCGTGGCCCAAGGGCGCATAAACAAAATTATGTGTGTTATAATGTCCCAATATTTTCAATATTGTATTCGAGTCCCTTATCATGAACGCAAGGGATGGTTGTGTTGCGGAAATGCTACTCCACTCATCCCTTTCTACTTATAAGAACTTCGAATATCCAGGTAAGTATACGCGAGTGTGACCCAAAGATGAATTCTCTCAACTTTCCCGAAAGGCACGATGTCGAAGCTAGTAGGTTAATCAAAGAAAGGTGGCACGATGGAACAGTTCGCGATTCAGCGTCCTAATCTCCCTTTAACTTCTACTCTACTTATGCAATGAGCTCTTCTCGAGTCGATGACGGCATGTTGCAGCAAAGCCGGCAGAAAAGCCGGCCGCAAGCGAGGAAGACGCGGTATTGAAAGTGACTGAAAACGCAATATCAAATCGGCTGAAAAGTCTACTTCTTGGGAGACTTTAGACTGATGCGGAGAAAGGTGAGAATCTGGAAAGCTAATGGAACTATACAGTCGCTGAAACAAGTTTCACTACCTCCTTCTCATTATTAAGGCGTTTTATCATATTCTTCAGCATGAGAATTCAGCAACTTGGGATTCGGATGGATTAGATACGCTGACATCCAGTAAGGACCTCAGTGGCTTCCAGGGGAATAATGCCGGATAATCACCAGTAACTTCCAGTCGGCGCAAAACATAGCATCTTATTCACGACCCACAGGCACTGAAATTCATCCGGCGGATGTCCTGAAACGTCGCCTAAAATCAAAGGAATAGGGACAAGGTCGTTATGATCTATTGTAGATAATGGTACATGCGTTAAATGAGCCGAATGGTTCGGTTTTTCTAATGAGTTCTCATGTGTTCGAAGATGCCGCTCTCATCTAGATCGCCAATCGGAGATATCACCTCCAATTTGCTGACGCGAGTGTAGTCATTCGAGCCTTGGGTCTGGAGCATGAGAAAGACCAGCCGTTTGCCGTAATTAGTTTGACGTCCCAAAAAAATGAGATTCAAAGCATCTTCGTTATCGCCACTGTCCTGGCCCTCAACTCTTTCTTCGCCCGAGAACAACAGGACGTTTCCTGCCTCCCTTAGGTCGATCCGGAAACAAACCCCGTCGTAACCAACCACTAGCACATTGTTTGAGCGGTGAAATTGACAAGTAGTCACCTAACCAGTCATATCAAGCCAGAGGTGATAATCAGTGAAAGTATCCCTAGTATAGATGGCCCTAACGTAGGCCGCGATGTCTAGCTGCGCCCCTTGACAACTTCGTCACCATCACCGTGGTAGATTCGTCGAAACCGTTCCAATATCCTCGGCGCGGGATATATATCTAGCTGCATTTATACGCAGCCCATGACCATGATGGCAGGTTACATCCTCGCCGCTTAACACCCCTGTCGGCGCCCCAAGCTAGCGATGCGATGAACCCCTAGTTTTTCATTGGAGTACGTGACATCCTGAAGATGCGAACGCCCCAGAAGTGAAACACGCAAGGCTCTCGTGTCCGAAGAGCGTTGAAAATCCCGAGGAAGGCGTTGAGACTGTCGCTTTGGAACGTGAACTCTGTACCGCAATAATCGTCCAGGCGTCGATATATATCATAACCTCCTTTCCCGATTCCGTTCTCGGGAAATATGCTCAATGAACGAACATTCCGGACGTCAGTCGCATGTCATTCCTGAAGAGGGAGCTCGAGCGCCTCAGCGCCATGTGTCTGATAGCACTGAAAATACGCCTGAGACTCGGAGAATACCAGCCGTCGCCTGGAAAGCAGGCCTTCTTGGTATGTCTAGCCTCTAGACGACCATTTCAAAGAGAGGAGTTCCAAACCGGGGTGCGAGAAGGACACAAGAGTATGCGATCCCACTTGCATATGCGATGAGGTTCACGCGAGGTACTGGACACACCGACTAACCCAAAGTCCAGACTGGATCCCGCCGCTGCGAAATGGTCACTCTGCACCTTCATAGATCCAGTCCATGTTTTGGATCATATGACACCGTTCCTTTTCGTTGGCTTGGTCAATGCAATACTTATCCACCCACAAGAATGAAATACCAAGCGAGGAAGCCACCGTCATCGCGTCTTCAATGACTTTTGGCACTTCTTTCAGGATTCCATCGTGCACATTTGGTGGTGCTGGAGTCCGGCTGCCCCATAAATAGCTCAGGGCGACATACGGATAGTTCGATGTCTCCTTTGAAATCTGCCTGGTCTTGCAATCAATCAGCTTTAGCCCTCGAACCCATTGCGGTACCATCCCACACGTCTTCGCGTGATATTCTCGGCAAAACCTAAAACAATTTTGAGCGAACTTGAGGTCCGCTCGCTCTCGATCAGTGATTTTCCCTCTAGCCGCCGGCCCTGGCCGTGGATCGATAGGAACTAGCCAATGCAATACGTTGGTCTGCTCGCCGTGAACGTAGAGGCCCAGCGCATCGACAAAGTCAGACTGTCGCCCGCGAACGTACAACGTTGTAATCCGGAGCTTCCTGTCTAGTTGCATGGCTGCGCCCCCATTCTCGTGGATAGCGGGAAGCCATATGGGGTTGCAAATTCGACACGCTTGCGAGAGGCTTGGTTTCAGGTCTTTCTCTACGTGACTCCATGGTGATATAGCGCTGGGTATTCTCTGGGATCCATCCGACTGAAGGAACAACCTGTCCAAAGCGGAGTCCAGAATTAAGCTGCAGTATAGTTCACAAAGGTCATCTGGACTTGATGAGTCTTATTCTTTCGCCTCTTCCATCGCACCCAAGGTACATTGCCTGGGAAAGTGAAGCGACAACGCAGACCAAGCTCCAATTAGAGAAAAGATACCGTTGCTTAGGTACCTAGATGATTCAGAGAACCGACTGGGAGCCAAAACGGACAGTGAAATAGCCCGACTAGCCGGGATCACAACGAATCTCTTCTCGTTGTCAGTACTTAGTGGCAGAGTATTAATGACTTCAAACCAAAGAGCAGGACTCGATGCAAACGACCAGAACTTCAAGCTTTGGGTGCGCGGAACAAATCTGGCGCTGGGCGGCTCAAATCACGAAGCGCCAGCAGCTCAGAATAAACAATTGAAGTTGAAACTCTCGCTGGCTCTCTACTCGCAAGCAATCGTCATATCACGTGCGCTTCTCTGGACGGATATCTCATGATGGTCAAGTTTAACAACTTTCCTCAAGCTACAAAACAACAATTCCTCAATAGCTAGACGCATGAGACCCGTTTATACCCCAGTAATAAACTATTTCCACCTAATTCTATAGTATCTGCATTAATGTCTTAACAACCCTCGACAACCATGACCAGCGACGACCGTCAATTCCTCGACCTCGTACGTCCTCCACACCCTACTGAACACATTCCCTCCATTCTCCTGGCAACTGCTAACCATACGACCCAGCTCGCCCACATCTCCGACCAGGTCGCCAAATTCACTACCACCGCAGCCGAACACTTTGACGCCTCGGTCGACACCGCCGCCGCCTCCATCCGCCACGCCATCGACTCCCTCCAACCCCCTCCCCCTCCGCCACCGCCGCCGCCGCGCGTCGCGACAAGCTTCCTAACACATGGGCCGCTGGGCCGGGTATTTGGGCCGGTGACGCGATGGTGTGAGCGCCATGTGCTAGCGGCGTGGACGATCGGGACGTTTGTGGGGGTGGGAGGGATGGCGGCAGGGGTGCAGTGGTGGAGGTATCAGGGGGCGCGGAGGGTGGGGAAGATGAGAGCAAAGAGGGGGGAAAGGGGGGAGAGGGTAGAGGTGGTGGTGGTGGGAGGGGGTTGGTCGGGGTTGGTGAGGAGTGTGGCGTTGTCGTTGGAGAGGAGGGGGTATATTGTGTTTGTGATGGTGGAGACGAGGGAGGAGGAGGAGGCGGTGGGGAGGGAGGGGAGGGAAGGGTTGCGGGCGATGTGGTTCGAGGTAGGAGATATTTTGGGGGACACTTACTTTTGAAAGGACGTACGCTGACATGAGACAGCCATCGAACGCGGATCGCTGCTTGGAGAATCTCAGGAGCACGCTCTCCAAGGACGCCATCTCCTCCGACACCGCCCACAGCCGCACTCTCACCGCCGCCATCCTCATCCCCCCCCTCCCCACCTCCATCACCGCTACCGAAACCCTCCCCCCCTCCACTTGGACCACCGCCCTGTCCGCCCTCCACGCCACCATCACCACCACCCAATCACTCATCCCCCTCCTCCGCACCTCCCACGCTCGCCTCCTCCTCCTCACCCCCAACGCCGTCTCCGCCCTCCACCCGCCCCGCCACGCCCAGGAAAGCACCCTCCTCTCCGCCCTTGCCGGCTTCGTTGCCTCCCTCCGCCACGAGCTCGCGCACGACGGCGTCCCCGTCACGCATCTCCGCACGGGGTCGATCGACCACCACACGAGCGGGTCGGCAGAGGACGATCCGGACGATCCGCGCCGAGGGAGAGGGGAACCGGGCGCGGTAAGGAGGAATCAGGAGGCGTTCATGCGGATTAATCGGGCGGTGGTGGGTGCATTGACGACGCGGTGGGCGGGGGGGACGGTGAGGGTGGGGATGGGGGCGTGGGGGTATGATTTGGTGGAGCGGTGGGTGCCGGAGGGGGTGGTAGGGTGGATGATGGGGAGGAAGAGGAGGGGGAAGCGGAGGGTGGAAAGGGGGTTATTAGAGTTTGGGGAGGGGTCGTGGCATCAGGTGTAAGGGGGGGAGCATGTCATTGGTATGGCATGGAGGCACTTGAACTCTTTGAGATCGGAGGAATTCTTCCCACTTTGACTAATTGGGAGTGCGGTTGAGATGTGCCGAACGATTCGGGCTTCTGGAAGGACGCTGATGCGACACCCTGCGCAGGAGATTCAGGTGAAGGAAGCCCAGACGAACTGAAGTATGACAGGGATCTAGGGACAAGATCTTGATACTCAGTCTACCAGCAGTTTGCACTCTGTGCAGTGTTAGGATTCCTACACTTCTAGACTTCATATGTTAGTCTAGATCACGATGCTCTACACTAGAATCCATCGTGAACACCCTTCTCTTAAAATAGAGCGGCGAATATCATTAAACAATCCCCCGCTTGCTCGGATGAGAGTCTAGAGTCTGGACCAACATCACCAACACCAAGTGATCAACGGTACGAACTACAGTTATGATTACGGTATTAGCGAGGTTGGATTGGGACTATTTTCGTGACACAGCAGCGATTTCATTCGCCACAGCCTTGTCCCGGTAAGTTAGTGCAAGCTGGCGCATCAGGAGCCACAAAGGCGCAAACGGTTCAGAATTCCGATTGCGCGCTATGGTTCCACCACTTGAAATCGATCCACGCAGCCCAGCCCTGGGAAATGGAAAGCGGAGCCAACCACATGCTGGTGACGAGGGGCTGGCCCCTTTTGGCTTTGATTTCCTCCACAGGGTACAATAGGTGCTCTGGAGGATGATCACAATATCACTTATTATTATTTTTTCGCTATTAACAGCCCCGAGCAAAGCCAATTCGAGATAGGGCTAAGGTAAGGGATCGTATTTGCTGACTGTATATTATTGTCCCTGTAAGCGGTGTTGTTGCATTGACTGTTGGAGACTGCGACGCGGGAAGCACTCTCGACTGCACCTTCCTCTGTTGCCAATTTCCCCCTCTGCACGAGCTGCACCTGCCCATCGCTCGCGCCTTCCCCCCTGACTGTCACTAACAAACTCAATCTTGAACTCTGCAGCGTGACTTGCTGCATCCAGGCCCCAAGGCCCTAAGGCCCCCAATTCCATTCCGCCCAGGCCACCCCTGTCCACTCACCACTCGGCACTCTCCACTACCAATCTTGCCCCATTGACGCTACAGCAGCATCATCATCATCTCCCTCCACTCCTTCACTCCACCACTCATCGGCACTCTCTCCCCTCTCTACTCTGGCTTCAATTTCCCCCTCTGGATCAAATCATCGCCTTCGATATTCCACCGCCGAGTCTTCTTGTTCTACCCTCTTTGGATTCCAGCTGGGGTGCATCACACCATTGACGCCATCTGTGCCAATACTGTGCCCTACTCGCCGTCTCCTTTGCCGTACGGAGCCCTATCGCCACTTCAATACCTCAATCGCTAGCCTATACGTCTCCTTTATACCGTGGCCTACGTCTCCTTATCCTCGTCGACAATCCTTCAAAACCATCGCCGCATTCCTTCCTGTCATATCTTTCCAACGCAATTCAGCCCCCCCCTCTCGGAGCGCCCGTGGTCGAACTCCGCCCCTTTGCCGACGACGAACGGCGCACGCCTCATGCGCACCACCGCTGCGTCGTGTGTGTGCCTCGTCCGCAGACGTCAGCGAGCACAATCCTTCACCGGTTCTACGTCGCGCAAGTGAACCACCCCAAGTCACTCCTAGAGACATTTGCATCCATTCCTATGGTCGCCCGACATTCGATATCGCGTACGAACATCCCACTCAACGCTCATCTATTCCTACGATCCTGGATCCGAATATCAAGCGCGTGATACACGGGATAGCGGCCCACAATGCAGTCTGACCCGCGGGCAAAGTCGAAGGGCCCTCCACGATCTGCGACGTCTTTCCGTCCGAAACCTATTGACGTTCCCTACCTCAATGTACCCAACGATAGCCCCGTCTCTCCACGCACCGGCGATCTCGCACCCGCTCTCTCACCCCTCGATGCACTCGCCCTCCAGAGCCGCCTTCTCGCGAAGAGATTCGACGAGCAATCCAAGTCAGGCAGCCGTATTAGCCGCCTCCCGCCGAACACGGTCGAAAACGAATTCAAGTCCCGACCCGCGTTTTTGCGAAGCCTGTCCGAAGGCCAAAGCCTCAATGACGGAGATACCGAACACCAAGGAACTGGTTTGTCGAGGAGCTTTGGACATGAGGATGGCTGGGACGAGGATCCCAGCCAGCTGGTCGGTCGGAAGAAAAGCGTAAAGCAAGATCCGACCTGGAGACCGACGTCGCATTATCCCCAAATTCAGTACGACGGGCAACCACAGACGGAGTCTGGTACGAGCAGGAGTGCGCCACCGACCGTATCCCTACGCCCACCGTTCAATCCCTCCTTGAGGCACGTAACCGAGGACCCGACGCCGATAGGGCAGAGTTCAAAACCTAAAAGCTACTTTGATATTCCTCGTGCAAGCTCACCAGAAAGTGTGGGCGCTTTGGGAATACATGTAGCGAAGGGTCGACCGGTTGTCGGTGCTCAGGGGTCATCAAAACCGCAACCACCTATTGTAGCGGCGATGCAGTCACAGAACGATGTCTTTGTTGACCGTGCGCCAGCTCAGACCTATCCAGGCATGGCATTGCTACCACCAAAGCCAATGGCAAACCCACAACCATGGAAATCATCTCCAAGCATGCGATCAATGACGGACGATAGTTCGGACAACGAGGGATTCTCAACGATCGACTCCATAGACTCGTTACCGCCACGAGACAATTCTGTGAGCGGCAGCATACCACGGTCACATTCCCCATACTCACCGCTGCCACCGACTATCCCTCGACCACCATCTGTCGCATCAAATGCTTCGTTTGGTGCACTACCACGACCATCCTTCAATTTCTCCCGTCCGCTCAGCAGCGCAGCGATGCGTTCGCCTATCGATGTCAAACGACCCTACGATGCTCCGGGCCGCCAAAACACCAACGACAGCACGGGCACGGGCCTATCATTCGAGCTTCCATCCCGGCAGGATTCTCAGGATATGCCCGATACGCCGTCGTCGTCGGGGATGGTACCGCCAAGCGTGTCGATTGCCAACGACGAGCTCCCCCCTGAATTCGATTCGGGCAACAGTCCAGCTCCGACATCATCCTACGTCCACTCCAAATTCACTCTCCCTCGGGGCCGCTTTGCGAAGCGCGAGTCGAAGCGGGAATCGATCGGTCTGGAAGAATTCCTCAACCGACAATTCCAATGGGATGACATCGCAACCGATCACCCATCCGCGAACACTCCCACATCCCTTCACTTTCCTGCCCGCCCCTCCACCGATTCCGACGGCCACTCCACCGCCTCCGCACCCGCCCATTCCTCCCAACCCCAAAGGCCTCGTCGTTCCCCTCCTAACTCTCCACCCCGCGGGCCCAATCACGCCTCTTCAACTTCTCCACCTCGCGCCGCCCACTTCACCTCCCCTTCCATCGCCTCCAGCAACAGCACCATCAAACCCCGCATTGTGAAATCCACCACCCTACCACCCGACACCACTGCCCCCGAACCCAACGACCCCGAAACCCACCTCCAACTCGGCATCGAATGTCACGAGCGCGGCGCCCTCCAAGAATCTACCTACCACCTCCGTCTCGCCGCCCGCGCCGGCCTTCCGACCGCCATGCTGCTCTACGCGCTCGCCTGCCGCCACGGATGGGGCATGCGTCCGAACGCATCCGAAGGCGTCTCCTGGCTCCAGAAAGCCGTCGACTCCGCCCAGCTGGAAGTCGCGGACGACGAGGACCTTATCAAGAAAGGCGGACCCAAAGCGATCAACCGGGTCGACCAGAAGACGCACAAGGCGCAGTTCGCGCTGAGCGTGTATGAGCTGGGGGTGAGCTACATGAACGGGTGGGGCGTACGGCAGGACAAGGCGCTGGCGCTACGGTGCTTCGAGGTGGCGGGGAACTGGGGCGATCCAGACGCGTTGGCGGAGGCGGGGTTCTGCTATGCGGAGGGGATCGGCTGTAAGCGGGACGGGAAGAAGGCGGCGTGGTTTTATCGCCGGGCGGAGCGGAAGGGGGTGAGCATGGCGGGGAATAGTTGGTACGTTCAGATCCTATCATCCGTTTGTGACACTCCAGCCCTACTTCAGTTGTCTCGAATTCCGTTCACGGCCAATGCTAACATCTTCCTAGGATCTACAAAGACAAATACCTCTCCGACTCCGAAGACGCGCCCGAACCCGCCGCACCACGCGACGCACCACGCGACGCACCACGCGGACGCGGCCCTGCCCGCACCCACACCATCAAGAAGGACGGCCCTCCCTCCGAGAAGAAGCCGGCGCGCGATAAATCACGCACCCGAACGATCTTCGGGCGGAAGAAGTCCGTGGCGCAGGGTTGAGGTTCGAGATACATCATCCTTGGGTTTTATATGCATGGTGCGGTCGACCCGGTGGTTAGGTCGGGTTGGGTCGATCTCGGCCATATGGACAATATCTCCGTGCCTTCCGTTCTCCGTTCAATTTCGGATTCGATATTTCGGTTTGATATCATTCTCACTGCGGATCTCCGGTCGAGGACGCAGGATCCCCAGCAAGCATCTTCCCGGCGTTCTATTTCCTTTGTCAATTTTCCCGCTCCTCGACGCACGCAGATCAACGCGATGGTCGTGAAGTTGGGGACTTATTTATCAGCCCTACGTCACCTTGCCCCTCCACCAGTCACTGTTGCATTGGAGAGGGCTTTTCGGGGCAAGGGAAGGAGTAATGCGTAATTTGATAGGGAGGGATACGGATGGCTTGTTTGATATATCCCACTCGCCATATACGGAGTCGAGCCACGCGCTCCCCAGTGGCGGGTTTTGCCGTCGTCCTTAACGGTGGGGGAGATGTACATAGCGTTTGTTTGTATAGTAGTGATGATTGGGAAGGAGAAGAGGGGTCGGATTGGAGGGTGAGAGTTGCGTATATATATACCGCTGAATAACATTCGGTTGAGGATCCTGTGTATCTAATTGGATTTCTGGTTGGCTTGATGTAAGGGGTGATGTTTCTCTATCATTTACTACCGCGGCGTGGGAAGAATTGTAGAATCAGCTGAGAGAAGTCTGAGGACATGTTGCCGATGCCTTGCCAGATCGTCTTCTTTAGGTCTAACACCAAGTATTACGGGGTTTCAAAGAGTAAACTGTTCGGTTCTCCACGCGTGCCGTCGCGTCGCCCGTCGTCCCGTCCCGTCTCCATCCGCCCACGTGTGCATGTTCTCTCCTTTTTCTGTCTGAGGCTTCAGTCTCTCTTCACCCGTCACAACACCCCTTCCTATCAGTCGTTCCAGTCGCTCGTCAGCCCTAAGCTACGCTACAATAAGGGAATATCCAAGCACAGGTAAGTAAAGATTAGCCTCTCCATTGTGCGGTATTGCACACCAGCTCGATGCAAACTACCCGCTCGTTGTGTTCTCTATCCTCCGTTGTCATCTCTACATTGATGCAGATATCTACGGCGACGGCGTCCATCACCCTCCATCCATGGATAGGCTTGACGCTACCGTGACATTCACCGATTAAAGAGCAACGCTCGAAATGGAAAACGAAATGATAGCACAAGTTCGCCCCAGAAGATGCCCGAGAGTGTGGAGGAACTCCGGAAGTTGCACAGGCTAGAAAATCACCCCGGACGGGACGTGAAATAGTCCAAAGGGCGTGCAATGCCAGCTCCCGTACGGGTGATGTCACGGTAATACTGGGATACGTTGGGTGCTGATACGTACGCCCCCTGGTATTATTCTAGTATTTTCATGGGTGGCCTGGCATGGCGAGTCTGGTGGAAGGTAGGTATGTTTCTATGTGTCATATGTAGAGTTCGGATAATGTAAATCTTATGATTATCCTTCTGATAATACCTCTCTGTTCCAAAATGAAGGCATGGTGTCAGACCAGGTCTCAACTCTCAAGGAACACACCACACACGGGTCACAAGTCGGATAGAGTTAACTGTCCAGAACTGTTGGCCCCTGCCGATCTGTTTGATGTTAATATCGTCCCCGTTACCGAGTGGGTTCTCCCCGTTTTCATTATGGCCAACCCCTATGCAGTTCACCGAGGTCTTACCATGGTCATCCCTAGGTGATCTTCAGACAATGTTACATCGTGTAGTGTCCCAGGCGGCCTCAGTCGGGCGCAACGAAGCACAACTCTGTTCTCGTCCACTTGGCGATGTGATCAGACGTGCAGGAAATCTGAAGATGGGAGACAACCAACAGAAATGCCGCTGTAGGCAGGACACGCTAGGAACAGTTCTCGCCACGAGCAGTTACCGACTCTAAAAGATCGACGGCGGCAAAACATCACAGTGATTATAATCTAAGCACAATGCCGTTCGAGACTCAGCGATACGCATGTATAATGTACCACAAGGAGGCGATGTCGCACGGCGGCAAATCCGAACTCTTCACTGATCCAGCACGTTCAACGTGTCACCAGATTCCTGCCATTTGAACAGATCTGGATCGTGCTCATCAACAGCTACAAGACGAGGCTGGAATCTGAACATATCCAGCCCTCGAGCCAGTGCCTGTGAAACAATTCGCGTGGCGTCTCTATCCTCAGCGCAACTTAGTTCGGAATTCGGATACATAGTCCCCAATGCACGATGAGCCTTTGCCAGCTTGCCCCTTATGAGAACTGAGATGTCAGCAAAGTGCGATACTCCTTTTTCCACGAGTGACATGGGTTGGAATTTGGAAAGCAAATACCTATGGATCTACACCATCGACAGTAGCAACATGGGATTCTTAATTCTCCGCACGTGTCCAGATTATCAAAGAGTTCTGTTAATCCATTAGTGTGCTTACAGTAAGCTTTAATTACCGATACCTTCTTTAGCCTGAATCCTGGTACAGTATGGATAATTCTCCAGCTTTGGTAGGGAAAGGGGGTGAATATGTGGGAATGGCCCATGGGCATATACAATCCCGCGCTGGATCGTCTGCCTATTCGTCTGTTCCTCGACAATGGATGCAGGAACACGCATAGAACGATTCACAAGTGGGAGCTCCAATATACTACCATGTATTAAGTACTATTATGTACACCATTGTGCAGGCCCCAAGCATAGACTGTACAGAACTGTCTCGACCGGTGTCTGATAACCTGCCTATGGTAAATAAGTGCGGAGAACTCAGAATGGGTAAGTTAGGGGCTGAAATCAAACCATGATGTCCTTTTGATAGGTACTATCGCACGTAAATTGTGAATGGCATTTGCTATGTGTTTACCAATGATTTCGATGATTCGATCTAATCATAGCTACAAGCCAAGACGATCGTAATATCGTTAGGAGTTGGGACATGGGAACTTTAATCTTTATGGGCAAGTAATTTCGACTAAAGGGATCTGCATTCCGGCCCCTATCTAAACTGACGCAACAGTAGTGTCGCTGTGAATAAATTTCCTATTTCCAACATCTCGAAACCTGGTTCTCGGTCTCTGTGGCCAGTGCTGGCGAACTCCCAGTTCCACTGGTCAATATATTAGAATTCAGATGCCTCTACTGCAGCGTCGATGTTCCTTACGGTTACCACAGCGCACTTCAGATCCTAAATTCAAATATTAGGGACCTTTGACTTTCAACTGCTGAAAGGGATACCCCGGACTAACACCGGGATCTTAGGGTTGATAATAATTAATAGTGAATACCTAGCTCTGAGTAAAACCCAAGGATCTCCGTAAGCATGATTGAACAGCACGATACGTCCGTACCTGGCAATTGCACAGCTGCAACAAGGCCAGTGGCCCGGGAGTTGGACGAGGAGCATTAATATTGTCGGGTTCTCCAGAACCAGTCATAAGGCATACCACGGGCGTGGGGATAATATTATGTAGTGACTATAACTCGTGCACAACGAAAATATATGGATATTATGAGAGCCAATCGACAGGTTTGCCCTTGCCTCTTGGAGAAGATATTTGTACCCAATACTAAGACCGGGAAACTCGCACAAGCATTAGAGTTCTGGGACCGCCTCAGGTATCAACGGAATAATTGTATCCAGGTCCGCCCGTACCCATTAAAGGAAAGGATTATTCGCGAGAGCCGAGCAGGACAATCGAACTGTGGCGCATCATTCGCTGGAGGTTGGACTGTTGAACGACCAGTGACTCTCCCGTAAGATTGTCACGAATCGTGAGAGGCTGGCGCGAGAAAATATGTCACCTTCTTTGGAGTGGCATTAAGCGCCGACGCGTCTGGACTGCCAATCTCCCACTCCGGGCTTCTTGGCCAGTAATTGGGGGCCGAAGGCATTCTGATTTTGGGCGCCGGGCGACGTACACGGTACGGTGCGGAAGAACGGTTGGAGGCCCAATTCTGAAGGCAAAAAAATTAAAGACTTAAAGAGTTCATCCTAACTGACCGAAAGGTTGAGGACATACATAACTCGCAAACGAAATGACTGAGGACAATATCAGCGCGCTGGAAAACCAGTCCTCGAAAGCCGAATTCCATATTCCGTACTCCGTATTACATTCGCATTCAATGAATATTGTATGGCGCCTAGGGTAAGTACTACCAGTATTAATAGCTTCCCGATGGAAGAATTTAGAATACCCATCGAGGCCCATGACAGCGTGGAAGAAAAGATGTACAACGGAAGCCTTGGCCCTTGATGGATACGAGAATCGAGATAGATCCGATCAAATGATGCGAAGGTCCCGCAGCCACTCCACGTGAGAAAATCAAGGAAGCTCACAATCCGGTTGAACTAAAACCTAAAGGCTCTCTTAGTGCATTAGCCAGTTAGCAAACTTACCTGTCTTACCCTGCATCTGAAGTACACAGACCACCGTAAGCAGATCTTTACAGTTTACAGCAAGGGAAACATGAGACTCGAGAGTTCGGGTGCCTGACAGTATTCTGTATGTACCAGCCACCTGTCATCAGGATGCATGCTTTTCTACGGAGATGATGCAGGCCGGCTCCGGAAGTATTTGCCATGCGAACACTAGAAAAAGCATTCTCTCTTGCAATCACCTGTAACTTAGATTGTTAGCCAAGTTTTCCACATGTCGTCAAATTTCCACCAGGATGGCGATGAGATGCAACACCAACCCTTACTGGTGGGGAACCAAGTCTCCATGAAGTGAGCATGTACCCAGCCCACCTGTTCCACTCCGAACCAGCTGCCCTCTGTTTGTGGAGTATGGATTGCTGGAGTGTCGTGACTCGCGAGAGTCCTGAGGTACAGTCGTAACACCACATCGAACCAGCGATCCAAGCCAGCATCGTCGAATCGGTGTCCCCCTCCACTCTCCAGCGGAGGAACGAAACCAATGTTGCCTGCTAATGATACGATCCTGTGCCCCCAGAGTCTCGCCCACATCTCGTCGCTCACTCGTCGACACCCCCCGCCACGCGACAGCTCTTCACATCGGCACATGGCGCCAGTCTTTCATCCTTGCTAATTGACCAGCCAAAGCCGAAGCGCAGCCTGCACGTTGGGGCATGTTCTGGACCCACAGCCGAGAATCTTCGTTGACTTTGCCCCGTTGAGCGAGGAACCCTGGCAGAGTCACAGGGAGTTCCAGGCCTCCAGCCCTGAAGAGTATTTGACGCCGACGCCAAGTGGAGCGGATTCGGCGAACGCCCCTTTACCCCTCCAGCTAAGGGATGACGTTCCATAGGCTGCAGAGCCAATTCCCTCCGGTCCAACACTCATCCAACCCAATTCCGAGGATGGGATGTTATTGACTTTCGCGCAGAGTGCCTGAGTCTGGGGACTTGGAGTGTTTGCGGATTGGCGAGTGAAAGGTGCTTTCGGGTGCAAATTCAGCCAGTTATGGTACAAGCTACCGATAATACTGACCTACAGGAAATGAAGCGACACTCCCATCGGGTTCGCGATCGGGATGTAGACCTGGGACTGGTGAGCATGTCTTTGGTGGCTTAAAATTCTGACGTACCGTGGGGATCGACTGAGGTACTAACAATCGACAATTATGGATAGACATCGGACGTGCCTTAAGCCCTTGAACCATACCATCCTCATATTGCTACCAATCTTGCCCCTCAGGTCGCGTTGCTCCGCTCTCTTGGATCCCCCTTCTTTTCATGAGGTTCTAAAAGGAGATTGAATAATAACGATCTACGATGCACGTCCTGTTCTTAAACGTTGACTTTCTTTTAGTTCATCGTCGTGTTTAGGCGTCATCGTCAGGGCATTCTTTCACGATACTCCATACTTGATAGTCCATACCGACAACTGACACTCTACCTTACCTCTTTCGTCCTACCTTACTTTGCCCCCCTCCCAAGTCCCCAGCAGTATTGATCGCCAGCCGGATAAAGAATTTGTTATTTTCCTTCCAGGATTTGCATGGTTCTCCAGTCATTCATCTCCTGACCGGCGTGCTTCATTTTCTACCATCCCCGTCGGTCACCAGCATCCGGGCTGTGCGCGAACATTTTAAGTTCTTACAGCATTGGTACCAATACATATATTCTCCCACCTCACTATTTGGGCCTTCGCTTGTCACGGATACCCAGGACCGGACTTGCTCATCTCGTCTCCACTCCCCTCATTTGAGTCTTTCCCCTCAGCCGCCAACGCCTTGACGCACACAGATTGTATCCGATTATTCCCTTGGAATACCAGGCAGTCCTGTACCTGGTCGACTGGTCCTGCATGCTGACGGTCGTGTCGCGCCGCCGGTCTGTCACCCTTCTGCAACGCCCTGTCGATTGGCGTTTCTTTCTTGCATGAGTCCCGTCTCGGAATTTTGGTTTTAGAGATCATTCTTTACTGCCCTACCCTCCACATCAAACATTTTCCACTCCTCACTCATTCGAATTGAAACCGCCTGAGCGTCAATTGAACGGCGACTTCCCCATCCAGTCCGTGTAGGGCCCAACGAAGACTTTCGGATTCCATATTGCCTGGACGGGACTAGTCGATGCGCTTGTTATAGACGCGATATATCGCCTTGGGCAGGCTTCACGACCACTTCGGTCACTGTGCTACTCCTCAGCCAACATCTCTCAACCTGATCATTCATCCACTGTGTTGACAGCGCGTCGAACCTTTCACAATGTTCTCAAATCGATCGATAGAGGAGCTGAGAGGACTCTGTCCTATGCCGTTCCTGGACGTCAAGCAGTTCCCCCCAAGTGATGGATGTATGTGGTCTCCATATTCCCATCCGGTACTGACGATCCGTTTCTGGATCCTAACTAACATCGCCCAGATACTCCGGGCCGTTTTTGTTCTTCCTTGGGCGATGGATTAACATGCTGTCTACCGTGCCCCGCAACAGACTGGATATTCCCAGAAAGTAAGCAGCTCATTTCAAATCCTCAATGCAAGATGTTGACTACGATCCCAAGACTTCCACTCGTGGAGCAGGGCGACAGAAGTCCTTAGTGCGCTCAGTGTCGCGGTTTCCTTGTTCCTCCTCATCTCATATGCCGCTCTTCCTGCCGAGAAATCAAGGCGACATTATCTCAGTGTCTGTCTCGTTATTGGCATTGGACTACTGGAGGTATGTAATGTGCTTTTTTTTCACAGAGGAACCAGTCAATTGATTTCCTGCAGCTTGGTTTCGTCGTGCCCCTTGCCGCGCAGCCTGAACAGTGCTTCAACGAAATTACACCGAATGACATGTACTCAAGTATGACTTGCGCGTGGTCTGGCGCATTCATTATTTCTGGCAGCCTCACCACAGGCATGTGGAGTAAGTCTGACCATCGCGCGAAAACCCTCGGACGGCGTAGACGCTGACATTGATGACATAGTTTTCATTCGAACTCTCTCCATGCACCTACAAATCTGCTGGGACGTCGTTCCTGGCAAGAAGTTCTTCTATGGTTCTCAAGCCCTGGGATGGGGCCTGGTATCGTTGTTTTTTGTGCTCACGTTGGTGGTATGTCTTCTTGATGCTTGCCCATAATCGGCACTATTCCGTGCGCGAAGGACTCGCTAACCCCCTTCGTATCGCTAGTTCACCGGTGTCAGTTTCCGATTCGGCGATGCATGTCACGTCAACTCGGAGCATTCGACGAAAGATTTCTGGGGCCCCATGCTTGGGATGGCAGGTGCAAGCGCGTTATTGCAAATCGCGACTTTCGGTTATTGCATTCACGTCTACATCAAGAACATGTTCAGTGACGAGAAGACAGAGACGAGTTCCAGCGGCGGACTCGCCTCCTACTCTGGCTCAGCCCATCGCAACCAGACCGCCCGCGGGGTCTACCGCCGTGTCACAAAGGTTCTCTGGCTTCAATGGCGTGCCATATTGATGGTTATCTTCATCCTTGCCGACGTCATCTTCCTCTCCGTCGTCTTCATCTACCTCAACGATATCACCGACCACGCTTTTACGACCAAAAGAGACCAACTCATGCCTTGGCTCACCTGTCTTTTAATCTCCGGAGGGAGAAAGGAGGAGTGTTTTGCCGATGCTCAGCGGTTCCTGATCAGCCAACCCGTCGTCACAGCCATCTTGATGTTACTCGGTCTCGCAGGCATCCAAGTTTTCCTACTCCTATCCCGATTCAGCTTACTTCGCGCCTGGTACGACTTCTTCCGCAAGCTATTCGTGCAAAAGAGCGAATTCGTATCGCTGGATGCAAAGCGATACTCAAACGACGCGCGACAGTATGAGTTACTGAAGGTGAAGTCGCCCGTATCGACAATCACCAGCCCCACCGAGGTGTATCAGAGCCCTGGGATGAATGGCAGGCAAACCCCGGATTATTTCCAGTCCAGTCAGCGACAGTACCATACGCCGAGCATGAGCTTTTCGAGCCCTCGACCACCGAGCAGCGGCGGTCCACAATCTCCGCAGAGGCTGGAATGGGACCCCCGAAGCACACATGCAAGAGGGGGGTTGGGGTTGCACCCACCGATCAAGGATGAGGAGGATGCGTATGATGGAATGTCCAACAGACTCTGAAAGATCGCCGGATTTACTGCTACATCTACTTTCTGCAAATCTACGAGTCCGATATACCCCAGCGCTGCAACGCTCCATTATCTATGATCCTCGAAAGACTTGCAAGTCCAAAAGATCGGGGCGTGTACGATGCCGAAATCTACCCAGATCGATACCAAGGCGACAACTGGTTCTTTCGCTCGATCCTCAACATTCTCTATCTTTACACTTCTTGTCACTAGGATTATTTGTGGCGTTGGGAGACGATCTGGTCTTTGGGGAGGCGTTTCGATTCATGATAATCGTAACACCACGGATGCATTTGGTACAAAAGGGGAGTCTTCAAGTGTTTTGGTATGAACGAAGCTGGCAAAGATCGACGAGGCGTTTCGAACCGTCCATTCAGCCGGACAGCGAGGCCGAGAGCCAGAACGGGGCAGCTTCGAATCCGATCTCGAAGGATCTGCGGTTTGAAGTGCATATTCCCCGGACGGAATAGTTGTTGTGATGTTGGATCAACAGAGACTTCACTGGGGCTTGGGCACATCTACTGATACCCATGGGCCACAAGGGACGGAGTTTGGAACGGATTGTATCTAAGGGGCCATCATACACGTACACATTGAATAATGAATTCAACGCAACCATGCCTTGCTGTATGTATCATCAGCACCTCCGAGGCAGGGGCTGCATTTCCTTCCACTAATAGGTACTCCCCAGTGTCTGGTGGACTGATACAATGGTACCTCCCTATTTCACTCCCTATCCCTGTAAGGCATCTTTGTCCACAATTCACATTTTCTCCTGCATGTTCTAGCGTCGGTTGACTCGGAGCAGCCTGCATATCTACAATCCACATGTAAGATTGAACCACACCTTACGGATTCCAAGTTGCATCATTGATCATCCTCAACCACCCCCACAACCGTTGTAACCCACAGAGCGCGTTTCAGGTTCAAGGACTTGCATCCAACTTTCCTTAGCAATCATCCTTTTGGATTACTTAGTCACTTCTGTCCACTCGAGAGTGGAACGATTCTTACTAATGGGGTAGACAGTATGTCTATTAATGATTTCCCTTCCTAATTGCGCATCGTTTTCGTTGTGAGTTGCTTTTACGCACTTTTCCGTTACTACTTGAGAATGCCTCAAAGTTAGAGCGCCCAGATGGGCCCAGAGATAAGGGACTGAAATGCAATGGGCCACGACTCGACTCTCGAGCGATCTGCGTGCACGTGCGATCGGCAGTTGTTAATTGGACGACTGCACGTGGCAGCTAATAGCACCTTTTTAACTCAGAATCCATATTGCTTGTTTCCAACCATGATGTACACAATCCAAATCGTTTGTTGTGTCGGATGAAATCGGCTTCCCCCTCTTTTCGCGTACATGCTCGATGCTGGATCATGGATGAGATTCGTGCTGCACCTTTCGAAGCGGATGACCATGTTTTCCTCGGTTTTCCTCACATTGATTCAATCACAAGCCAAGCCAAAGCATTTCCTGCAAATCCACGGTTCTCATTGGTGTCTAGCACCGACATCAACTCGCGTGCCGCGTCGTTTGCTTTAGCATGCATATTATCTCTGCATTGCTTTTTTATATCCGGTTCTTATCCTAGCTGTCGGCTAGAAAAATCCATCAAAAACAAAAGAACCTAGTTTCCTCGCACGCTACTCCGCAGGTCCTTACCCCACGGGTTCCATATGGTATATCGTGGAGATCCTGGTGTACGAGTTAGTATTCCGGGGCTCACCTGGCCATAGTGATGACAATTGACATGGACCTCATGAGACGGCATCAATAGTCCCCTAAAAGCCGGACATGCAGGCCAGAGCTGTCAGGGTTTCCGATTACGTCCCTGGCTCCCCGTGGGCTCGGTTCGGCAGCCTTCCGGGAGCGCATTTGGCTTGTGATTGCACTTCAGTTGATTTGTTGCTAGTTCGTACCAATCATGTGTTCTTTCGCCAGCCACTCCTAGTAGGCAGAGGAACTCTACTAATATTGGTATGTATACCGCAATACCTATGATGGACAATCTGTCCGGTAACTTTCAGGGAGGCGGTTCTGCAGGTCCAATCTTCGTGGCCGGTGGCACACATGTGACTTTATCAGGATGATGCTCTCATATGACAACCACGGGTACTGAATTGGAAGGCAGAAGGTATCCTGGCTGCCAAAGGGCTGTCCCGTCCGATTAGGGCACGGCTTGGTTTTCGTATGGCTACATCGTGAGTGCATACTCATGTGAAAATGGTTCAAGAATCAGCAGCAATGGATACAAACAACCAGTGGCACCCGCTACTGCACTTAGTGCAGTAGGCTGACTTCGATACACCAGGAGGAGCGCAGCGGCGGAGAAAGCTTGAAGGCTAATGCATACAAGATCAAGTTCTTCCTGATCTGAGTAAATTTCAGAGGTTAAGATGTGCTCTCGACGACTTTATCCTTCAGGTAAATTTATTTCGGATTTCCGTGGCTTGAGGGAAAGCCAAGCAGAGTACTCCGAAGTACGCAGAAATGGCGTGAGATCGCAAATCTACCTTTTGGATGTTCAAGTCATTGTCGTGTTTATTAGCTGAGAAGAGTCTATGTATGCTTGAGGAAAGGCATGCTCCAAGTCTTGAATTCCGCTTTCAATAACCCCTCTCCCTTTGAACGACGTTTATCAACTTCTCTCCCTTCGCCCTTCTCGTCAGATTGATGTCCAATATCTGAAAGGCTCTCTCTGAGTATGCCGACCCAACGCCACTGATATGAGGGGCTATCAGAATATTTGGCGCGTCCCACAAGGGATCATCTTTCGGAAGCGGCTCAGGATCCGTCACATCGAGAGCTGCACCTCGCAATGAGCCTTTCTCCAGGGCTCGAATCAAATCCGGCTGGTCAATGATTTCTCCACGCGAGATGTTGACTAGGAATGCCTGCTTCTTGGCCAGAATTTCGAACTCCGCTTCCCCTAGCAAGTGGCGCGTTTTGGCCCTGGATATGTCAGCTTTGTTCCGGAAGCCATGGCGATGGCTTCATCTCCCATACGTCTGAAAGTGCAGGCTCCTCCTCTGCCAGAAGAAGGATCGTGCACCAAGTATAAGACATACGTTAATGGTAAGGATAACACCAACACATCAATATCCTGCTCCAGGAAGTTGTGCAGCGAATCTTTATCCAATCCCCCAAACCAGGCACTCGGGATACTTCCATCCGGATCCCCCGTTCCCGGGACAATATACCCAGAATCCTGGCGCGCTTCGGGAGTTTTCTTCGGCGTGGCCGTGTAAGCAATGACATCCATCCCCATTGCTTTCGAGACTCGCGCGACTGTTCGCCGACAAAGTTCGATTATTAGCTTTGCGATCTCAAACAGATCCAAGTGCAAGACAAAGCTCAGAAGCACGTGTGCATATTCAGGACCAAGAGAGTGTCACGGTAGACATATAGCACATGTAGTAAGGGGCAATTTACTTACTTTGCCGTCCAATGCTGCCATACCCGAGCACGCCTATCCGCTGGCCTACAAGGTCGCGCACACGATGAAATTCCATCGTCCGCTCCCGCTCCCAGAGATGCTTCTTTTGGAACTCATACATCCGCGGCAGGAGGTGGTTATGAGCGAGGAGAGTCATGAGCACCCATTCCGCAATCTGAGGCCCATGGACGCCAGTAGCGGTGCATATCGGGATCTTCGTGTTCGTAAAAATGGGATGATTGGCAATGTGATTCGTTCCCGCTGAGAAAACATGAATGAGCTCCAGATTAGGACAGTCGGCCGGATCGGGAAGCATGGTCAACGTAACCAGTACTGTGGCAGACTGGAATTTTTCTGTCTCATTTTGGTTAGAGATGAAGATCTTTCAATTGATGACTGCATATCCAGTAATTGGAAGTGGTTCGAAGAAAGGCATGGATGTCTGACTAAGTCGGACTGACCAGGAGGAACAATATCCTTCACGCAGGCTAGAGCATTCCTCGTGTCAAAGCGATGAAATATATACTCGAAATCCATCTCAGGATGTTTCTCCTTCATCTGCTGTTCCAAGTTTGGCGGTGCTGGAAGTGGTAGAACACACAACAACTTCTCCGGTTTCGGGGTAGCCATTGCGGGGTTGGACTTATGTCACTATTAATTATATCACCACCTAAGCGGTACATGTAACTGTCTAGGTTCTTTAATTCCCTTATAATCGAAAGTAGGGTAACTGTTATTTGTAGATACCGGAGGAGGACCTTTTTGCCTGTCTACAAGTGAAGTTCTAAGGCCAAGTGCCTCGGGATTGAGATAATAGTGTTGTGTGTTAGCGGGGCACCTGAAGCCTGGAATCTGTCATCCATCTTACCAACTATCAGCTTACGTCGTATGGCGCAATTATATGCGTTTCTGATAACGAGTAATCCAGAGACTGTTGGTGTTATATGCTTTTCAATACTACTAGGGCTCAGGATGAGTGTACTCTGGTATGCAAATAAAGGTTCTTATATCCAAGTCATCAGGTGGATCTTTGTCGTCCTTGTAGGACTCGCAGAGCAAACCAAAGAATAATACCTTACTCACGCCACGCGCCCAACATATACCCATATATTGGGCGCTGGACACCCCAATCAACATACCACCCCAACCAACATAGAATGATCTCCAACGCGACGTTTCCCGTTAGTTCGCCTCCCGTTGTGGTTTCTACACAAATTTGGTGGTAAATTAAAAGATCTACCAATTCTAAAGGAATTAGTATTTTTCCTGATATTCTACCGACATTGTTTCGTTGTGTTCTACTCTGCTTAAGTTCGTCAGTCAAGACCATCAATTTCTATCACGGTTTTTTGCCCTACCTAATACTCACCACCACCCATCATATCTGAATATTTACTCGAGGAGAAACACGCAGAATTGGCTGCTTAATCGATCCGTATAGGCGAACAGCCTAATGCAGCGGCTGCGGCGCGGTATTTTGATGCCCAAACTCTATACCGTCGTATCCTCGCCCGCCTCAATGGCACCAGATCCCGCTCCAGGCGGGCCGCAAGGAGGCGAAGAAGAAGGAAACAGCTCGGAAGAAGGCTGAAAAAGCGAAGGAAGCACGCCAAAAAGCTCGTCAGGATCGTAAGAGACTAACCGCCTCTAAATCTACATCGTAATCATGCCGATAACGCGTGGATTCGGTGGATGGGAGGAGTTTCTAATTCGTGATGTTTTTTCGACCTCGTGGCGGGAGATCTTCAAAAGTAAGATACAACCCGCCCAACGCGATTAGAAATTAATCCAGTCGGGAGATTACTAGATTGGATGGTTTTGCAAAGATCTACTACCAAATTTGTATGTTAATTCATTATTTTGGGCGCCATATAGGAAATCTCATCTCTTGGTTCATTTCTATGTTGGTTGGGGTGGCCAGCGCCCAATATATGGGGATATGTTGGGCGCGTGGCGTGAGTACAACACTTCTTGTGGGCTAAAAGGTATCATGACCTATTCCGGCTCTTGACCCTTCCATCGAGTCATAACAGCATCTACATCATAGCCGCAGACCCTGCCCCTGTCCAATATTGATCTCGCCTTGCCCACAACTGGGGCATCAATCATTTTCCCATCCATCGTCCACGCTCCCCTTCCTTGGTCGATCGCTTTCTGGTCCCCAATGACGATGCGCGCTGCCCATTCCACTTCCTTCTCCACCGGTGAGAAAACTCTCTGCGTAATCTCCACCTGAGACGGGTGAATCAGCTGCTTGCCATTAAAGCCGAGATCCTTTCCTCCTTCGCACTCCGCTTCCAGGGTCTTCATCCCCTGTTCCCCTTTGAAGGACGTGCAGACGAGATCGATCGCTGACGGCAGATTAAACGCCCGGGCGGCCGTTGAAATGGCGGAACGCGCGTATAGGAATTCCTGCAATGATGGGGTCCGCCGGATTGAAAGATCCAACGCAAAGTCCTCGGCAGCGAATACCAGGCCGCTGAGATAAGGAGATGCTCCACAGATGCTCGAAAGATCCATCAGAGCACGAGCAGATTCGATCAAAGCTATCACCCGGATTGGCTCCTTTCCTGATCCTTGAGTGGGCGATGATGGGTGTCTGTCCGGCAATGTGTGCCGTAAGACATCTGTAACGAAGTGGAGATCCGAAGCAGATTGGACCTTGGGGACGACGATTGCATCGAGGTTGGGAGCTTTCAGCTAACAAGAAAGGTCAGAAAAGATACTGGAGGAATACGGAGACATATATATACCACTTCCACCAGGTCATCCAGAGCGAGGCCGCTCTCGACAGCATTGATACGGACGGCTTGTTCCCGGATACCTTGGGCACGCTCAAGAGCGAGTATTTCTCGGAGATTCCGTCGAGCCTCTGGCTTCATGGAGGGGGTCACGGAGTCTTCTAAATCGTACGCTACACAATCAACAGAAAGCCCGCGAGACTTGTCCAACATCTTCCTCGAAGATGCCGGGACTGTAATATGGGTCAGCGTTGAATTTAATAGGGGAGTGTGTGTTCTAACCATAGAGCAGAGCTCTGCGGACTACTGCTGAAGCCATTTTCTCTTCACTAATGGGTGTTTATAATTAAAACCAAGTTATATGTTCAACTCATCTCCATCATGAAAAACGAGGCATCGTCACGGCAATTATCCATCGCTTCAAGGTAAATCGCTACAGCCGGTCTATTCCCGACGATGCCCGCGGCTTGGAAGGGGATCAACCACTGAAACAACGCTAAGATTAATTTGGGAAACTAAAACACGTATGTATCACTAGTGGTATTACTAAGGTAATATTCAATATCAGGGTCCACTTGCATACGAACGCAACACCTGGACATCTCGAAACATGAAGCTTGAGCTCCTTGCGATGCAATCCAACAACGAAATCATATAAACCCGTACAGTAGATGTGTCGCTGGTGATCATGGAAAATCAACAGGCTGGATCGCTTACCTGGCGGCTCAGCAGCCATCCCATCACTTTGTTATGCTTCCTAGGCTTCCGAATCTGTATGTTCTCGGCCACCGCTTCACGCAAACATGGTAGAAAGAATATGCTGCTAACTGTCGAACAGCAAGCCTATTCGTCTATCTCTTCGGTCTCTTCTTCACTGACAACTTGTGAGTCGCCCGAGTGTCGCCACGGCAAGCATCCGGTTCCGAAACCCATCTAACCAGATGACAGTGTTCTCATGTTCATCATCACCGTCCTCCTCCTTGCCGCCGATTTCTACTACTCGAAAAATATAGCAGGCAGAAGACTCGTCGGCCTACGGTGGTGGAACGAAGTGGATCCACAAACAGGAGATTCACATTGGGTATTTGAGTCGGCGGACCCGGAGGCGCGGTCCGTGAACGCGACGGACAAACGATTCTTCTGGCTGGCGTTATACGTTCAGCCCGTGTTATGGGTGGCGTTTGCGATTATTGCATGCGTCAAGCTGGAGTTCATTTCCTTGAGCTTGGTCGGTACGTATTCCCGAAGAATCCAACTTAGCAATTGACTGGGCGATTCCCGGCTGACAACCTCGCAGTTATTGCACTCATCCTGACGATCACGAATACCCTTGCATTCTCACGATGCGATAAGTTCTCACAAGCGACGAATTTTGCGTCGACCGCTATGTACTCAAGCGGCCTCGCGAGGAATATTGCCGGTGGCGTGTTTAGTCGGATGTTCAGGGGGTAGGGTGAGTCCAGGCAAGGCAGATGTGTTTGGCTCTGTGTACAATACAGGCGACGGTGTTCGGAGAATTGAGGTGCTTTCCGGATTAATATGTATCTTATGACCATCTTGTGTTGCCTCTTTCGGGCGTTGTGACGGGCCCGTTTCATAACCCCATGACGTAGGACATTTGAACATTAAGGCTTGAGCTTCTGGAACTTCACCCACTTGTGACTCTTATTCTCGAAGAGCGCATCCTCACCCTGATGACCTTCAAACCAGCATTTCCTGCAGTAGACGTCCTTGTCGCATCCCAAACAGCAAACCTCCCCGTCGTCCATGCATATGATACACCAACCTCCTACCTCTTCATCAGATGGCTCGGTGGTTTTCTTCCGCTTCGCCATGTCGCCTGGTTTGAACGTTGGAGCAGACGGTAGCGAAAGGCTGGAGAACCGCGCGGCCAAATCATTGTCCTGCACTTCCGACTCTACGTCGTGGAGTGGGAGCTGACCTGTTGGCACAGCTGGAAGGTCGAAAGACTTTTCCAAGGGGCCTGGGTCGTCTGTGTCGCCAAATTTGCCGTCTTCTTGTTCGTCTTTAGGAGATAATTGAGCATGGTCCAATGCCTGCTCCATGACCTTCGCTGTCTCCTCCTCTTCTGTCTCCTTGGACTCTTCGGCATCATCGGGACTGGGGTCTTGCGATTTCTGCATTTCATCATTAAGTTGAACTGTCTCATCTTTCATGAGTCTGCCCGATCCCTCAATATCATCCTTAGCGGCATCTAAAACCTGATGCGCCTCGTCCAGTAACCGCTTGATGTCGTCCTCTTCTGTACGGCCGATCTGTTTTGAAGCGTCTTGGTCCAGCTCTTTCAGTAGCTGCTCAAATCCATCGTCCTCTGCGGAAAAGTGACTTTCGAGGATATCTCTTTCGTCATCTAATGTCGGGGTTTCAGGGGTCTGACTTGATGCTCGTAGACCTTGGAACCGGGAGGTCAAGTCCGCAGTAGTCGAGGTAGCTGGACCGTCTGAAAATTGCACCCTCGACTGTTTGAGTGCGTTTAGTCGTTTTAAGAGGTTCTCATCGTCGTCCTTGGGGTCCGACATTGCGATTATCCTCGGAGGGGTGATATCGAGTTAGATGTCGGGTCGCGATATCAATAATAATGGAATATTTAGAACGCACGTGATCATACCAGGACTACAGCGTTGTAGCAGCAGATTTCACTTCAAGATCATGATGAGATCTGCATATACAAGTCATTTATCACCAATGCAAGGTATAGTAATAGGTTGACGGTTTTGCTGAATGGTGTAAATCTTTAGGCATTCGAATACTTTAACAAGGTCGTTAGGCAGGGATGTAGTAGATATATACAGATCCAAAATTTCCGATTACCGCCCTACCCATTCCAGAGGAGGTATGTGTACCACAATAGCACAACTCCGACCTTTGCAAAACCCATCCGAATCTCATACAAAAAGAGTCCCAAACCCTGCCGCCGTCGTGCGATAGAGCGATAACCCTGGTGACTCGGGTAATACGAATGGTTCAAATTAGACTCGACCGCGTACGTTCCTGCATGATCAATGAGAGGTGGCGTATATGTCTGCCGGCTCGGGGGCAGGCCATATCCGCCGATGGGACTAGAACTCCTTGTCCGCGCAGTCTGTGTTCGTTCCCATAACTTATTTCTTGCCTCAGACGTAGAAGTCTGGGACGAGGAAGACTCGTTCGAGCTGGGGTTTCGATGATTTCTAAACTGCGATAGCTCCGCCTTCTCGTTCTCGGCCGAAGATGAAATGTTCGTAATTGGTAAAAGAGGCATGTCCCTGGATGCATCCGTCCGTGATGAAAAGAAAGCCGTGTGCGCCGCGCTAATGGTAAGAAGGAGAACAGTAAAGACAAACAGAATACCGTAGCGGATGAAGACCCCCAGCTGATCAGGAAGGAGGCAGAGTTGTGTCTGCATTGTTTGCTGCGTAGAAAAATCTTTCGCAGAAGAAAGCGGGGCCCCGGTCTCATCAACCGGATTCCAAAGACTGGCCATGACGAAGCCCGGTCGCCGTATACCCATAGCCAAGGACAACGATTTGACTGTGATCTCCCGGATCCCGCTCCCAGAAGATTGGTACCCACGATGGACAACTTCACAGTAATCGTGATCATCTCCGGAGAAAGCATACTTGAGTGTGCCAATGCTCCCTGTGATCTTTTTGGATGTCTCAGGAGTTAGGACGTTTTGATATTGATACCCCCTCTGAACGGCAATGGCGTTCCTCTCATCATTGGCCAATGGCTCCGACTGGCCTTTGGGCGGCGATGATGGAGGCCACTTTTCTCGCAAAGGACCGCAAGGGGTTCCTGGGGGCCGATAGAGCGGTACATGACTGAGAAGAACAGAAGGAAACACGGATCCTTCCCATGGAGACGACGGGGCATCGTTGAATAGCTTGCTTATTGCTAGTTGCTCGGTCTCGACCAACTCATGGCGAAACCGGGTGGTGGGCAGGGTGCCATTGAATCGCCACGAGGTCTCCCGTTGGACTGACTTTCCAATCATAGACTTGACAGTGTCCAAGAACTCCATAGGCGGTCCCCAAAGGTCTTCCCGTTCTCTTGCCTGGTCATCGTCTTTTGCACTCAGGGATACGGTGTCAACGGAAATAAAAGTATGGTTTCCAAGGATGTCTATCCGGTTGCTCTCTCCAAAATATGCGTTGAATCGACCTCGAACCGGTTCTTGGATGCCTATGCCAAATCCAAGGTCATGATTTCCAGGTAGACTTGCTAATAAGTTGCATGCATCATCCCTCCTGTTGCTGCCCGAAGAAACCTGCACCGGTAGGTCGAAGAATATTTTTGCGAACCGGTCGTACTCCCCCAACCAATATTGAGATTTGTATCGATGATATTGGGCTTCGGGGCTTTCGCTCTCAGAAGTGGCCCACTCTCGGCCGCCATCGAAGAGGTCGCCCAGGAAGATGACGCTGTCTGGCACCAGGTCCCATCGTATCTTTCGGTAATTTCGCTCTAAGTATCGGTCGGTGTACTTGATCGTCAGTGTCGAAAGAGGCCATGGTCGTCCTGGATAGGTGTGGGGGTCAACCAGTTGCGGATCCGCAACGAACACCACGCGGTGAGGATTCGCATCTGCAGGCTGCTTTGCGTTAGACTTTCGTGACGACTTCTGAGGTCAAGCACATACCCAACTCTCCCAATTCTCCCATTGACATTCAGGGATACTCTTGGAAAACACGGAGCGCTCCCCCCAATATAAGGTATATATCCAAAGAACTATCAGGACACCGGGCAGGGTGAGAAAATGGCGACGGAGTGTTCGAGCACTTAGTGGCTTAGAGTTCCCTCCAGTGGTACGAAGTCGAGCCACTTGCGAAGCCGATTTGGAGGCGAAACGATCTGCCCTAGCTAGGCCATCACGAATGAGGTTGCGGAGCGTCGGAGGGATGGGCGAGTTCGAAGTCATAACTCTTCGAGTTGTGGGAATCCCGAAGTTCCTTTAATGGAGGCATAACATGGTGCCCTTGATTGCTACAAAGTGCATAAACCAGTCCACATGCAGCAAGGGAATGGGTAGCGGTCTGAGTACGGTGATGTTCTTCGACGTGGGGAGGAGTAAGTTAGATCCCATAACCGTCGTATGAACAATCGCATGAACGATTGATTATTGAACGGCTGGGGAGATGGTCTAATTAGATCGGAATTGGTCTAGGCCCGGGAACAACATTGATTACTAAGCCATCCTTCACACCTGACCGTCCTGAGTCCTGACGATCCAACATTATTCCAACCTCATTCTTCTTCAACTTCAACCTGAATGTTGATCACGTCTCACTTTCATCAAATGATCATACCCCTTCAATGGTCCTACGCCGACGTCAGGAATCAGACAACGTGGTCCTTGGCTTTACCCTGACTAGCCGGAGGGTAATACCTATGCAGCTCTCAATATCCCCTTGCTATGGATCATCCAAAATGGAAACAGATTTCTTTCAGCTCAGCTCTCTGAAGCATCACCAGGGGTAATCGCAGAACAACTTTCGCTTTCAAGTTGAGTATCTCATGCATGTCTTTGCTACTGGATAGCCGGATGAATTCATGTCCTGAACTGAAGACAACGCATCCAATATGCAACCACTGCGCTTCATCCTGGCCGCTCCCTTCACATCCAGCCCTCGTGATCCATCCAACGTCTCAACCGACCACAGCACCATCACTAGGTATTCAGCCACAGCATGTTCTAGGCTCTTAGCAGCTGCTTCCAGCGCCGTACTCAGATCTTTCCTTTTAATTTTCTGTCATTCTATTATGTGACAGGCTTTGATTTCTTTTATCTACCCCTTTCGGCCCCCCTTAGTATCTCGCAAATGATATCCAGTTGTGACTCAAAGGTGGGCTCGATTCTGGGCATACGTATTTCTCTTTGCAGTCGCAGTATCTAGTACTTTATATTAGCCGTGCGTGGTTGGTCTCTTACGGTGGCGTCAAGTTTTGTGTCGACGTGTGTCCTGCATACGGTGAGAAAGGGTTCGCCGGTGGTTGGATCCCCCAACACATCTCAACTCGAGGGGCACACGGATCGGTTCTATCACTACTCAAAGAGAATGTTTCGTACTATTACTACAGTCTACCCCGCAATTCTTACTGCTCCACGGTATTCCTCGATTGGTTCTCACTTGTTGAGCTGAGCAACGCCACATGCAGACTATGCTTCGAGCTGATAACTTTGGCCAGATCAAGTATCATTGGACGATTGGACTCTCAACCCTAATGCTCTTCGAAGGGAGAGACGCAACGCCTTATATAGTCTCGTATAGTCCAAAGGAGGGTTGGTGAATTGAAGTTCCTAACTCTTCATATTTCTTCACTCTCTATTTATAATATCATCACAAGGCCGAAAGGAGACTCTAGCCCTGAAAAGAACAACTCAGACTTCTGACTGGGCTCCCAGAAAGGGAACCGAAACAGTATCATGGCCGAACTACGCTTTGACGGCCGAAGCTCTGCACCTTTTCCACTCTATTTCAACCCAAATATCGTTCTGCACAACACCCCGGATGACCCAAGTCCAGCTATTCCCACCAGGAATGTACCCATCTACATCCTTGCATCCATCAAGAACGCTGGAAGATCGCGAACGCAAGGAGCGACTATCAAATTTTGGATATGAAATCCCGCTATAGTGCCAACACCGAACAACTCTCAGCTCGTAGGAACGAGTGATTTTTCATTGGAGAGCGGCGAGACCAAACTAGTCCTCTGTGTCGGCGCTTGGGTCCCTCAATGGATCAACAACAGCCATGAATGTATCATTTGCGAAGCATCCGCCACGAATGATGCGGTACAACCGCATCCTAACACTGGATGGGACATACACAATCGTCATGTTGCTCAGCGAAATGTTGACATTGTTTTCGATCCCCCCAGGCAATTTTCCTTATTAAGACCAATGGCAGCGGCTGGCTTTTCCCTAATACTACAGCTAAACTCTCTATCGGGCCCGCGCCTGAGGAGCTCTTTGCACCGACACTCAAAATGTTGGGAGTTCCGAAATGCAACAATGCAACCAAAGCAACCGAGTCAGCATTGGTTACCGATTAGGTGCTCGGTGCTCCCGCCCCGAAAGGAGGGAAAACTAAAGTCGAATTGAAAAATCTGCGTCCGAATGACTCCGAGCGATTCCACGCGCTTGTCAAGTTCCCGGAAAAGGACCGTGACCAATCTGCTGCCGTCGTTCTGGTTGAGCAACATGACGAGAACGGTCGCATTGTTGGTTGGTGTAGCCATCGTGGTCGTAGGGAGTGCCCGCCCTGCTCTTGCTACTATTACAGCAAGTACGCTTGCTATTCCAGCCGGTATCCCGTTCCGGCCCTACGCGACGAATCCGGCAAATGGAATGATGAATCCCGATGGTTTATTTGTGTCAAACATCGGCAATCAACTGATCAATGTGGAGACCCGCAACGATGGAGGAGCCGATTTGAGCGGCATTTCTATCTATGAGGAAGGCATCGCCGATCCAAATATCGTCGCTCCTCTGTTAATCAATCGGCCTTTGAATGGGACTGTTCTCACTCAAGCCTCCTTCAAATAAATCTTTGATGCCGATTTCAAGAGAGCAACGCCTGGAGAGACGGTCATATCCTTCATCATCCAACAGCACTCAGGTTCTGAGAGAACTTTTATCCGGGTGCTGAAAAAGATCTTCGTCCTAGGGCTAAGCTTCAACAAGCCGACCAAATCATTTGAGGTTAGAGTACCTCAAGGCTCGCTGTATGTCCACGTCGATCGTGCCATCACACCGAGACCTCCACCTATCGGCGGTGATCATGATGGCACCCATGGCAATGGCAATTGCTGCTGCTGCTGTAGCGGCTCCGGAGGTGACAACACAGGCAAAGATCCTGCTATTGGTGAATACGTACATTTTTCCATCTTCGTCAAATCTGGGACTCTGCTTCTCATTCCTTCACCTGTGTACCGTGGCACTCATGGTCCTTTGCCTTTGATTATCCTTGGTCGAAAGTCGTGGGGTGGGTTGTCGCGACGATTTTGGCTGTTGCCGGCGCCATTGTCGCCGTTTCAGATGGAGATGAAGCTTCGTCTGGACCTGAAGGGACTTTCGAGGAAAATGACCCTTCCGTCTCCTGTTGCACTAATGCTGGGATTTCTCTGTCAACCAGCAATGGTATTGCAGCAGGCTTGTTTGCGGCTTCGGCCACTGCGGCGACGATTGCGGCGGCAGCAGACGTGGCAGATTGGCATGAGCGGGGCGAGAGAGCCACACCACCAGGCAAGAATGCACTCACGACGGGTGAGTTCGTCAAGTTCGATATCGACTACACTGAAACCCCAACTCCCGGTGTCCCCTTTCAGGGCAAGGTGAATTGGAGTCATGAACGTGTTCTCGACAATGGGCAAATCCTTCGACACAGTGAGATGGATGATTCGTTCCAGAATATCCACCACTTGAGGACTTACAGGGTTAGCATCAACGGGCAGGTTTCTCCGGACCTTCATTACACGCATACATCCAGGACAGCACTCGTTATCGGTGCACAATTCGTGAAACCAAACGGTACCCTCTTCAGGGGAACTGAGCTCTACGTTTTTGCACTCCTCATCTCCAATCGTCGGAATCTTTATGGAGTCAAACTTCGAGAAGATGGATATGGCTACCTAGCCGGCTTTGGGGGTAGGAAATTGGCCTTGAAAGGAGCTGATCAAGGAACCGTAGGTGCACCAAAGAGACCGGTTCACATCACTTCCCAAAAGCTGTCTCTTCCCCGGCCTATTAATCGGCTCATTTCCGAGTCAGGGGGGTACGCATCGTCTGCAGGACCCTCGTCACTGTCACTTTCCACCCCTGAAGGCGAAGGTTCTACCAGTGTCGCATTGGAATCCCACGGTAGAATGCCAATCAATCGGCCGTGTTTTGCGTATGGGCCAGGACAAGAGAGTTACAATTATTCGATACATTATGCAAGACACCGTTGAAGAGGTGAGAAATTGGATCATACGGCAATAATGCTCCACTAACCAGTGCGCTTACCCATAGTACATTCGGCAACAACAGACACATAAGCTCCAGTTAGCCAAGCTAGGCCTCAGCAAATCCGATCCAGGTTCAACTCAGGAGAAGCTGAAGAAGTTAATGGCAAGCAATCCCTCCATTACATAGTAAATACAACTACTGACCAAGCATATCAGGATTTACGTGACGCACTGGGGTTATAGTTTATAGTATGGAGTGGAAGCCACTGTTATATTTTGTCCTCATGATAGATACGAGTTAAAGCCTTTAGTTATTGGACTAGTTAAGGACATTTTCAGACTCGCATACTAATACTTAGAAACGGGTCTGGAAGTAACAAGTACGGTATGAGAATCAGAAATATCACTGTGATCGTTCCCAGAAAGGTGTCCAATGTGTATGGCATCGTCGTGGTTTATTATTTTCTATCATACAAACCGGAATCATCAAACCCCAACCCACGCTATGCGTTCTGTGTTCTATCAATTCGCCTCCCGGTGGATGACTCCCGAACCATGCATGCACCGGCCACGGTGCGCCGTTCGCCCAAACCGACTTTTCATCGTCCTCTAATCATACAAAATCATGTCACCTCATCCTACCTCCTCCGCCGCCGATGATCTCCTCCCGGGTTCCCCTTCTTCTTTTTCTTATCCCGCCCCGGTGGCACCACAATCAGATGCTTCAACTCTTCGCGCATCAGCTGCATCATATAGTCGTCTACGTGCGGGACCTCCTCGACGATCGTCTCTGGATGGACCGTGACGGTGCGAGAGTCGTCCATCCCGTCAGCAGGGGTGGGCGGCACCGACGTTTTCGGCGTGCCGTTCCCAGAGGAGGTGCTGACGGCCGCCATCTCGTTGAAGTCGGCCGCGTCGATGTGCTGCATTTCGTTCGTGGCGGTCTTCGCTGCGACCGCGTCTTCGCGATCTTCAACGGATTCGAAGACTTGGCCGAGGCCGGTGACGTCACCCAGGACTTTGTCCATTGCGGCGGAGGCTTCGGCATCGTCTCCGAGGTCGGGTAGCGCATCTCGGTACGTGACGCGGTTGAAGTAGTCGGTGGTGAATTCACCCTTTTGGATGATGATGTCGTCGAGAAGACGTTTCTGGTTGCTCTTTCGGAGGATGTTGGCTTCGATGGTGTATTCGGAGACAAATCGGTAGATGTGCACGTCGCGGGTCTGGCCGATGCGGTGGCAGCGGTCCTGGCATTGCTTGTCCATTGCGGGATTCCAATCGAGGTCGTAGAAGATGACAGTGTCGGCGCCAGTGAGGTTGATGCCGAGGCCACCTGACCGAGAACTAAGGATGAAGCAGAGGATTCGGGGGTCATTGTTGAAGCGTTCGGTGAGGATTTGGCGCTGTTCGATCTTCGTGGCGCCATCAAGGCGGAGGTAGCGATGACCGTGGATGTTGAGGAACGATTCAAGGATGTCGAGGACTTTCGTCATTTGAGTGAAGATAAGGGCGCGATGACCGCCAGCTTGGAGCTGTCGGAGGAGTTTGTCGAGTCGTTGCAGCTTGCCGCAATCGTACTGCAAGAGTCGTTTATCCGGGAATGCAATCGACAGTCGCACTTGCGCCTCGTGGAGAGGATTATGTTGTTGCTGTCCATATGCTCGAGCATATTTGATCAGACCCGGGGACAAGGAGAGCTCGGCCATGTCGCTCGCATAAACTGCAGGCGTGATGCAGCCGAACTTGGCCACCGTCATCTCCATGCTCCGTGATCGCTCTTCGAGAGAGCAGAACATTTCCGAAAATGCCGGCGTGGAAGGGAGAGAGACATCTTCAGGCAGATCTGATACCACTTCTCTGACAGCACCAATGCTTCGACCGAGGCGTGGATACACTCCTTTCGTGTGACGTAACGTTGCCAGTTCCACAAGCCCCAGCCCATAGATTGGCCGTTTGAGTGTTCTTGCCCGTGTGATTCTTGCAGTCGTTCGAAGTTGCTCCATCACTCCAAGCTGCTCCTTAAATTTGATCTCTTCAAGGTTCGATTCAAGCGTCGAGACGCCGACGTTTTTACGACCTTGTAGCACATGACTCAGTTTGGATGCATAGAAATCCAGTTGCCGACTTGCTTGGAGATATTGAGTTCTCAGGGCGTTGGCCGTAGTTATCCTTTCGTCAGAGACGGGACGAAGGCCAATAAAGTCAAGATCAACCTTATCCGAAGACCCGTCGGCAAGCAACCGGCGACGGACTAGCAGGTCTTTAATCTCAAAGTCGGCGATGACTGACTTCGGAAGAGCAAAGCTGGTAACAATCTGTCTGGTTTCGAACAAATCGGGGTGATTGCAGACCTTTCTCAAGCTCATCAAGCAATTGATGATGCTCATGTAGTTTCCACTGGTAAGTATTCTGCGCGTATCTGTCCGCCCCATGAACTCGTCATATAGCTGACGTTGTCTTTTGGAAAGTCGGCAGTAGACGACGTGCTCGTATTTGCCGGGCATTTGTTTTTCGACATCCGCTTTCAGTCGGCGGAGGAGGTATGGTCGGAGCACTTCGTGTAGCTTGTTCACGGCGGCTTGCGCTTCAAGATCGAGCTTTTGCCGACCTTGGTCAAGGATCTGATCGGCCGGTCTTCGCATGGCGTTCGTGAACTTCTCAAGCTCTGCAAATCCTCCCTGGCCATCGATACCGCCGGGCATGAGGAAGAAAAGCAAGGACCAAAGCTCGCTAAGGTTGTTCTGCAACGGGGTTCCTGTCAGAAGAAGCCTTGCACGCGTCTTGAACGTCAGGAGTGTCTGCCACCGTTGTGTCTGAAAGTTCTTGATATTGTGCGCTTCATCGAGCACCAGATAGTGCCAATTCCGCTTCTTGAACGCCTGTGCATCTTGCAGGATCAGTTGGTAGCTGGTAATGACCACATTCCAAAGATCCTCGTTCATCCAGCCTTGCCGCTTCTTCTTGCGCTGCTCTTGAGTGCCGTAATAGGTCAAAATCTTGAATCCAGGACACCATTTCTTGAACTCCATCTCCCAGTTCAGCATGACAGACGTTGGCACGACGATCAGATGTGGACCCCAGACATGGTGATGTACTGCTAGATGAGCTAGGAGTGAAATCGTCTGAATCGTTTTGCCAAGACCCATCTCATCTGCGAGAATTCCATTCGTGTTCTGCGAGTACAACCCGGCAAGCCAATCAAGACCCTGGTGCTGATATTCCCGAAGAGTACCTCGAAGTAGCAGGGACGGAATCTCCGTGTGGACGCTTGGTTGGTTGAGGGTCTGGGGTTCCATCGAAGAAGGTCGAGAGACATCCTTAATGGTAGTATCTGGCAGATCTTTGCGTTCGATTTCTTCAATCTCATCATCATCGACCATCGAACTATCCCTGGCGTGTCCATTATGAAGCAATTCGTCTTTCGCAGGATCTGTCTCGGCAAGGTCGGTAATTGAATCCATTGCGGAGTCGTGAGGCTTCTCGTCGATCTCGACCTCGTCATGACGGACAGAAGCGGAATCTTCATCATCGTGATCAACTCCGTTAGCCAGATGCTCTTTCGCTTGCTCTTTCATTTGCTGGATCTTAGATTTAGAGAAGAATCCCAGTAGGCTTGGCCCCTCTTCTTCATCCTCTTCGCTACCGCTTTCTTCCTCTTCGGATTCTTCTGTGCCCATATCGCTATCCATGTCGGTTGATTCGTCTTCATCGTCAAGAAGCATAGGATCGACTTCGTCCAGCTCGATCGCAGATACGTCGATGCCATTGGATTTGTCGGAATCTCTATCGGCTTCCGCCGAGTCTGGAGTATGATCTTCGGCGCCAGGGACAGCATCAGGCTCGAGATCTTCCTCGTCCATGTCCGCTGCAGATTGATCTGCATCCGTGCCAGTTTCTGAGGCATGGTCTTCATCCGCCTCCTCCACACCGTTGGCAAGTCTTTCTTGCTCCTGAAGTATGTGCGAATACTTTTGACGCAAGGCTTCCTGGTCCAGACCCGCGTCGTCGTCCGCGTCTTGTTGAACTTCTTCTTCGCTGTCATCCGTAGAAGACATGACATCAGAATCCAGGTCTTCGTCTTCATCCTCATCTGATCCCACCCTTTCTGTGTCCTCCTTTTCGTTATCAGACTGCATTTGGCTATCGATCAAAGGCTCGTTTTCATCGAAATATTCGACTTCGGCTTCGTCGTCGTCCATGTCGCTCTCATCCATTACATCGCTTCCCGCGCCTTCGCTCCTCCTTCTTCGCTTCTCGACTAAGACCTTCGCCTTGTCCAGCATATCATCCAGAGCTCTCTTTCCTTCCGCATGCTGCTCCATCTCCCACTGCCGCAGCTTCTCTTTCTTGACCTCCGCCCGGACCAGTTCCCACGCCTTCGCCATATCCCGGACGACCTGCTTGTACCGCTGCCGCTGCCATGCCTCCTCTTGGCGCCACACCTCGTTCTTATCCACCGGCAACCGCCTGCTCTCCCATTTCGGGTTCGTTGCGACCTCCTCAGCAACTTCATTGGCGATACGCTTGGCCATACCAACATGTGCACGGGCTTCTCTTCGCATGAGTCGGCGGAAATGAGTGGCGTGTGCAACGACATGGTCCCAATGGCTGTATACTGCTCCATAAGCTTGATATGGGTCTTTCAGGCCCGCTTGCTCCTCTTCAAATGCATCGAACAGGTTCTCCTTGTGTTCTAGGGGTCCACCAGGTCCGCACGCTTTCTGCAGGCGTATGATTTCGTCTGCTTTCGATGTGATTTTGTCCACCGAAGGCCTACTTTCTTCGTCACCTTGGAAAGGGTCATCATGCGATAGCCATTCTTGGAATGTGTTATATTTCCGCAGCGGTGGGAGCGTCCCGAGATGCCGCAGCTCGGGTTGATTTGCATTTCGTATACGTAGACGTAATCGTGCAGGACCAGCCGAGGATGGGGCGGTGGGTTCGGAAGGTGAGTCTGAGGGGCCAACGCGAGAGATTATATCTGATTTTCGAGGGCGACCGCCCCGACCACGTCCGCGCGCTGACCCTTGTGACGGAGGCGTATTCGTTGACGGGTCTTGTATGTTCGATCGAGAGGATGAGGTTCGACGTGGGTGTGTCTGGGCGGATGGCTTCGAGGGTGATGTGTTTGCTGCAGAGGATGAGTGTTTTCCACCTCGCGCCCTGTCTCCGTTTGGCAGCATGGCTTTTGGTTTCTTGAACTCGGTTTGACCAGTAGCTTTGTTTGGAGGGGGTCGAGGTGTGGATTTGGGGCTGGACATCGCGCCATTTGTGGGTGCCTCGTAGTGCTTCCCATTGTGTAGAGCGGCATAGCTTGGTCGAGTGACGGAAGTGTTGGATTCGGCGCGGGTGCGTCGTTTACCAGAAGGCGGTTCGGGTTCAGAAGGGACAGTATTAGTACGTGATGATTTCCGTCTGCCATCGATTAGAAATGAGCTGGGCCCCTCTGCAGCAACCTTCTTCCACGGTGGTGATGGCGGACGCGACAGTCTCTGGGAGTCAAGCCTGCGTCTCTTCGAGGGAGGTTCGGACTGGTCTAATGGAAGGGCGGGAGGGAGAGAGGAGCCATGATTCAGGCCGTTTGGAACATTTTCCTTCTTGATTTCTTCCGGTGTGCCATTCTGAAGCTGCTGGTCCAGCTCAGGATGCACGTCGTGGTGGCCGTTGGTGTGCACAAGATGTTGATGATGGGCGTTGCTCTCTGGTGGTGGTGAGGCAACGCTGCTTTGCATCGCAACCGGTCCGAAGTGGGAAATCTTCACTGACCCACCACGTGCTCGACGAAGGCAACGTTTCTAACTTCGATATTGGTGTCGATTGGTACGTCTTATTGAGCTGATTGCTATGAAAAGATTTAATATGAGTTGGAGGAGGATTTGCAGGTGTGAGAGACGAAAACGTAATTGGGAAGGTGCAGTTGTTCTGGAGGCAAGCGCAACGGGCAAAATCCAGGTTACGATCTCACGTGGTTGGTCACGTGCACCCCCGAGCGGGATTAGCGCCTTGTCATCCACAACCACACGGCACATCTCCAACGACTGGACTGCAGACTACTGCTATTATCACCTCCTCCATCCAATTCATCGGCTCAATTGAGCGTCACGTTAGACAAATGTAAGTCTCATTCAGCTCCAGCTTCTCCGCATCGAACTACTCATCAACCATTCCCATAGATGCTGTCCCGAACAGCCCTGGCAGCTCGCGCATTCCGCGCAGCATGCCGTCCTCAATTCGTCACCTCCCAATCACCCGCCCTGACCAGCGTGAGGAGATACGCTGCGCCTCCCGAACATCCCGCTAAGCTGCAACACGACGAGGCCGTGGAAGGCTACTGGAAGGCGAAGGGTTACTATGCCGATGTGAAAGCCGAGAACGTGAACGATTTCACCGACGCGGCCAAAGAAGATCCCGATATGGTACGACCGCCGCCCCGACACCCCCACCCGGCCAAGGACATTCGCTAATATTTTCTACAGAACGGTGGCTATGTCAGCCCTCCCGCCCAGCAACGTATCTTGCGTGACCCGTATGCTCCGTGGTGGGATGAGCAAGACAGACGAATGTACGGCGAGCCGGTTCATGAGGACAACGACATACTTGGCGTCTTCTCCCCAGATCCGTACCCCCATCTCCCGCCGAAGAAAGCGTTCGGCGGAATCGCCTGCTTCATTGCCTTCATCGGCGGGGTTGCAGGGCTCTGCTCGCTCACATACCCAGACCAGCCCGCGGTGGAACGGAGATTTCCGGGAGGGTTGGACCGAGAACTGGGAGGTCCAGGTGCGGTTCCGGCATTGGCGGAGTGAGCATAGAAAACGACGCTGCATCGAAATCTGTATATACACTGCGGTTTCGGGCGTTTATTGCAGCAATTTCAGAATCTAGGAACATGTCCACAATTACGTCGATGCCCGTGCTCTAGAATGGACCCTTCATACATCCAGCTAGGGTCTTACTTCAGCAGTTCATTGAATGATTATCTCACTAGATGTTACAAAATTGGACAAAATCATTGAATGGCTTCTAACTTCTATTGGAACAGCGGAGTGGCAGATGCTCTCTAACCTTGCACCTGATTATCCTCACGCCCCCAAGAATCTAGCGTAGAGAGATGTCACTCAGAACTTATACACCTGGTCCGGGCTGTATCCCAGCTCCTTCAAGAATCCCGTCAGCTCCCCCTGGTTTGCGGGGCTCTTCTTCGGGCCACTGATGGATTTGTACAAGCCGGGCGGCCCGCAGACGAAGACCTTGACCTTCTCCCCCTCCTTCGGCTCCGGCATGACGGTCTTCAACAGCTCCTTCGTCACGTACCCAACGCCTCCTGACCAGCTCTCCGGCGGGCTGTCCAGGACGTAGAAAGCCTTGAATCGCTGCGGGTAGGTGTTCTCAAGGTGGTACAGTTCCCTCTTCAACAGGATATCACCCTCCGACACGTTCCCAAAAACCAGCGTGACCTTCGTCTTGTCCTCTGGGTTCTCGAAGATCCGGCGCATCACCTGGTACATGGGCGTGATCCCAGTGCCGCCGGCGATCATGACGACGTGCTCGTGCTTGTTCGTTTCCCATGGGTACTTGGGAATCGGCCCCTTGAAATCCAGCCGTTGCCCTTCTAACATGTCGTGCATGTGCGTGGACATCGGCCCCTTCTCGTATTTCTTGATCACGAAGTCGATGTGGCCTTTCTCGTCTACCGCGCTGACGGGCGTGTAGGGGCGGATGACGGGCTTCTCCATCTCGGGTCCCTTGTACTTGGTCAAAATCGCCGCTGTTGCATCCACGTTAGTTCATGTAGCGCGTGGGTATGAGAATCGATGGTCGACATACACGCAACCGGCAACCCTGCCACCGCATTCGGATCCTCAAAGCTGAAGGTGAAATGCTTCGTGTTATGAGTCAACGTCTCGATCTTGTCCAACTTCAGTGAAATGAATCCCTGATCGCCGCCTTTGAACACCGGTTCCGATGGCGTTGTCGGTGCCGTCGCCTTCGCAGCGCCCGCCTTGTCGCTGGTCAGGTAGTAGTACCCTCCAGCAGTGGCTGCTCCGAGGAAACCGGCGATAAGGAGCGAGTTCGATCCGCCGCCGCTCTTGGGCGCCTCGCTGGCATACCGACGGACTTGCTGCAGCTATGATTAATATTTGTACGCATGCATGCTTCATATACAGCACAGGACGAGATAATCGCAAGCTCAAGTATGGATTACACATACCGTCTGAAGGGTTCGAACAGGTTGAAACACCTGACGGGCAAACATGGTTGCCATCGTGGGAGGATTATTGAACGGGTGAGGTTCAATTGACTTGGATTGATGGTGGATTGTGGATAAGTGAGGAGAAGAATTGAAGATGAGACAAGACCGTCGGGGTTTGTCGTGACTGAAGCTTGGACGGGTTGTGAGATCTGAAATGACGTCGCGTCAGCAGGGCGCAGGGGGCTACTAAAATATCTGGTAATCAACCGATGATTACGCTAATCCGGTTTTGGACGGTTAATTCACACATAACAGGCGGAATTCCAGACGTTTTGCCTTGTAACTGATGAATCTAATCTACAGTCTCTATGCGGTTTCTCTATTAAACGTTACTAAATTTCCCAACGTCTATTCTAATCTACCGGTCTATCTACGGTTAGATATATCAGCGGTTTAGAATTCAATCGGGAAATTTCCTCGATCGTTTTGCTTAATTATCGGTTGGTTAGCGGTTGGTTAACGGTTGGTTAACGGTTTGGTAGGCAAAACGTCGGCTAAGATTCGGCTTAGCTTCGGGGGTTCCTATCAATCCGGCTCCTACCATAACTCTATGATGCTCTCCTGGACCTAATCATACGGGTAGACACGTCATAAATGAGATGAGCTTCTTATATAAGACTCAGATGACCTATAACCACTCTTAAACTCGATATTTGAGATGGCTAACACTGCTGCTGGCATAGACCCGGCGCTGTCCGGCTCCCATGCTGGAGCGGAAGATGATGAACCAGGTCTTCCAGTATGCTCCGCGCACTGCCTTTCTCATATAAATTATATAGGAAGTCCAGTCTCTGACGCATTAAGTAGCCCGAGGATTTCCAATCCTACCTCCGTAACCCGAAGAAACGGGTACGAGCGAAGCGCCATCACCACGCCGAAGCCGTCAGTGAGGACAATGCTCGCGTTGCGAAGCTGTCCAGATCAACGAGGTGGAACCATTTCTTTTTCCACAGCTGTTTTGAGGAAAACAAATTGATCCAGAATGTGTACGGATCTGTGACGGCGGACGACGTCGAGTGGCGAGAAGCGCATGACTTTATTCATGCCTGGTCCAAAGGCTTCAAGTTTGAGACTATCAGGAACATGAAGGCTAGCTATACGTCTTACTATGTTGTTCTTTTGCTAATTTCGCGTAGAGTTACGTTGAACGGCTCATCGAAGAGGATACAGTCGCTGCATCAATTGCAGTAGATAAATTTACCAAATTTATCGAGTCGGAGTCGGTTTTTTCGTCCGTTAACTTCTTTAACGTTTTCGGCTACATGCATGAATACCTAGATTACGACGGGTCTTCCACTTCTGGGAAGTGGTA